AGTTATGCAATCGCGAGTTACCATCAAGGCGCACGCGCTGTAGGGAGTCCCCGATTGCCATCATTGCTAACGAGTCGTAATTAACGTGCAAGACGCGCAACGATGCTTTAATCATTGTCGGAGCAACTCTCTGCGCAAACTGGTTGGCAAGTTATATTGACGTACTCAGCGCTAGCATACTTTACGTGCAAACATGTCAACCTCTTCACGTCGATCAACTAAGTCTAGGCCAGGCCAAGATTCGACTGAAGTGATCAAAGCAACCATTTCAAGGTCGGCAATCATTCAAGTTGAATGCGCATCGAGATTAATACACTTTGCTCATTTCCGTCAATTCGAAATCGCCGTGGAAATAATAACAAAAAACACACAATCCATATATACGTGTTGCGATATTGTGTTTGATGATTACGGTGCAAATCACGCAAACACGGCGCGACGCGACCTCACTCGCGGAAAGCAGCGCCGCCATTGTTACTGCTCACCATCATGGCCGCGAATGAAAGAACGCGTTTCGTTTACGCGCCGCATGCAAATACCGACGGCCGTTTGGGAATAACGAGCTTGTTGTGTGTATACGCAACGCACAAATCAGCGACGAAATTCACTCGCTACAAGCCGACAATCAACAATCTGCCCGGTGCAACAAACCGAAACTCTCGAAACTGAACAAAACGTCAATATGCGTGTGTAGGCATACGGTTAGTTATTCAACGCGGGTACCCCGCAAGTAGAAAACGGTAAAATAAAAACATTTCACACTTTCATTCGGCATACGCATGATTTTGAGCATAACAACTTGTATATTCTAATCACGTGTTATAACATTATATGGCGTCCATTATAAAACTTTTTCTTTCGTTTCATTCGTTCCCAAGTTAAAACTTTTGTCTAGATATTTTCAAAGTACTAAAATATTTATTTTTTAACTACTCGCCACGGGAGCGCTAGTATCGCACATGATGCATGGATTATGTAAGCTCTCTAATTGGTTGTTACACTATTGCTCTAGATATTAAAGTGCATAATCTCGTTATGGAGCGATGATAACAAAAGTTATTTATACTGAATAAAATGTTTGTGTTATGTGTACCGGCGTTCAAAATCCATAAATTTAATTATAATTACACTTGCAGGCCACTATTGTGATGCCATGATGGCAATAGACGCATAAACCGTGTATAGACTGTAGACGGAAACAATTATCGAGTATAATTCCATATTGCGAATCGCACGTAACCAACCGCCGGCCGAGCGATTCGCAACAACAACAACATGGCTATTCAGCTATACTCGTAATAGACTTTTAATAGACGAGCAATAAGATATGCTAAGCGTAACTCCTTCCTTTGATAGATATTTTTATATTTAGGTTATGTATTTATGACATTTGTGCATAAATGTCGCCATCTAGTGGTGTAAATTTTTACTGCGCCGTGAATTTTTGATTTTGTAAAAGCAAATATTGTCAATGCAGGAAGATAAAACAGATTCGTCGAATAGTGCGCATCACGTTAGCCGACTAGTGATTGCCGTGTACACAAATTTATATCAACGTCCGTTTATGCGCTATCCCATCAACTAGCCATAATCAAACATTATTGCTACAATTGCACGAAATGAATTCGAATGAATTCGTATTGCATTGCATTATCTCTCGCATGAAATCCCAACGGATTCCCGCATATTACATACCGATGTCGATAAAGTAGATAGCAATGGCAGCAGTTGTGGAAGCTACGAACGTCATCATGCATCTTGTTTGAATTCAATAAGCGAACAATGCTACTATTATCACAATGAACGTATTATCAGAGTAATGTTTTGATAATGATGTATATATATTTAAATATACAGTTTATGAATTTTTACTGCTTTCCTAATCAGTAATCGCTAATAAAATCGTACAATGACTAGCTATTAGCAATCAACAAAACAAGTAGCAAGTATTTCTAGGAATATACTCGTACATTAAGAATTTACTTGTCAGTAAATGTACGATTGTAAATAACAAGTTTTAATATAGCGGTGATAATTTTTAATGTTGGCGTGGTGACGTTGAAATCGAAATTGGCAAATAAATACCAAATCAATTATCACGCGGTGCTAAGCATTCGGGTCAAGTATAATAAATAAGTACGAAACACAAACACGAAAGTGTAATAAGTGTAATGCGAACGTCGCAAGAAACAAAAGCAAAAAATTCTCTTTTTTTTGCGTAAACAGTATTTGAACAAAGTAGAAAAATTGCCTTTGATGGTGTATTTCGTCGGAAGCGATGTGAAAGTCAATAACAAGATGTTAAACGATGAAATATTGAAAATATAATATAAAAACAAAATAAAAAGGAATAACAAAAGTTAAAGTTTTTTTTTCTAGTCTAGGTTGTTATAGAAACGGTAAAAAATGTGAGACAATGTTAGAAATTCGGTATATATACAGAACATAGCAATTTTCACCAGTTGGAATTTAAGTGTTGAAACTTTCAACTCCATTTTATGCTCCAGCTTAAATAATATTCAAGAATTAAAACGTTTTTCACCACCTGCATATTCACGTTGATAACGTGCACCAAAGGACTCCTTGTTCAGTATGCATCTTGAACACAATGCTACCGCTTTTATGATGCTTTTATCCAGGCACTGCGTGAGGAAAAACACTAAATATGCAAAGCGCAAAAATGGACGCAAAAAGATATCGATAGCATAAGGGGAGTCGTCAAAATAATAGATAGTGCCCTGTGTGTGTGGCTGAGCGTACACACCGCACAACAAGCCTATCTAAACAGCCATCTTTATTGTAATTGACACTGGAGGCTCAATTGCAGCATTGTCGAAGCGCCATTCCGGCCAAATGGCATTATCACCAGCAGCGCATAATTGGAAAATTTTAAATCGCCTGCAATCGTAGGTAGACAAAGAAAAAATGAAAAATAAAATTAAAAGTACTATAAATGCAACCAGGCTTACGTATTTGAATATTTAAATGCATATAATTTCATAGGAACTTGTTACAACTCGAAAAATATCCTTTTCAAGTGGGATTTTGCGATGAGGTGTGTCCGAAATGCGTTATATCGGAATTAGTTGCATTAAGTCATAAAATACTGCGTACTTTAGCGTCTGCATATATTTGTACCTTATTTACGCTTATTTTGTACGAATTTCTCATTTACCTATTGCAAAAACGTAGAAAAGTACTAGAATAAGTACTAATCTAAGCGTAATATTAGAATATTAAAATTCAAATAATTTAATTGGAAATTTCTCACAAAAATTAACCCTTCAACAGGGATTTTGCTTTGAGCTGTGACCAAAATTAGTTATTTCGGTATTAGTTGCATTAAAGTCATAAATTACTGCTTATTTTACCAGCTGCATATATGTGTACCTAATTTACGCTTATTTTGTACGATTTTCTCATTTCCCTATTACTATTACGATATCAAAAGAAGCTTGATGGCCGTTTCAACTCAAAGTAATTACGTATCGATTCATTTATTACTTTTACACTGAACGCCAGATTCATCCATGGCTTGCGTTTATACTTTACCATAAAACACACAACAAACAATAAAATTATTGTCAATCATCGACATACATTGCAAGTCAGTAATTTCAAAAAGTAACATGAGGAAATCTTTAATTTAAAAAATCATGACATACTATCAGTCACGTTCAGTCATCGCATCATCAAAGCAAAATAAAAATAACGACGCTAATTTGATTTTTTATCGTTATCAGGAAATCGCAATTTGTTTTCTCCTATAATGTCTACTTCCAGGTTAATTCTGTATTCTGTATTTTTTCGGTGCCAATGATGCACAGAAAAAGTGAATAGCTATTATCGTCAATCGTGACGCACGCAACCAACCATGCAACGATCAAAGAGTTGGCGCTGCTGCAACAAAAACTTTATAATGTAAATGTACATTCAAATCAAACCTGACTTAAACTATTACTTAAGCACTCAAAGTCTCGCTGCTCACTGAACAGCACTGCGATTCGATGGAAAATAAAAAGCAAAATTAAAACAGCTGTAAAGCTAAATTTATAGGTTATATAGTTTTTCAGGTTATAGCATATTTTTACTTAGCGGTTACGAATGCAGCTATAGCAACCAACAGCCAACTTATAAATCCCACATAAGTAAGTAATGTTAGAATGGAGCAGCCGAGCGAACACGAAGAAATAAAAAGTTAAAAGAAGTACTGTGTTAGTGGGTTACACATCGCAGGAATGCTCTACTGCTCGCATTGCGTTCACTGCGCTTGCGGCTACTGTTCACGCGCGCATTCCGTCGCACATGCTGTGCAATTAAGAGCGAAATGAAATTATTTCTCTTTTCGTTATTTGTGCGGCACGCCGGAAACATCAACGCGAATTTAACACCGAAATAACCAATATTTACGGCTGTGCAATCGTGGTATTATTTGATGCGTGTAGTTTCTTAATAATTTCTTAATTTTAACCGTATACGGTCGTTGAGTCGGATTAGCACAACTTGTTGCCAAGTCAGAATAGACGTAGAGTATGCCGTGTTTAGTAGTTTCGTCGTTTGAAAGAGCAAGTGGCCTTGTGACTTAACTTTCGCTTACGTTACTTTGGCCGTTTCTGTGCGGTGAGCAAGTTACATACGAGTTGCCAACAACTACTACATTGGTGGATTAGTTTTAGCATGCATTTTGCAAAAGTTAAAAATGAAAAGTTTACAGAATTTTATTTTACAAATAGAATTTTAAAATATTTTGTGTTTTTTGGAAGATGGTAGACATGCTATGAGGGTGAGCGTTGGCTTGGAACGCATTACCAGTTCCCTTTGGTTGCTGACTCAATGTGGTAAATACAAACAAAACCCCAACACAAGCAAAATTCTGAATCGCTGATAAGCAGTAATTTTAATGAGCCGCACGTCAAACACATGTTGTATGGTAATTAGGACGGCAAGTTGGTCGAAATCTTTGATGGAATTTTGGTCAAGCTGCAAGAGTAGGTACTTACCGAAATTAGGCCTCCTGCTGGCTTGAGCGAACGCTCTCCGTACGGTAGGTCGCTGTTCGATGGCGACAAAACCCACTTTCTACTGGTGACGTCGCTGTCGCACAAAAACCGCACACAGGTAGGATCGGTATAATATAATACACCTTGCTCGCGTCGTATTTCGCAAAGAACTTTTGCTTTTAAGCGGCGCGCACAACAACACTTTCTTCCACGCGTGACACGTCCGGCGCGGCGCGACGCTGATCAGCTGTCGTCGCTGCTGCTGCTGCTAGCAGGATGGAGAAGGTCGCCGGTGCGATGTCACAGCTGGTAGTAGTGCGATGATGCTCGATGTCGCTCACTTCCGACGCCGCAATTCGCATTATTCAGGATGAACGCCAAGGAGATGGAAAAAGTTTGCCAAAAAGACGCAGCACGGAGTTTTCCAGTTGTGAGGCGAAAATTTTCAGTCGAAATCAACAAAACTGCCGGCCGAAGAGATGGTTGTTGGCGTTGGCGAAAAAAGTGAAAACGTCTCGGCCGAAGAAGACAACGTGCGGACGAAGAACACCGGCGTAAAAAAACATATCACGCGCGTAAGGAAAAGAAAACGAAACAACGCGACGTTAGTGTCCGACTGGCATGACGGACAGCAGACAGGCTGACATTGTTTGGCGTCCCGACGCTTCTCTGTCACTGATCGCCCGTCATTCCTGCCATCGATCAATTTGGCGAAAACTCCTCGCAGGCGCGCACCACACTGACAGTTAGACAGGAGATCAGTCAGACGCGAGTGATCGCAGGTGGGCTGCAGGAGAGAACGTGTGGCGACTGACACGGCTGCCGGTTGCGGACTGACGGCACACCGAGGCACAGCCGGAGCGGCGGCAGGAGCAGAGCGCGAGCGAGAAACGATCGACTCGCGTGCGCGCGTTGGCGGTGGTGGTGGATTCCTGCTAGGCAGAAGTAGAACGAAATGAATGAACCGAACAACAACGTAATCGCCGGCGTTCTATTGCCGACGACGCGCAGAGCAGGAACGACCTATACCCGTTCCTATTGTGCGAGCAGGAGAACCGCAGCCAACAGGAATTGATGTGCGCATTGTGAGTTCATTGGACGCCCGTTAAAGGCAGCACATGTTAGGACCGTCTTTCTAAGATTCAAAATGTTTTCGAATAAAATATTTCAATGTCAACAACGTCCTTCATTGACACTTGTCATACAATCATATTAATACATCAGATTCAATGAATGATACAGATTCATCTTCAAGTATTTCTACTTTGAATATTAGTGACTCCAGGGTGCAAATTAAATCAGCACCTGCAATATTATACAGAAATCAAACACATCAATTGCAAAATGAAACTATTAACACGTTAAACGCATCTCCGATAGAAATTGATCTAGCGAAACATGAAGACGACGAATGTTTTGAAATTTTCCCATTTAATTACAACGATTACTTCAGAAAATCCAAAAATCACGAATATTCCACAAATGATTCAAGTCAAGCACTAACAGAAGAAGATTCTGAGCAAAATAGTAAAGTTTTAGTGTGTGATGAGTATTCTCAATCACCTGTAGATCTTTGTTATTGCAAATCTGAAAAATCTGAAGATGTAGAATTAAAATGCCAGATAACAACTTTTCGAAGCACAGAACAAGAGTATGTATCAAGTTTTAATGAAACGGAACCATTAACATACAGAGCTATTGAAGTACCATCAAAACGCCGTTGTCTTCACTATGAAATTCGTAGAGATCCTTATGAAGAATTAATAAATGACCTTGAAATTATGAAGATTCCACAAGTAAGGTCAAATTTTAAGAAGTCTATATCTGATTCCTGTTTGCATCGCCTAAGTGTTACCATTGGGATCAATACAAGTACGATTGAAGAATCAGTACAGGATCAATCTTGCACTGTAGATACACATGCAGTGGTTAGTAATATGTGTGGTACTTTAGACGAATCACGAACGTCAAGGTGTTGTTCATTGAGCCCTTTAAGTAATGCAACACCATTGTCTTCACCGAGATCTTCAAGTTCCATATCATCCCCTTCCTACTGTCGAGAAAGTTGTCCATCTTACAAAAAACATTCACTTGATAGTTTTCTAATTGATGAAGAATCATTAATTGCCTCCAAATCTTGGGCTTTCTCAGGTTCTTACAATAATAATGAAACACAACGTAACTACACTGTATTACCGCCTGAAAACAATGTGGAATATGATGAATTTGGTTATGTTCAGACACAAATGTCTTCGGGGTCTATTCACTCTTCCTGTTTGAGATTGAATTTGCCACCGGATAGCAATTCGGAGAGTCATATTACTGTTATTTCTGATGCAGAAACATATTCAGTTAATTGTGATACCAGACAAGTAGAACCTACGCTTCTATATCAACCGGAAATTGATGTAAAACCACAATCATCGAGAACAGGAACTAAATTAATGTCATCTGTCAGGAAAGCTTTTAGAAGACTTGGTAAACGGAAAGCTTCTGCGAGAGTGCAAAGGTTTTGTGATGATACTAACACACCTAGAAGAACCAAGAAAAAAAGTGGCGATTCCGGTGATCATGAATTGACGTATTTTCCTAGTGAGGAAGTGATGCAAACTGTAAATTATTCAGATTACATGCTGAAAACTGAATCATCAAATATGTCGCTAGATGAATTGATGGATAACATGAAAGAGTTAATAAAACCTATTCGAAATAGTGTATTTAAAGAATCTGAATCTACTAAAAAACCTAGTCAACAATCAATAACTGATCAATATTTTGATAACCTACCATCGATTTCCCCCGAATTACAAGATGAAGTTTTGCCGAAAAGATTTTCCATGGAATCTAATTGGGATAATATTGGTTCGGCTGCTTCGAAGTCATTAATGTTGGATCAACTAAGAACTAAATTGAAGATGTCTGGCTCTAGAGTTGCCCCCAGTGACGACAGTAATAGAGAGTCATCAAAACCTAAAGTTAATGAAAGAGGTGATGCAAAAACTAATGTTTTTGCAATTACCGACAGAAAAGAGCAAATAGTCTGCACAAAATTTTATGATATAGAAGCAGAGGAAACTCCTTTAGAATGTCTTGAAACAGCACGAAGAAGTGTTGATTTAGAAAGCGAAAAAACACCAAAAAAATGTAATCATTCAAAAGTAGGTTTTTTCGAAGATGTTGATGATGAAATACAAGAACAAAATATAAAATGTTGTACACTACGGTTTTGGAATATGGTATTATTCAATAGAAAAGAATCGACAACATTTAATGATTAGTGTTAAAGTAATGTTGGCAGGTTCTATTTAATCCAGTATCTGTATCTAGACGATAATGTTTGATGCAATGATCAAGATGAGGAAAACGGACCGTCATTTGCCCGGCGCATTTTCTCTGAATGTGAAACTCTTAATAACTGCACGCCCCGAACTCGTAAACGTTAATAACATCGCTACATGCATCCCCAACGAAGGACCAGAAAGTTGGAAACGAACGGGTGTGTGTGTGAATGTGAAATGACTAACATGCAGGCGCACCCGCAGAGGAGCAAATGAACTCATCCGCTTCATTGGAAGCACACGAAGGGCTACGCGCATTTAAGTGATAACGTCCAGGGAAATTAATAACGCTAGGTTTAATGTTTATTCACATGTGCATCATGGACCTGGAAATGTCCGCAACCCTCGTTGAAACTCTGTTAGTGAAACAGTCTTGGATATAAGTTATAGTTACGCAGATCATTTTCAACTACGTAAGAAAAATTAAAGGAAACTCGTCTTGATGCTGATGATGTTTTGGTATTCCCTAATGTCCACAAGTAACTTTTGGATATTATTAATTTGTTCATCTCCCTTTGGTCACAACGTTAATTCCCACCTCCGTCTAGTGAGTGCAATAAATATTAATTAATAACACATATAAACGTCATAAATAAAATTTCCCTGTTTAATTGACGCTTATTTTATTTGTTGTACGTTTAGTATTTCGCCGTTTCAAGCTTAATGATTCATTAAAGTTGCGCGCAAATTCCCCAACAAAATAATTCAATCTCCTGAGCTTTGATGTCGCGGATAAATTAATAATATTACAGAAATTCATAAACAAGTTGAGATCATCAAATGCTATTGGTTTATATTGTCCTTAGCGTTAAGTTAGTGAAGCGTTACTCAAAGAAGAGTTAGCAACTGAAACAGCAAACGCTCCGAGACGAAATATTACAATTTCTAATATTAATAGAATTAACAAAAGGCGGTGGAGAGAGATGACGGTGATTTCGAGAGTTGGCAGCGTTCAAAAGCTTGCGAAAGCAGATTTGTGAGCGCGCGAACGGAGCTTAGACCGAAACTTGAAGATGCGCGAGATAAGCTTCGGTAGTCTGCGAATTGCGACGCGATAATACCGATGGGCGATGGGCTAATGGGCGCCTAATTTAATTCGCCGTCTTTTCTCCACTCGCGAATTTATAATTCGTTTAAGTACGTTAGCGAAACCGTCTTAAACAAACTTTCGGTTAGCGTATTTTGCCACTCTTTATCAGCATCATACATCTTCATATTAAGTTATTGTTTTCCATACAGAGTGATGTACTAAAATCACAAACAACATCATTTAATTAATGTGATTTTCAACGTGTAGAAAATCACTAAAATAATTCAAGGCAATAGCTCATACTTCTCAGGCTGCTCATGGTTGCTTTATCGCTTTATCATCGCCGTTCTGGGTCTGTCTGTTTTACTTTGCATGGCGGCGTCTATCGCGCAACCCTTTTTGTTCCGTGTCTTTCGCGCGACGTATTAATAACTGCGTATAATAGCAACACGTTCGCGGGGGTGCCAAGCGGGGCGCTCGACGCTTCGCAGTCATCTAGTCTCTCATTGTGCCATTATGCTCCACGGGCATTGTAAATTTCGCGGCGACGACGACGTGCCGACGTTCTCCTGGGAGGCATCTTGCGCTAGCTGGGGCCAATCCCAGAGTGTTTATTATAAACAGAGAAATAAATTAGTTTCGGGCGCAAAACTTCTAATATGTTTTCCTAAGAGATTTTACACAAACTGAAGATTCGTATGGGATTAATATGACATCTTCACAGAGCGCCATCTAGAATTATGTCATGTTGAGGTTATGATGAGAGAAAGTGGCTTAGTTCACGTTTTTACCGTTTGAGGCGCTGGAGTTTCAAGAACGTGCCGTGTTAGAAAAGAAAGCAAGTTATTTATGTCGTCGCTAAAAAGAAACCTTCATACTACTTCATACCGCAATGGACGTCTTATTTCTAATTCAATTCCCGCTGGCGGCGGACTTTTCTAACGCTTCCCATTCTTTCATTCCACTGCTTTTATTTCCACCGCTATTCATGCGCCCGTTGTTGTATTGATATATTTTTTATTTCATTTCCGTCTCTTTACCGCTTCCTTTTTTTGCGCGAATTTTGGAAGCTTATATTTTATACTTACACACGTGTCACTTCAACTGTGGTGCTCCTGATTCTACTCGCTCAATTCGCACGAGTCAGTCGAGAGGTCTTTCATTCAACACTGGCGAAGACGGAGATGGTTCGCGTGCGCGTGAATGAAATCGTCTCGCGACGTTTTATTTGTTTCATCCGATTCTGATCTCTTCGCTGCCGCACCACATGACGACCATAAATTTGGCCGCCATTGTAATCGCGCCGCTAACAATGTATTGCACTTTCTGCAAATCCGACGCGATCCATTGAATCTCAAAGAAATTCTCTTATTACACTTTTTTCCATTCGCTTCGTGCACAAAGAACGAATCATAACTCAAATGAAGAAATATTAAAACATAGAGAAGTATTATTTATAAATTGTATGAATTAATTTTTAAATTCAACGCAGTTTCTTTGTTTGTATCGTAAAACATGTTTTCTTATCAAATATTACGACGTTCAATAAACTTTCGTTTGCGTGGCACAGGCTGCAATTACATTTTGATGAACTTTTTGATGTCTTCGTACGGAATACGAATATATTCTCATCCGATAGATACGTTACGGAATTTTATTTATGTTTGATGTCTAGGCCGGATGGTTATCAGCGCGCCCGCCGTTAACCCGTCAATTTCCCAACCCTTTAATAACTCTGCTTTGTTGCCCATTCTGGCGTGCGTTTTATTCTCGGTCCGTGTACGAATAAATACATCAATCCGATTCGCCGCAAAAGCCACAAACTATATAAAACATATGCTCACAAATGTTTGCGAAATGATTTCGTTTCAGACAAGTTTTACCCATGTCAATGCCAACGAATCAAATTGATTCTTTCTGAGGTAAACATTGAGTAAAATGATTTTGAATTTGAACGAATTTCCTAGCATAACTTTGGTCCGAATAGCGGAGAGTTTGGATTCTGCGCATCTTGCGGCGCAGATCGATTTTCCCATTTTCCTGCTCACATCCGCACCGCATCTCAGTGAAGTTCTCTTCGGGCGTTCGCGTCGTGTCAGTCGAGTCAACTCAAAATGGTGCTAAAGTGGGCGTAACACAACATTGTTATTATCCTGAAACCTCATCTCGTTACAATCCTTACACAGATTTCCACGCGAAAATGAAACGCGTATATTGTTATTTATTTGTTGTCTTTATAGTTTGTTGCATTCAAGATGCCAGATGTGATTGTGAGTATAATTTATTCCATCTTATTCAACACCATTTACTTGATTACGTTTTTGTTTTAGCAAATGTTATGCAGATTGAGGCGAACCCAGACGCCAAACGACTTTACGATGACCTGCTGAGTAATTACAATCGTCTAATTAGACCAGTCATAAATCATACGGAAACATTAACTGTATGGTTGAGCTTGAAGTTGTCACAGCTGATTGAAATGAACCTGAAGAATCAAATTATGACTACAAATCTATGGGTTGTCCAGGTGAATACTTTTTGCATAAAAAATTTAAATTTTTATCTAAATTTTTGTTTTAAATAAATATTTTCATTAGAAATGGAATGATTATAAACTTCGTTGGGATCCGGAAGAATATGGCGGAGTTGAGATGTTATACGTACCATCCGAGCATATTTGGTTGCCTGACATTGTACTGTTTAACAAGTAAGTTGTTTGCATCACCACATATTGTAGTTTTAAGTTGTTCAAGCATAGTTCCGATGTGTTTAGCGCTTATTCCAATCAATATTTGACACATTCGATACGCTGTTGCCATAATGCACTTCCGGTAATCTGGTAACGGTAATGGTAACTGTAACGCATCTTTGATGGTTAAAATGTTCGTATCTCAAGGGCCGTTATCCCTTAATCTGTAATCTCCTGGCGCGGGCATCGGATACGGAAATTGATTCGCTGTGTGCATTTCAGCGCCGACGGCAATTACGAGGTAACTTTGATGACCAAAGCGACGCTCTCATACACCGGCGAAGTGGTGTGGAAACCGCCCTCCATTTACAAGTCTTCTTGCGAGATCAACGTACAGTACTTTCCCTTTGACGAACAGAGTTGTTTAATGCGTTTTGGTTCTTGGACCTATAATGGGTTACAAGTAAGTTATTCTCAAATATTACATAATAACAAATATAAAAATATAAAAATTATTTTAAACCAGGTGGATTTAAAACATTGGGATCAAGCTTCCGGCAGTAACATCGTGAAAATTGGCATAGATCTCTCCGAATTTTACTTATCAGTAGAATGGGATTTATTGGCCGTTCCAGCGACCAGAAATGAAGAGTTTCGAGAATGTTGCGAAGAACCATTCACAGATATAACGTTCAAAATAACAATGCGACGTAAAACCTTATTTTACACCGTAAATCTCATCATTCCCTGTGTGGGCATTACATTTCTTACTGTACTAGTCTTCTACTTGCCTTCGGAATCCGGCGAGAAGACCACACTCTGCGTCAGTATACTTCTGTCATTGACTGTATTCTTCCTCCTCTTGGCCGAAATCATTCCGCCGACATCGTTAGCAGTGCCATTATTGGGCAAATATCTCTTGTTTACTATGAGTCTTGTTACGACCTCAATATGGGTCACTGTATGTGTTCTAAATGTATACTTTAGGTAAGACCTACAAACATAAAAGTGATTAGTTCCTAAACAAAGCATTTTATTAGGTCACCGTCAACACATAAAATGTCTCCGTGGGTACGAAAAATTTTTCTGGAATTTATGCCCAAAATTCTTATCATGCGCCGAACTACTTATTCCATGCCGGAATATGATGATAATCAACCTCCTAGAGGATATACTAATGAAATGGAAATGCAGTGAGTAAATAATGATATCTAATTGTTTATTACTTACTTTTTAAGGATATGTTTGTATTTAATTTGATTTAGATTAAGTTTTTAGAGCACTTTTTTCCATATTATTTGATAAATGTGATAATTTACGGCACAAAATGCGTTTTTCGTTTGTTTTCCTGCGTGCAAAATGCCCCGATAGATTGAATATGGACGAACCTTTTACAACGGACTTTAAAATCACCACCAGGGAACCCAGTTTCGTTCTGCAGAATCAAGAAGATGAGAAAATCAAAGCACACTCATCCAGTAAGAACTAACTTATTTTAACCGTATAAAAAAGTTAATCAATTATTTTTAGTGTCTGGCTCATCACCGATGACTCCTAAAATTTTGTCTTCCAATGTGTTGGCGGCTCTTCAGGGTGTACGCTTCATTGCTCAACACATTCGAGATGCTGATAAAGATAACGAGGTTTCTTTTTCCATTAAAAAATATTTTTTGATGTTTTAAAAACTTTTCTAATAATTCCACAGGTTGTTGAAGATTGGAAGTTTGTTTCGATGGTTCTGGATCGTTTCTTCCTTTGGCTCTTCACCCTAGCGTGTATTGGAGGTACCTGTGGTATAATCTTTCAAGCACCAAGTCTTTACGATACACGAGTGCCGGTTGATCAACAGCTGACTGAAATTCCTCTCACGAAACTATTTCAACTGCCACCGTCGCATGTTCCGATGCAATAAATCTACAATACTCCAACATACATGCTACTCAATCTATCTATATCATAATTGATAAGTACATAAACAGCGCGAACGCACTTTAAAGTAATACACCAAAACATTTTGATTAAAATATATTACGCAAGTTGAACCGATGTTAATCAGTATTGAAATTGATTTCGTTTAAATTGTTATAGTTTTATGGACGCAAGTGATGCAAACCGCTCGAATGTTATGAATAAAATTAATGTGAAACTTCATTTCGGATGCCATTGTTTCGATCAATCATTCCATTGTTTTGTATGTTAAAATTAGTTCAACCTCATTATACATTCAATGTGTTTTATTTGCTGCGTGACAATAAATGTCACGTTCAGATAAGGTTGTAGTTGAAACAAGTGTCGGGCTTATTTGGACCGAAAAGTTCGCAAACCGCAGCCTCCAGGTTGTTAACAGCAATCTCTTCCAGATGGTGGTTGTAGGTGTCGTTAAATATGACGAAGGGCACATATTTAACTTCTGGGACATTTTCATGCGTGCGTTTTCCGTATGCTACTTCTAATGTGGTAGCATCACGCAGCATGCACAATTTATGTCGGTCCCATGATAAATTAGATTTTTCCAAACACTGAAAACGCATATTTAATATAGGCAACCATGTCATCGTAACTTAACCCCAACTGTATTTGAATATTGAAATAATATTTACCCGTTTCACCTCCATGTCTTGATAGTTATAATTCATGAGACACGTCAGAGCCATAACCACCTTAGCATTTCCTTTATCAACGCCCTGTTGAATCACACATGCGTGGACGCGATTTCCGTAGCATTCTTTTTCGCCATGTTGGCATTTAAAATCGTACATGCCATTCTTTCTTTGTTGTACCTTTAATCACAGATTATGAAATATTTTTATCGAAATTATCACGCAACTTACCTTACAATGACCAAACGGAATTAAATCCAACACTAGAAGTTTTGAATACTTCATTGTCACTGGATACAACTGCTGCAGCATAAATTTGATGCTGAAAGGACAATAGCTTTCATAAAACAATGTTATTTTAATTGGATTAGTGGGTTGGCTCACTGCGCCAGGTATCACCATTCCATTATAGTTGACATCTTGCGAATTAATCTAAAATATATAAATCATAAACTAATTCTAATAAAAATATTGCTCTATACCTTTGAAGTTAAAATTGAGACGAAAATTAACACGAATCCGTAGATTTTCATTTTGATAAAAATGTTAGTATTATTGATTCGACTGTTGTTTGCAGACTAAACACACACAATCGATAGATTCAATTGTCTCCTTGAAGGTGATTCGAAAACAAAGTTCAATTATAAGTATGTGCAAGCCAAGGGTCAGTTGAACATGGTCACTTGGTCACTTGTTCAACTTTCCAACCCAACAACACGAATAAAAACTTCGCACACAAATATGTTTAAACTGCCTGGCATCGCCTGATAAAATATGAACAATACCCAAGTGTATTCAATAGTTTATGACGAACAATGACGAGATTACTGCATTCAAATTCACAACTTTTTTGTTTGCCATTACTCGTTAACAGTGTTTTATAATAGGCAACCAAATTTACACTCAATATAAACGAATCCTGGCTGGAGGTAATGACTTTATTTGTAAACGTATTTATTATAACCGCCGTACTGTAAAAACCTATTTGTAGAAACACGCTGCAGGTAAATTGAGCTTTGTTTATTCTTTCCATTAATGGACATGTTGATAAAAAAATATTTTAAGATTCGCTGAGCAATTTGATAAATTCCGGCGTGTCGCCATCGTCGTAAATGTGACGATCTCGTACTTTGCGATGGAAGGTGTGATGTTTTTCTTGAATTGCAGCGTCGTCCAGAAATTGATCGCTTTGTTTGTATTTTCGCGCTGAATTAATCGCAAACATCATTGTCACATAACACGTCATGATGAATAAGCACCAAAATATTAAATTTGTGCAGATTTCTTTAGCTGTACAAACTTTATATTTGTCTTTATCCGAATAATTCGATTTTGATTTGGTCGAATCTTCAACTTCCGAGGTATCACTATCTAGAATGTTTTTCATTGGTGTAAAATAAAGTTAAAACATTCAAATGACAATTGTCAGCAAAATATAATGATTTATAAGTGACATATTAAATTTGAAATATTTTTAGAAAGCAAACCAAGACAAGGAACGTTTTGACGGGCAATTATTTGGTCTCGGTGATAATTGCTCACAAACAGTGCCTAGAAAATCATACAAGGCATCAGATTGCATATATGGATCATATACATTGTTAAAAATAATTGTTGGAACAAATGTAATAATCGGATCCAACGCCAAGGTCCGGTCGCCATGTTTGGCTAAAAGTGTTTCCTTGAGATCACCACGCATACAATTGAAAATTTCGACCGGAGACATGGAATTTTGATTGGCACACTACAAATTACATGTTATTTGTTGTTGTTTATAAACAGATAAGTTTTTTTATAAATAAATATCTTACTCTTTCAATATTGGCAGGATTTACAAGATCGTATCTTGACGAGCTCATTAGGCAGAGCAAAAAATTAACTTTGGAGTTTTCGGTGACGTTTTGATGAACAGCGCATGCTTGAATTTGATTTGCGTAACATTCGTTTGGTCCATGATGACAGCGAAACGCTACTTTACCATTTATTTTAAAGTGCTATTCAAAATTTAATGCATTTCTTAATAAATTCGAAGAAATATTGTTTTACTTACATTTGCTTTACCATAAGGTATAAAATCAATGGAAATACGATCACCTATAACTGGATAAGCTGGTTTTAATTGTGATGTAAAAAATCGAACACTATCAGGACAAAGCGCCTCGTAAAAAACGGCAACTTTTAATTTCTAAAAAGAAAACGGAAATAAAATTTGTTGTAATACTTACAAAAATTGGGTTACCTGTGTGCACATTGCAAATCCACACATTGATAATATTATTATCCAATTCATTGTTTAAATATATTAGTATTTAATAAAACCGCTGTAGTTTTAGATAAGAAAATATAAAAATAGGCCAAGTCTATTGCGTGTCAGGGCTCGGTCCGTCTCCGGTCACGCAGTATCAGCTTCAACCGCCACTGACATGAATGCGATGCGTTTTATAAACATTTGTATAAACATATCTTCTTAATTAAATTAGTCTGCCACTTCAAGTGGTCCGCCGAACGCAATTGAACACGTTTCCTAGCGATGCAAACAAGCTACATCTTTTTTATCAACAATCATTATCAAACAATTTTTTATTTATTTTATGCCTAACTATGTACTTTAAAACGCAAACACGATTGACCTATTTGGTCAATGTAATTGCAATATATTTGCATAAGAGTAATTAAACGGAAATAATATATGTACATTGTGGTGCGGGTATGTTGGGTGGGTTGCCTATTTTTTTTCAAATACAAAATTATTTTATGTGATATTATCAAAATAATCGTTATTATAATCGTTTATTATTTTCGTTAAATTGTTAATTCTTTCATTAGAATAAACATAATGTTAATGAATTTCAAATGAGTAGAAAATGTATCAAAATTAAATATTTAATTAAAACATTAATTGTAATTAGTAGTGAAATGTAAATAATTAACGCTACTAATCAATTAAACGGATAAAATCCACCCGAACATAATAAATACAAATGACAAGATAAATCAATAATTAATTCAAATCCCATATAATTTTTATGTCCTCATTTCTAGTAAGGTTAATTAGGCTTGTTAAATGAAAACAAAACAAGCAATAAATATTCTAATTGCATATTAGTGCGACACCCGTGGCGACACCTGTTGATAAATGTTATAAACAAATATAAAATAAAGATATTTGTTACTACAAATTAAATTTACAGTTTACTATATGCAGATGTCGCTGTTAAACACATTTTATAACTTTATTTATATTTGAAATACAAACAAATGTGTCATACTTAATAAAGAAAGTAGAAGTTGCAGTGATTCTTGGTGAAATGCCACGTGTCCCTATTTTACTCCTTCAGTGATAAAATTGCATCGTAACTTATAAAATAATTGATTAATTAAGTATGCATGCAATAAACAATTGATACTTGATGTGAATAATATATCCAGTTGCACAGTTGATGCACTTATTGATTATACGTCACAAGGTAAGTGAAATCAACAGAAATCGATTAATTGCTTGCGCATGAAAAGAACTTCGATTCGATTTATACAATATGCGAGGTTGAAGTTTCCACATAATTTATTATACAATATTTAGTAATTACACGATATTGTAGCTGTACCACGCCGTCTCACGTAATACTCGTGTTCTTATCGACCGGTGTGTGGCATTATTTGACATGCTTGGCATTTATCATCAACCCATTGTTGAAGTAAGGTGTTGCTATATTTACAATACTGCGTTCTTTCAGTGAGTCAAAAACTCAGGACTCTGGACAAGTGATAAGATTTGGATATTAATAAAAATGTTTGTGGTTTTTTGGAAATTCTTCGAATTTTTGGTAGGTTTTTGAAATTATCTGCTTCCTTTAATTGCTAGGTAGATCAAGTTGTGTTATTTGTTTTTGTTGTAGCAATACGTAGTTGGATCGCGAAAGGAAACAAAAGAGAATAATAAGAAGCCAACAGGAAACGGATGTCAGTTTCAGCAAGGCGCCGGCAGGCCACAATTAAAATGCAGTAAGTATATTAAAGTTTGCTAATTTTGAATCTAATTACGTGAACAATACTTCGAGTTGTGGTATAAGTACACAAGCTAGCGAGTGGTATGATTGAGTTTCTTTTTTGTTTATTTTTGCTATGGCAACGTTATGTGCGCACTTTAGATGAATTAAAAGATTTACTACAAGTTTTTATAAGAAAACAAAATTATTATAATTGAAAAAACTAGAAAATATATTCAAATAAGGTATGCAACTAAAATTACATTTCATTAATTTTAATTTCTCCACCAGAAGCCTACATCAATCAAAAATATGTAAAAAATTTAAATATTATTCAAATTAACAGGTTTTTAGCAATAATAAACGGTAAATCAATCTACAACTAATAAAAAATTAAATATTACTAATTATGACTCAAAAAATAAGGCTTTTCTACTTTTCTTTGTGCCCACAATTAAACATAAATATTTGATTTCGTTAGTAATCGAAATGATTAATAAATAATAGAAACAGAAATTTGGAATAAAATACTTTGAACTTTTGTAACAGTCTCCTACGCATGGAATCATTCGGATCATTCACCATACTTAATTACGTGCATTAGTACGAACATCATATTACAAATTACGCTCGATTTTGTTTGCGTCATTAGCGTATCGTCCGCTTGAAGCGACATCGATGATGATATCTCGGATTCCCGATGAGTCTGCGATCCGTAGACATATCAATTACATTATTGCACCGTGTGTATTCGTAAGTCATAAAACAATCAAAAAAGTCTCAAATTGCGGCAATTCACAAAAAAAAACGACTTAATAGATTATTAAAGTAGAATTTAGATGACTTATTAGTTAATTTGTTTATAAATAAATGTAATGCTTATAAATTACATGTTTTTAGAAGACATTACATTGTTTTTTATGGTTTTATACAAATAGTAATTTGTTTGCATTTATACTTATTAAAAATATGCGCAACATACAAACACAATGTTATTACTTTACACTGAGGTAAAGATAACTATGAAAACTTAGTTTTATTAGTTAAAATAGTAGTTATGAATAATTTAATCACTTAACGACTTAATTAAATGATTAATCATTTAGTATTACACCTTAGAATACATTGTGGTATTGTAATATACCTTATTAATTAATCCAATAAGAATGATGTATTGTGAGAGAATTTGCAAAGTAAATATGTACTTTAGACTGAAGTACCAACGTTGTAAATGATGTAATTGAGATAGGAACTTGTTTTAAAGATTCGCTCGCCAAGTGCTGTAAATTTCCATTGCTTGAGTGCTTTACCAAATTTAAAGGCCGAATTATTAAAATGTATGTTGGTAAACAATGCGATTTATAAAGTAATATAATGTAATAATTACGGGATATGGTAGTACAAAGTTCTCATAAAATGACAACATTCAACCGCAATGGTTTCACATTTCACGTTTTTGTTTGTTTTACTTGAAATTATTCGGTTCAATGTTAACTAAAGTGGATTTAATGACGGAAAACCCGTTTTCGTGAGTTAACGCAACTTATTATTTTTTTAACAAATTCCTATTTGTTACAACGCAAATTATTTCAATTAAATAATGTGAGTGTAAAATGTGGTAATATACGGACGGTCTAACCACAATGCTTTGTTTTTTTTTAACAAATTTTGCATTTTACAGCATCATACTTTGCAAAAAATTGTCAGGAATTATGTACCCAGGGCCCCAGTGAGTGAATAATTATATGTATTAGTCATAAATCCTTGGTATTATTTTATCGTAGATCAATTCATATTTATTACCATTTTTCTAATTAAACTAGATAAATCTACTTCGATCGACATTCCACGTTATGAATGACAATATTTATATTAATTTTTAGGCAATTAATATGCCTATCTAACACTTTAGATTACGCCAAGATAAACTTTATATGTTCATCAGTATTCGTTGCAAGATTAAAGTTCAAACAAACCAAAATTCCTATGCAAAAACAATCGTTTTCACTAGAATTGAACAATGGGTATTTATGAGTTTAGTCTAAAAATATGTATAGCGCAATAAAAATAAAACGTCAACAAACATTAATCACGTACATACAATCAGTGCAATTTTTAATGTTTTTGATGCTAAAGCGTAATTAAAAATGGAATTTTGAAAACACTTAAACAAACATTGCGATAACGCTTGTGTTAATACTTGCATAGAATTTTGCAACAAACACATCGAAATAATTTTGGAAGTTTAAGATTCTCGTATAAAATTTCAATGCAATAAATAAGCTTTTGATTGATCTTGCCGTAGGTATTCATTTGGCAACATTTAATGTTTCTAATAGAAAGGCGCCATGTTTATACAGAATGCAACTGCGTATATTAATAATGGGTGTGCGCCAAAGTTAAAAGTTTTATTTTAATTTTATTTTAACCTTTGTCGAAAGAATATACGTCGTATTATTATACATATATCATTTTCACATAATACAGAGTTGACGTAGTTCAAATTTGAGGTTAGTATTGGTGGTGGCCTATGTTTAGCTACATACAAACATTAAAATGAAGATTTGAACTTTTTTTAATGTTTCTAATCATTTATTACATTAACTTTCTTAAATTGCCAGGTTTAAGTACCTTGTAAATGTTGTTGTAAATATAGTTGGTAAATTTTAAGCAATGAATGATAGCAATGTTAAAAAAATACATTTTGCGCTAATATAACAATTAAAAAATGGTAATTTACGCATTATCGTAATTTTTTAATCTTTCTTACACAATAAGATTAACAAGATTAATATTTATAATACTTCCGAAGGATATCAATCATTAATCGGAAATATTAACGACAATAATGAATTGCACATTACAATCCTAGACTTAAGCTTATCATTGATAAGAGTTCTCTCACACAAGCATAACAATCAACATACTATAAATACTATCAGGACACGAGCAATATCATGCAATATAGAAGTGTCGAACGTAATCGATGCGATATCTTATCAACCCACACATCATTTTAATTGAAAAGATAAAAAATGATTCAGACGACAAATTCGAATATAAAACGCGAGTACAATTGAGTCTCGAGACGATTCACGTTTTCGATTTCGCGTACTGAAATTCGACTCCAGTTATCAACGTGTTAAATTGATTAAATTATTATAACAATAATCAATTATAATTATTTTACACATTCCACACCAATACTATCACCATGACTTTTGAGACTGTTGAAACAATTTGTAAGTAACTTAATAATTTATTTCTATTAATTTTTAACGATTATAAATTTGATTATTTATAAATTAATTCATTGCACGTGCAAACAACATGCAAAATGAGTAATAAGTGAAAGAATCATCTCACAATCACAATTAATCAATCGCTCCGCGTGCAAGTCATGTGCTTCACGCTGAAATGTTACTTAAGTCAATTTATAACACATATGACTTCATGTGCACATCGTAAAACCAAGAGTGAACAGGTTTGTGTTGTTTAAACGTTCATTAATACCGGCTTACAAACAATAAAAATTATGTTTGAACTCGAGAAGCGAGCACAAACAAAGCGTAATTAGATTGACAAACCACGTGCTTATTTTCGTACGTGTTTTGCATGCATTAACTACGTAGCGTAATTGTACACACATCTTCATAAAAACATCATGAACTTGACAACATTTTTGCAAATTTAAACAATTACATTATCAAGGCTGAGAACAAACCAGATTGAATTGGAAATATCCAAATAAATTACTGAATTAAATTTTTTTGAATGTTTTGTGATTTGAATGACCAATACGCTCCGCCCACTTATACTGTAAAGTACATTACGCATACTAAGTGCAAATTCACGACGAAGAAGACACAACAGAAAGCAAAACGGAACTAAACATGAAACACGCGCGCTACCTGCCCAGTTTCCTTTCTACTCTAACGCGCGTAATTTCGCATCGTGTCTGCTTGTTTGCGCTTCGTGGAAAAGCAGAATCGCAAATTGTTTGTTGTTTGCCGCTGCCTGTGTGTAGAAGTGTGCGCGGCCCATAAATGACGAAATGACGAGTGCGCTCAACACTGAGCAGCAATCGCCGGTTTGGTGTCGAGCGAAGCGGACGCGTTTCTTCAGCAATTCAAAATCGTTAAAGTTAAACATAAAAAGCAATTGACTTGTAACAATCGATTATTACAAAAAGTAACCATGCCCCATTCGCACTTGATTGCAGGCCTCACGAAGAATGACTGCGTGTGTCCCACTGAGGACTTTAGGACTCAACGCAGACCTTCATACAGCAATGGTAAGTCTACAACTTACTTAAGTGTTTTAGTCTTAAGTCATGGGTCATTATCTTTTAATGCGGGCATTAAAAGATTTGTAATTCAAATTCTAGCCTACTTTCACAAATTAAATTTTCAAATAATAAATAACGAATAATTTCAGACGAGGATGCTCATATTATGGTGGAGGAATGGCGTCTGCAAAGTGTCCAGTCCCCAATTGAATTGAAACATGAAGACAGCAATGAGTACGACCACTTTGACCCACTCGAATTCCACGGACACTGGGACGATGAAGGCAAAGCAAAAATCGACAACAACGGATTTACAGGTAATTTAAATGACCACGAAATTTATGACTTTACTAAACCAAGTGTTTTTGTAGCCACATTGAGATTCATCGATCGCAAAATGCCGATTTTGGTGGGCGGGCCATTGCACGAAGATCACTACGTGTTTGAGCAGCTGCATTTCCACTGGAGCGAGGACGATCACAGCGGATGCGAGCACATTTTCGAGGGCAAAGCGTAAGTGAAACATGTTTACAACATGTTAGTTATTGCAGCTGTATAATATCATTTGTAATCTGATAATTACATCCCAATACAATGCGTTGAAAAATTACGAACGTCAAGGTCACCTTTTTACTAAAAATTTAGTCGAGCTTGACAAATTGCGGTCGGTGTTAATTGTTTATTGTTGATCATGGTCAAGATATTAATGTCGCATGACATTTAAGTTAATTTTATTTTGGCGTAACCCATCTTCTAAATAGATTATTCAATTACATTTGGCACGCAATTGACTGATCATGTGCAATTTAAAAGTCATTTATTTCTGAAACTGAAATTGTTGACCACAACCCAACTAATAATGCGTTTTATTGTTTTAGATATTCTATGGAAGCTCACGCCGTGCACTATAATCAAAAATATGGATCTTTTAAGGAAGCTGTTAACAAACATGATGGTCTTGCTGTTGTTGCCTTCTTTTTGCAAGCTACTGACGAATACGAGAATCCTTGCTTTAATAAACTCTGCGAAGCGGTTAAAGATATACAGAAAATTGATTCAGACACAAATGTACCAGCAGATTGCCTCACCTGGATTGAGAAAACAGCACAATGCAAAGGATATTACACATATCAGGGCTCTTTGACAACCGAACCTTATTTTGAAAGCGTTACTTGGATTATTTATCCGAGACCTATTCACATCTCACGGAAACAAGTCGACGCTTTCAGACGTATGAAATCTACATCATGCGAAAAGCATCACATTGAGAACAATGTCAGACCTTTGCAGACTCCAATCAAGAAACTCGATCTGATCTATGTCCGTACACATAGAAAATCTGAGTAAAGTGCCTCAAAGTTAGTAATCTGAAGTGGATTATGTTTTAATAATCCGTAGTGGTAGTATTGTTTGTAATTTATATATAGATTTTATGACAACGACGTGAAAATTTTAGAATTATATTTATATAAAGTGAGAAGAAAGTAAAGATTATTAGATGAGAAGAAATCTATGTATCATTTGAACTTATATCTGCGCTAGAACATGATGGTGTACTAGATAAGCAACATTCTGAATTATGGAAACTTGAGACTCTTTTTGCCACTTCAGTGGAATCAGTTGTTCTACCACAAACACAAACTTCTTTTTTAACATCCTGAGGCAACAAGCCATCACTAAGATTGACAGTAATATCACTGCAAATACTAGTCTGTACGTTTCTTTCTGTGATAATCTCTTCTGGTGTCATTGTAGTTTCACCGTCTTTTAGTTTACCAGTACGACAAGGTCTTATTGCAAAGACGTCGCCTTCTTTCTCTGGTATTTTCCGTACCTTTTGCGGAACGTAAGCTTGAATCACATTCCAAATAGACGATGACTTTCCAATTAAATCTTGTTTTGGCTGTTCAACAACTTTTTTTCTTACAATGGACGATTGAGAATATTTAACACTTTCTTCAACAGTGTCTCCATATGTAAGCATTTCAGAAATCTTTTGATTCAAATTAATACACTGAACTTGGAGACCTTCGTCCAAAAGTAGACTTCTTTGTTGAGAGAACTTAATACGTTGAATTTCAGCCGGGCCTGGCCTATCATCAGAAATCATACCATATACAACTTCAAGGTCATCCACAAAATCGCAAAGATTCTTATAGAACACAATATATATGTTATTACGATAGTGATCAACCTTATCATGTGGTATTAAGTAGAACCAGTTTTCATCTTTTGTATCAACTTCTTCCATAGTGACATTTTCTGCATCTGGATTCTCAGATTCGTCAATGGCCGCTGTACTAAGCACGATCTCTAACTTACTAGTAGACTTGGATGTCCTCTTCGTTTCTTTGCTTTTTATGGAAGCACCATCTTTCTTTTTCTGGTCATTCCCTTTGGTTTTCTTTCCTTGTAAATTAGTTTTTGACTGTGTAGCTGATTGCATTGCATCGAAACGTGCTTGATAATCATCTAAAGGTATTGCTAATGCCCAAGCTGGTTGAGGCGTGCCTCGTATTTTTGGAAAGTCATAAAATGCTTTTGAATTTATATCACAATTCAATAACTGGTCACAATTCATGTGTGATTGGTTAAAAGAATTCCTATGTATCTCTAATGGGTCTGGGCGTTCTAAAGAAAAGTATTTCTTACACATATCTTGAACGTCCACTGATATTTTATCTATATAGGAACAAAACAAGTTGTAAGCCATTTTGAAACGTTGACAATATAGGTTTTGTTGTATGACAGGCGAGCGTAGTTTTAAAATAATTTCTTCAAGGTGATTAGATAGTGTTTTGGGCAAGTCTTCTCTTTTTGGTTCTTTTATTTTAGAAGTGTCATCTTTCTTACCCTTTTTAGATAATGTTTTAGACGATTTCTCAGAAGCATCCTTTTCTTTTTTGGGTTTCTTATCTTCCCTCATTTTGTCTCCTTTGCCACCTTTCTTCGTTAGTGTTTCTCCTAGAAACATTCTATCAAGCCTCTGGCGTGTTTCATCTCGCGTGACTTTATTTTGTTCAATAATTTCAAACACATGATTGTAATTTTCTGTTAAGGTGTTAACTCTCTCAAATGCCTCACGATCTTTGGTGACAGTTCTTAAATCATTTAAGTTAAGGGACCAAAACTCTGGATGTTGTTCTAAACGTACTGATTGATAGAACGCTTCCAACTCGTCTACTATTTCTTTATCATAAAGATATTTTGGTCGGTCATGAATTGGATCAAAAGTTGAATTTAATGCTTCAAAAATTATACCTTTATCATACGTATATGTTTTGATAAGTTGATCAGTTGATTTTCTTGAAGGTACATCTTGTAAAATATCGTCCAAACAATCACGGATCAACCTGTATCTGACTCGCTTCTGAATCATTTGCTCATATTCGTTGCATTTTTCAACATTATCAACTTCTAAAGATGACGCATTTAATGATATATGAATGGAAAGTTTTCCGAACCACAAATCAGGAACCACTGTCATTTTTAACAATTGATCGAAAAATCCACATTTTGGATTTTTAAACCAAAACGGCACATCAATTATTTGACAAGGCATGATAATATGGTAATTTCTGTCAAAAAAGAAAGAATTTCCCGAATTTTTCGATTTAGATGGTGTGACAAAATTGGAAATTTTATTTATTTCTTGAAAAGATATTCGCAATGTCCATGTACTGTGATTCTGTAGAAAAAGTTTAGACATTTTAGTATCTTCTCCACAGGCTGTATCAAAAATGACTGATGTTTTAATTGCACCTTGAGAATCTTTCAAGATTGTCTGGTCATTTATCATCAAATATTTAATTGAACTTTTATCAGACCTTGTTTTAAATGATGAATGCGATGATTCTACATCGGTTCGTGGACTGCAAGCACATTTTCGTAAAATCGATTTAGATTTTTCAATCAATGGTGAATTCAGTGTTTCCCCAATTACATAAATACTCTCTACATCAGGAACATGTGGTTCTATCTTCTTCAAACAGCAACTATCAAGTCTTTTAAGAGCGTCGTCTTTCCGTGATTTACTTCCTAATGGTTTATCTGTGAGTGCTGTTGCGAATAACTTTGGGATACGTATATATTCCAATGAAGGGACAACAAAACGTTCCAGGCGACTGAGATGAATGAAATATTCCTGAGGCTCATCACAAATCTGCTTCAATTTCGGTGGTAATTTCCACCACATAGGATTACCTCGATATTTATCAAATTGACATGGTACTTGCGCGTAGGTTGCGACGGTCCGTTGTTCTTGAATCCGGCGATGTTTTTCAAGACTGTTCATTAGCAGTTGGTCTTTTGGGCGTGCAATTGATTCGCACAGGTAGTTTCGAATACGTTCCGACTTTCTTTGATTGCGGTCCCATACTAAAAGTCTTCGATCTTCTTTTATATTTTGCTCGTGTTTCCAACAATTGCAATTCGGCACGCATAGGGTTTCAGAGCGCAATTCTGGCAGACCTTCCATTTTAAAACTAATTATGTTGATGACAATTAAAGCAGAATAACAGTATTTGTTTTTTCTATGGTGACCATAGAAAAAACCATCGTTTCATCGTTTGCCTTTTGTGAATCACAATAAAGTTGTTAAAAAAATTTGCATATAGAACATTTGGCATTAAATATTAACCAAAAGAAATGGATTTATATCCACCATTATAAAAAAAATTAAATAGTGAGCAATTGTCCATGTGCGCAATCGTCCGTGTGAGTAAAAGTCCTGTGAGCAATTGTCAATGTGAGCAAAAGCCCTGTGAGCAATTATCCGTGTGCGCAGTTATGACTGTGGGCAGTTGTCTGTGAGCAGTTGTCCTGTGAGCGATCGTCTTGGGGGCAAATGTCCGGTCACGAAAAATGGTAAAGCACTGTAATTTATTTATGAGTGTTCATTGCTATCTTAGACACCTAAAAAGTTACTAAGAAAAAATACTGGTTGCATAATACACTAGACTAGAAGCTGCTTCTAAGGAAAGTCAAGATGTCTAGATGTTCGTTCGAACGTGTGCAAGTAATTATTGTCTAGAAAAAATTAAGATAAAAGTATGTGTAACCAATGTACTTTCGCGGAATGATGCTAAAGCAGCCACAAAGTTTGTCATGTTTATGAACCTACATTTGCAGGGAAATATATATTACTTGCATTTCAGTGACTTTGCTTCATTGAAAACACTGAAACGACTTATTATTATGTTTCATTCACACAGTAGATTAATCAAGCAAGATTAATATTTGCAGAAATTTAACCTGAAACTTGCTACCCAATTAGCTCTTTTCCATTTTGATTTCAACAAAACAAACAATTTGAAGAAATCACAAATTGCACAAGTAAAAAAACCATAATTTTCAACCATCAATTCATATTTCATAACAATAATGAAAAATTATCACACATTAGATACTTTAATATAAATACTTGATCATCCACAATCATCATCAATCCTTCATTCACAAATTACTTCATTTCTTTGACATCAGGTTGCCGTAATCTGACCTCTTTCTTTAAATTCATTGTATGTTCCTTGAACAACTTAAAAGTGTAGTTGTCATACTCTGGAGGCACTGGTTTGACACCAGTAGCCCAATAGAAGATCTCCCAATCATTTGATGGTTGATTAATAAGCTTATCATACTCTTCCACCTCCTCATAACTCATATCTTGTAGATATTTATCAGCAAATGTGCTCAATAGCAAGTCGTTTTCTAGCATCCCGCGTTTGCGTGACTGATACAAGAGGCGCGATTTGCGAGTGACGAGATCCTCATCACCTCTGTGAACCCTCCTTGGCAGCTCAATGTAATCATCTGGAGGTTCAATGACTTGGCTGCTCATGCGAATAGATGTCAAATGGCGAGAAACTGCTCTAAACTGTAAGAATATAAAAATAAAGATGAAGACATTACGTAATAAATGTAAGAGAACGTCGCATTTTGGGCATGTTGAGGTTAGAAAAAAATATACTCACATTGCGGACTAACTTGAGAGAAGTAAGGAAATTCATGATGCTGGAGATATTGCGTTTCAATATATAATATTTCAGAGTCCACTAAGATTGTTTTGGAGCGTTATTTATATTGTGTTGTTCAAAAACTTACGTTTTCATAACAACAGCCAACTTATAATTTTGAATGTGTTAAAAGAGTTGCCTATAATAAAACGTAGAAAGTATTTATAAACAAATTATATCAAATAAACGTAAAACTTTTGAAAAGTGTTATTTATCATTGATGTTAACAAATAATTTAATAAGTTTTCATTTAAAATTGTGCATTGCAAGTCCTCTACATAGTATGTTAAGTAAGTTTATAAAATATTCATAAAACGTTAATAATTATAGGAAAAACAAGAAATAATGTTTAATATTCAGCGTTTAACATTTATTGGTACAACCTACAAAATAAAAAACAAATAGTAACTTGTTTCTAAGTTGTGCTATAAAATCGTTTGCTAAAAGTGAATGACATTGGTACAGTTTTATATCGAAAATGTGGGGTGAAATAATAAAACAAATTACGTCAGTATAAAAAAGTTAACACGCAAAGCATTCAAAGATGACAACAAACATTGATAGCGCAACGTGGTAAATAACGCTGGATGACGCGACAAGCGATCAGATTGCGACGTGAATTAAATTGTTATTAAATAGCTGCTTATGCGACTAAGTAATATGCAAATGTCCTAGTGAGGTCGTGAACTTGCTTTCCATAATCGCAATTTTTCACTTCCAGTCTTATAATGCAAAGTTAATCCAGAACAATCGATTTAATAATCAAAACAATCAAGATTTCCGAGTATAAATAAAATTCACTTGAGATAATCTTTGCGCACGCCTCTTTCGGATAAAAATTCTAAAATCAGTAACTGCGCGCAGTTTGCGACGAAAACAGCAAAGTAAATTTGTTTAACTTTAACTTATCCGGTACAAAACAATAATAGTTCACACACGTGCTCGCTAAGGAAAGATACAACATTGTTGTGAAAAACAAAAACTACGCGTCACTCGCAAAAAAAATTGATTACGTTGCAAAATACGCAAAACGTGCAAACGTCAAATTACTACGAGATATACTAGTGCTAGTTGGTGGACGTAGTGAACGAAATCGACGACGGAAGAAACGCTATCGCGAGTAAAACAGCGCCGGGGCGCGTAAAACACGTTAGTAGGCAGTCAGCAAACAAACCGTCAAGATATACATCAGATCCGTTGCTGCAAAGCACGAAAAACTTTCGTACAAGCACAGAAAACAGCCTGTAAACTTTTCATACAAATTTAAAACGTAAATCTGAAATAAATAAAAGTTTAACAGTTGAAATTAGTGAATAAAAACTAAATAAAAGTGTAAAACTATTTTAGCAATATGGTTATCCAAACAACAAAACAAGTAAGTTGTAAACTATTATTGCGTTCTCATTTGATTATTTTTGTATTTTTTGGCAATTTACACCGATTTAGATATATTTTATGCGAACTGTGATATCGCAACTATTTTTATAGTTGAACTAAAAACTGTCCGTAAATATTTATGCAGTTATTTTTATTTCGCAAAAAATACTATTGGCCAAAGTTTAATTACCGTCTAATAAAAGTAATGCATAAATATATTTCTACCTAATAAATTGTTAATTTTGATTGATATATTCCTGTTTAAATATTTGAAAAAAGGAAAAATTACTGACGACTGGACTGACCTTGCCATCGTTAAAATGAATATTCGGTGCGATTTGCACTCAAAACTATCGACTGACGCCAAAAGCGACGCATTTGGTGTGCGATCATGCTATCAGCATCGATATTATTATTGTCAATATTGAGTTTCGATCGTATGATTTTGAAAAGTCGTGTATTAAGTAACTCAAGTCAATCAATCAACTCAGCTTTCATAGCAATAAGTGTTGGTTTAATTCAAACCTATTGCATGGTGTATAAAATATTTGAATACGGGCCTGCAGGACGAGTTTGAAGGCTTGTAGCTGCTGATAAACAACAGAAATGAGTTATTTTCTTAGGTAACCTGACGTGTTTTCGACGCGAGAGTTCGCTTTTTTTGTATTCCTACATTGGATAAGTAGGTGAACTGCTTTTTTTCCTACCAAACGAGAAGACAAGGCAAGAACGGGGCGAGACAAATAATAATTATCTCGAGTCTTTCCCCATAATAACGATTAAACGCACGTGTTTATTGCTGTAAACAAACTAACAAGTATCAACAAGTAGTGAAGTGTAATTTATGATAATTGTACGTTTTGCATCCGTTGCACTTTGCGAGCAAATGCAGAAAATGAAAAATTTCACATTTTTGCAAGATAATTGTAGCTAATAAGATTCTGGAAAAAATATTCAAGTTGGAATATATTCGGGAATAACCACGATTATAAATAATTCAACTTGGTCATATCTTGTGCTGAAAATTATTTACTTTAGTTTATCATCAGTTACATTTTGGCAATTTAGCTCGACAACATGACAACTGAATAAATTTGTATTTATTATGCAATACATGCAACAATCACATTATATTGAAGATTATGATAACCCTAGAATGATGTGTTAATTATTATCGATAGTCTATGCAAATAATTAATGTTTATTTGTCGTTTTCAGTGCGCGTGCAGATGGATCTTAAGACATCAACACAAATTGCGTCAACAAGCACGAAGCTGCAGTCTCAAAGTGAAAGAGCAATTAATCGGTAATGAAGATGTTCGTGAATTTGATCCGGAATATTCGTTCAGAGTAAGTTTTAAAAAAATGAGCGCTATTGTAACAAAAACAAAATTCGCATTATGCGGAGTTAATAATAAAATTAATTTATTGAATGCACCATATTGTTATCGCATGTTTTGGTACTTATTTTGTTGTCAAGGTACAAATTGCATTTGCATTTATCCCCACACAATTTTCTTGATAGCGCCTGAGCAGATAAAACAAATTCAATTTGCAAAGTAATAAAGAATGGAAAATATTGCGTCAGTTAAAAAATAAACGCGTTTTTATGCAAATACATACGTGGATAAATCAATTGATCTTTGGAAAAATACAGGGTGTGCCTTATATTAATGACATTAAAAATAAAACTTGAGTTGAAAACTTAAATATCTTTCTATTTTATGTTGCGGTATTATTCTAGCCTCTCCCAAGGTCTCTCAAGAGTATATTTGAATCGAAAACACTTTTGAAAAACGTGGCGTCGTGCCTCCGACACGCAGCCAATCAGGTAGCAACTCTGGCGATAACACGAATCGCGCGATTTTTTACCTCTCTGAATAACTTACAAAATACCACAACGCTACGAAATAATTTTATTCAAAGTGAAGGCCAAGTAGGACGCGTTTCGAACTGTTGAAATTCATTGGTTTTGCTCCCCACACGCCCAACACTTCCAATAAAAGTTTGAACCGTTCGAAAAAGGCAGCAAAAGTTGTCAAGGGCACCGATCCGGATTTATCTCAATATGAAATGTTGAATTAGATATTCTGAAATTAATCAAATAGAGATATTCAACTTTTAAAATAGTTTTTTGATCTTTGCTGTAATAAGGAAGCTAACATTTCAATGTTTTGCAAAAAAATTATATTTTGTAAATATTCCAGGCATCAGATGCGAAAATCACCCATGCCGAACCACACCAATTGAGGGTGAAGCCAAATGTGGACAGCCTCAAGTTTGGACAGGTCTTCACCGACCATATGCTCAAAATTTTCTATCACAAAAAACTCGGCGGATGGCAAATACCAGAAATCATTCCTTTTGAAAATATTTCCTTGCATCCAGCTGCAAAAGTTTTGCATTATGCGATTGAAGTAAGTTAATTTAATTTTTATATTGTGAAGTGTAAAATCTAACGAATATTTTCAGTTATTTGAAGGATTAAAAGCTTATCGCGGCGTGGACGGACGTATCCGCATTTTCCGCCCGGACCTAAACATGCAGCGCATGAATCTCTCGGCGAAAGAATCAGGCCTGCCAACTTTCGATGGCTTGGAATTGATAAGATGCTTGAATAAACTGATCTCAATCGATCAGGAGTGGGTGCCACATTGCGAAGCATCCAGTTTGTACGTGCGCCCGACCCTTATCGGTATCGATGTAAGTTAATTCAAATCAAATTGATTAGGTTATTGATAATGACCTTCACATGCTTTTCATTATTTTTATGTTGTACCGCGCGCCAACAATTCTGTTTGCGCTACTGTACCTACGCATGTGACTACTGATAATAGCATGTGCTTGTGTTTGAAGGAGATATGCGAATATTTTGACAAGACAGATAAACCCGTATTAATATAGCAAACTGTTTGCTTTATATTTGACTAAATAATCCACGTTTAATGTGAATATATTTTTTATTTATTTCAGGGAACACTGGGTGTGTCGCAATCCGAATCAGCTTTACTTTTCACAGTTCTTTGCCCAGTGGGCGCGTATTTTGCTGGTGGAAATGAGGCTGTTAGCCTTTTCGCAGACCCCACATATACCCGTGCATGGCCTGGTGGTTGTGGCGACCGCAAAATGGGTTCCAATTATGGACCCACAATCCGTGTTCAGAACCAAGCGGTCCTACGTGGCAAACAGCAAGTCTTATGGCTTTATGGGGATGATCATCAGGTGACCGAGGTTGGCACCATGAATATATTTGTGTTCTATGTCAATAAAAATGGCAGTAAGTTAATTCAAATCATTCGTTTGTATGTACTTACAAAATCTGGTCTGTAATTTAAGAAAAAGTTTTGGCTACACCGCCATTGAATGGATTGATTCTGCCTGGAGTTACACGTTTCTCCATTTTGCAATTAGCTCGTGAGTGGAATGATTTCGAAGTGGAGGAACGAGTCATTACAATGAGTGACATTGTAACGATGCAGAAAGAAGAAAGGGTAATTATTAATAATTTTATATCTAAATAATGGATTTTAACTCTTTTATGACTTTTAGTTGTTAGAAATGTTTGGTTCTGGAACCGCATGTGTGGTCAGTCCGGTGAAATCTGTGGAATACATGGGGGAGGAAATCCCTGTACCCACAATGGATCACCAATCGCCACTTTTCCGACGTATTAGCGACACACTTTCAGGAATTCAGTATGGAAAAATTAAACATCCTTGGGCTCAAACCATCGATGAAGTTTAAATTGCCTTAAACCTACAGTAAAACAAGAGAGAGAAACTTTGGATTTAATTATGTTAGTTACTAATATAAAACGTAAGTTATTAAGTGCAAACGTCCCGATGGCCTGGTTCAAAACGACTGTGGTATTAATACTTAAATTAATTAATCATATATGATTAGTTACTTTCATCACATTACTGGAAAGGAGTACGAAATTGAATTTGTATATATTCAGAATTGCTAGATGTTTAATGCAATTCCTAAGATAGTAAATTATAAGACGATTGTAATTGTAAATTAATTTATGTAGATAGATACAATAGACAGTTAATTTCAATAAAATTGATGCTATACAACGTGCAAGAATCTTAAGATTTCTGATACAGAATAGCAATGAGTGAATAAGCATTCTCTATCACCTGACCAAACGTGGTCAAAGCCAAAGGACCAAAGAATATAGTATCTATATATAGGTAATAGTTTCCTCTTAGGATAATCATTGACACAATCTTTTGTGTTTCTACATCATAATCAAACCAATCTGTTTTGTAGATATGCATTGGAATATCAATGGTGTTATCAATTAACATCTGCCCACCATAAGAAAGTATCGCCAACACCAGAATCCAACCAAGACCATGTGCTAAAGTCTTCAACTCTGGTTTCATCAAGAATTGAAAAGCAATCATGGCAATCACCGCACTCATAAACGAAGACTGAATAAAACATGCTGTGGACATACAATCGTTGAGATTGCGAGCCAAATTGACCATGTACACGTGATATCGCACACATTCTTTAAGTCGTCGCTTGCGATCGTATTCATTAGTGCTTCCGAATGCAGCCCGCATATCTTCCTTACACAATTGAATTCTTGAGTTGATAACAATGACCAAACCACAAGTGAAGGTCAATACTATACAGGCAGCTAGACATACCACGCTGATATTGAATGTTTGCATCCCAAAAATTATGTAGAAATAGATTCCTTCGTTAAAATACATGGGAAATGGTGCTGGTACAATGAGTCCACACAAGCGCTCTATCTTCATTTCAGCATTTTCTTTTAGGCAAGCAGTGCGTTGCCAATAACTGACAATTGTGAAGAAAATCACTGCAAGTCCTGTATAGATAGACATTGCTGAAGTTAAAAAGTTTGCAAGGCGGTTGGCACGGTCAAACGAAGCTGGTTTACGAAACAGATGGAATGAACCGATGTTATGTGCCAGGTTGGCAATGTCTTGGTTTTTGTAGATGAACCATCCAAGAGTGAGATACATGTTTAAACCGCTGCAGACCACTGAGGTGCATTGCAGTAGATCGTCAAGAGTTATATAATTATAATCTGTGAAGAAAGTCTGTTGCTTGTTTGGTAGCTAGTTTATTTAAGGTTTGACTTACATAAGTATTGAATCAATAGGTATGAGGTGCCACACATAATACAGAATGGGCATGCTATCAACGCAAAGAAAATGAGGTCGATTAGTCTAAGCTTCTTGCCGGGTGCTGGACTCATGCGTAAAAATCGCATGTAAGTGAAGCTGGTTTGAAGAATTTCAGTTTCTGCCTCGTCGACGAAATCACCATCTTCTAGTAGGTTGTGAAACTCAGCTTTCAAGTTATTCCACATACTTCCCGATTGTGAAATTCTTGAGATATGTGTGTTCTTTTATATTTTGAGTTTAGTTTAAATTCTCTTCATTTTTAGAAGTAATTTGCAAAAAATTATTATGTAGCAAATTTTGCTTTGTATTTACAAACCTTTTAATTTACAAAAAAATGAAAGTAAATTGCTTAACAATGTCTGATATTAAGAGTCCTGATATAGCAGGGCAATCAATGAGTAAGCGTTCTGAATTACATGCCCAAAAGTGGTCAAGGCCAAAGGACCAAAGAAAATGGTATCAATGTAGAAGTAATAATTTCCTCTGCCAATAATCATCAATACAAACTTTTGTGTTTCGACATCGTAGTCAAACCAATCATTATTATAAATTTGCATTGGTATATCCACAGTTTCATTGATTAATATCTGTCCACCATATGAAAGTATCGCCAATACTAATAACCAACCAAGGCCATGCAATATTGTCTTCAATTCAGGTTGCATTAGAAATTGGAAAGCAATCAACCCGATAACAGCGCTTGTAAACGATGATAACACAAAACAAGCTATAGACATGCAATCATTCAACTGATGCGCTAATTTAATCAAATACACATGATAACGCACACAATCCTTTAGGCGCTGTTTTTGATTTTGGTTATTAACACTAGCTCTACTAAATGCTGCACGCATATCTTCTTTGAACATTCGAATTCGTGAATTGATAACAACCACCAACCCACAGGTGAATGTTAATACCACTGCGGCGGCAATACATACCACTGTGACATTACAAGCTTGCGCCGCGAAAAGTATATAGAAATAAGGTCCCTCGTTGAAGTACATTGGTAAAGGGGCAGGTACAATCAGTCCACACAAACGTTCAATCTTCATTTCGTCATTTTCCTTCAAACATCTACTGCGTTGCCAGTAACTTATAAATATGTAAAGTGATATTCCACCAATTGTATAAGAGACCAAAAATAAAGTCACAAAGTTTGCAATGCGGTTGGCACGATCGAAACACACTGGTTTACGAAATTGTCGAAATGTTCCAATTTTATGAGCCAGATTAGCAATGTCTTGATTTTTGTAGATGAACCATCAAAGAGTGATATACATATTCATACCACTGCATATAATCGATAAACATTGTAACAAGTCATCCAAAATTAGATAATCTCGATCTACGAATAATAAATCAGGGAATATTTTGCTTCGGTAGTTTATTTTAAGTATAACTTACATAAGTATTGTACTACACACTCAGCTACTCCACAGCTAAGTGATATCGGTGATGTTATCAACATAAAGATTAAAAGATCGAAGGCTGTAAGCTTCTTGCCAGGTTTTGGACTCATGTGCATCAGTCTCATGCATATAAAACTATTTTGTAGAATTTCTGTCTCTTCTTCGTCGATAAATTCTCCATTTTCGAAGATTTCATGAAATTTGTTAGTGAAATACCTTCGCATTTTGCTTGTATGAAAACTTTTTCACATATGCGAAATTGAAGCAATAGCCATGTTGTACAAATCAATATCAAAGAAAGTACTTTGTGATTATGTTTTTTAATATGATCAAATTTTTTGCACAGACTTTTAATTAGAAATAACCAACAAATAACATGTTGTATAATAATTTAATTATTAATCAATTATTTGGCTTGTTGTTGATGCAAAATTGCAAGTAATGAATAAGAATTCTGCATGGCCTAAAAATTATTTCCCATAAAATCAACTTCTAGAAACATCACATCTATATACTTACAAATGCAAATGTAGTCAACCCTAATGGTCCCAAAAACATTGTATCAATAAATAAAAAATGATTTCCACGAACAATGAACATATAGACAAATTTTTGAGTTTCCACCTCGTAGTTATACCAATTGGTATTGTAAATATGTTCAGATAAATCAGACGTTTCATCAATTAATGCTTGCCCTGCATAACACAAAATAGACAGCACCATGAACCATCCAAATCCTAGTAATGCCGTTTTCAGTTCTGGCTTCATTGAAAATTGGAATGCAACCATCGCAATAACGGCAGCGGTAAACGTTGCTTGAAGCAGGCTTGCAGTAGATATGCAAGCATTCAATTTTCGTATTAAATTAATAATATGTACATGATATCTGACGCTGTATTTCAGACAAGCAATACGTCTGTGTTTTGAGGAAATCTCGAATGCATTATGTACTTCTGCTTTGAAGTGTCGAATACGCGATATAATAACAATGACCAATCCGCAGATAAAAGTCAAGATAACAGCCGTAGCAACGCAGAGCAGTATACAATTAAATAATATAAATGAAGACAACATTTCTACATAAGGGGAATTGTTGAAATATTCTGGTAAAGGAATGGGTGAAACTGGGCCACAAATTCTGTTGATTGAAAGTTCAATATTTTCCTTCAAGCAATCATCACGGAACATGAAGCTAATAAATCCGAAGAATAAAGTTCCTAAAATCGTATAGATTGCCATGAAATCGGTAACAAAATTAGCCAGACGGTTAGCGCGGTCAAAACTCATCGGTTTTGGAAACTGATGAAAAGAGCCAATACTTTGGGCGAGTTCTGCAATTGCTTGGTTTTTATACATAAAAACTCCAATGGTGAGGTAAATATTGACACCAGTTGCCACCAAAGATAAACACTGAAGTAAATCATCCAGCAAGATAAAGTCTCTATCTAAAATTTAACACACTGAAGCAAATTCAATTGATTTTTCTTTCGTACTTACTAAAAACGGCCACCATCTCTGAAAGGGAACCAGCCATACTGAAGGGAAACATTATAATTGCAAATAGTATCAAATCTTGACCACTCATGTTTTTGCCATGGCTGGGTATCATGCGGAACAAGCGCATAAACCAAAAACTAGATTGTAAGATTTCTGTTTCATTTTCATCCACAAATTCTCCATCTTCCCACAATTCCTTATATTTGTTTACAATTTTATTTAGGAACATACTTAGACACGTTGTAATCACTGAAGTACTATTAGAGTTGTGTTTGCAAAAAGAGTAAGGTCAGTGTAATATAGTTCGTTCTGCAGGTCTTATAATCAGATCAAATTGCATGCAAATTACAGGTCGACAATAAAAAATGAGTATTGCTGGTTGCAAACCGTTCTATTAGGTAAATACCTAGACGTATTACATCGCATATACAAAATTGCACACTATTGTGTGTACCACGTGTACACGTGGAAGCTTAACCAAGAAGGGACCACGCGTTGGGGTAACAAATATATTTAATTTCTGATAATAAAAAATGCCGTTAATTTTGATTGTTTTTGTAAGATAGACCAAGAATGTCTGCCTAGCCTTATTTATAGATAGATCAAGAGGAAGGTTTACATGTATAATAACATCCATTAAATAGTGGAAAATGAATCGCAAAAATTTGTTGGTAAGCGTTGAAGTTGACCGGTTGATGTTTTTGTTTGGAGAAGGAAACTCTTTGTATGCTTAAATCATTGAAAACGCAACGGATTTTGATGCGGTTTTTATACTAATTTGGTCAATTCTTTTTTAAAATGTTCGTTGAAGTTCAAAGATGGTTTTTACGGTGAGAACAATTAGAATAATTGCCGGGAAAACCCTAAAGACAGCCCTTTTCTATAGGATAAAAGTTGGCATTGAGATTAATTCATATATATAGTTAAATAATTGAATCCGAGATGGCGCATTGAAGTGCATTATTAGCAATTCTTTATATAATTAATTTCTTTAAAATAAAATTGCGAATCTCATTGATAGAATTGACACATTCTATGCCTAGAACAACAGAGTAAAAAACGAATTACATTTTGACTAAACACTACCGGGACGAAGTTGCGGGCAAAAGCTAGTTTCAAATCAGAATAGTTAAAGAATGATTGAATGATGCAAACTACGATTACAATTGGGTTCGAATTTAAAGTAATAGTGTTGTAGTTATTAATTTAATTCACACGCAAAAAAGAAGTCGATAATAAAAAATAAATATATTTGCAAATGGCATACAATTTTGCTATATAAATGAACTTACGCTATCACATAAACAAAATTGCACAATGTTGTCTGTACATATGTTTGTAATTTAATTACTTATAATAATTAATTTATGCAACGCCTTTAAGCGCTTCGCATTTATTCTTCTTGCCAAAATTAGCAGCTTCTTCTAAAGTATCAGGCAATTTGGTATTTCTGGTCTCTGGAAGCCATAATACCAAAATAGCACCAATCAAAGGTGCTACACCAAATATCACTGGAACAACCCATGGAGCAGCTCCGTACGCACCCAAAGTACTGATGTGTGGCGCTGCAATCGATCCGAAACGAGCCATCATGGATGTTATACCAACTCCCAAATTACGGACCACTGTTGGGAAGACTTCACCCGAAAACAAGTAAACCGATGGGAAAGAAATTGATATTCCAAACATGGCAACTACAGCAAGGATCACTCTCCAATGAGAATGTTCCTCTACAAACGGAATGAGCAACATAAAAATGCCAGCGACACAGTTGGAAAGAATAAGTGTAGGTTTGCGGCCTAATTTCTCCAAAAGTAAGATGGAAATGCAAGTTCCAGGTACTTGGATTGCTGCCGATGCGGCAATATTCCAGAAAAGATTACCACCCAGTTGACCCACGTACTGTGCGACGCCAAAGAAACACAAACCGCAGACGATCCAGTTGAATCCAATGCAACAAGTACGCAAACACATAACTCTAGTGTTAAACAAATCAACGGCACGTCCGCGTGCCTGTGTCTCGTTTTGTTTCTTTTCAGCGTATGTTTTCACTTCCTGTGCAATGCTCTCCACCGGAAGATTGTTGTGTTTTGCGGCGGTTTCGAGAATTTTGGTTGCTTTCTCGACCTCACCGGCAGCGAGCAGCCATCTTGGTGATTCTGGTAGCAACCAGAAATAAGATATCAAGATAATCGAAGGTAATGAGATCGCTAGTTGAGAATAACGCCAGTCTCTGAATAAATATCCAAACAGTGCCAAGGTCAAATGACCCAGATTGAAAGGGATTTGATAGAGTGTTGCTACTGTGCATCGCCATTTTGTACCTAATAAAAGAATAACATCGCATGAGTGAGAACATTAATAGAAATTAATTTAATTAACACACCAATTAGTTCCATTACGAGAACAAAACTTGTGACCATGGTACCGCCAGTAGCTGTAGCAACGACAAAACGTAACAGCAAAAACGCCCATAACCATGGAACGAAAGCGCACAGCGAGCCGGAAATCACTTGGATGATCACCGCTACGATCATTGGTTTACTTCGCCCTGATCTAAAATTATCATAATTATACATTTCTAGAGGTCTCATGTTTAATTTAATCTTCATTACCGATCAGACCAGAAACCGAAGAATGCGTTGCCAACCAAAATTCCAAACATGGTGAAAGTCTGCGCCATGTTAGCCAAATATGCTCTATCACAAACCAGGTCCCATTGGGAGATTATTGTATCCGTAAAGATAGAATCATCAAAAATGTGTTTAGTACAATTAGCAGCACATCGATCCACATTATCAATACATGAGAAATTCTGCGCTGGGGCAATGATAACGATATTTAACTGATGCCATGCCACCGGAAACTTGACCAGAAAGATGATGAAACATATCCATAGATGCCAGCGACCGAAAACTCCCATGGACTTTTGAAAGACATCGGTAGTTTCGTCCGTTTTCGATACTACAACATAAATAATCAAATACAGTCAATGAAATAAAAATGACCTCAAAGTCACAGTAGATACCTATGTTATAAGGTTATCACCAAATATAATTTACACACGAAGCCCGAAAAATGTTGTCACTTAATATGATAAAAAGTGATCTTTGACTTTGAACAAATAAAAACACAATTTACGTTTTCCTGTGACACCAATTTGAAACAATAATCTTATTTTAATGCCGAGTAGTCATAACATGTGTCAATTAATTCCTTAATTATATGATTCAACTCACAAAAATATTACAAATATTATGTTAATATAATTGGTGTTATTACGAATGTGTTTATTAATTCATGGGCATTCGAATTATGCGCTTTTGAAAAAACTCGAGGAAATATGAAAATAATTTTTGTTGAAACTTTGTTTACAACTATTAAAATTACCGTATTTATCATAACATAACATCAACAATACAATATTCTGTAATAAAAACACTTTTAAAAAATAGCATGAAATATTATTGAATTTTTAGTTTCTACCAAACACGCAAACCAACGTTTACAATAATTCGGTACGGTAATTATCAAAACTTTAAATTACAAATTGTTAAAATGTGAAATTATTTTTAAACAAAATAATATAACATCGTCATGATTATATTATTGTATAAATGTATTAAAAACCTTCACTATTAGAGAATATTCCAAGTGAAAGTGTGACTAGAAGAGAACGCACGGATATTCTATCAGTAAAATGAGGAAACACTCAAGCGAGTGTTATAACAAATTAATTATGATAAAAAGTCAGAGCAATTATTTCCAAACTAATCACATTACTAGATATTGTAATTTGATTATGCAATTCGTCATCTAGGTTCTAATTTCCGAACGAAAATGTTCTCCGCGACGGAATGTCGAAATGTGCACAATTAACTAGATTACAATGCACGGGTCAAGCGCGTGTCCGTCTGGAACGCAAATTCGCGCATTAAAACATGACATGCGAATCGATCACGCTATTGTGTCTGCCACATTTGAATCAAATGCATAAGGTACATTCTAACACGTTTTTTTTTCTTCCACGCATGATCGCGTCCATCCAATTTGAATGTTTTTTTTATGTATTTACTATGAATTGGAATTGTTGCGGTAATTTTGCGCGTGTTTGCATCATAATTAACTCTTTCTGCTTGGTACGCGTTGTTTCTTTTTTCGATTATAATATGACACAGATACCGATCGATTCAACGACATTACTTGACCATTTTATACAGTGTGTTAGGTGAGCACTAATAAAAATTGCGGACGCGTTGTTGTACTCGTAATGTAGTAGAACTCAGCAAAAATCAAACTTTTCAACTTTCACATGGATAAAAGCGTGTAAAACATTATTATAGAACTAATTAAATCAATTTGTTGATGCTGTCGAGTTGAAAAGACAAGGACGTTTGTTATGTAACAACTGAAGATTCATCTTTAATTGTCACCTTGGACTAAATAAATGATAATAGCAAAAGTTTTACATTTTTAAATGTCATTTTTGCAAAGTTTTGCAGAGCAAGGTGTATATTTTATTTATTTATTAGCTGGTAGTTGTGCAATGGATTTTACCGACTAAAACAAATCCAACTGGTATTTGAATATTACATTCATCGAGAGAAATTAATTATTATGCAGGCTGGAGGTGCATTAGTATTTCAAGTTACGAGATGAATATGGATATTTCTCTGACTAGACCATCAGACTATAACCTGATTATTATTATTTAAATTTTAAATAATTACCCGGTTAATTATATGATAATGGAAATTACAACAATCGTAAATTGTGCATAATTCAGATTATTATGTATAATTCAGTCTACAAAATCATCATTATATCATAAAAATTATCAACAGTTGTTTAATGATAAAGTATTTATTAAATCTCAGTCATTTTAAAAATGGTAAATGCTTTAATCAACAAAAAAAGCATACCTTTTAATTAACTACTGTGGCACTTGCGTATTCGGCTTTTAAATGATGTGTAACCAGGCAATTTATTTATAAACAACTTAACGATTAACAAACGTAAAAAGTGCAAATGACGATAACATTGTTTTAACACTTCGTAAAGAATGTTTAGTTAGTCAAATTGTTTTAAACAATAAATATTATACCACTAACAATCATAAAGTGAATAACTTTCATACTATTTTTTTGTAGAATGTGAATAATCAGTAAGGTTATTTTGCTTACCGTTTTCGTTTTTATCGTTCGCTACCGTCATATTTGCTTGCAGATTTAAACGTTTATTTTAAAAAAAAGTATAAATATTACCAACTGATTAATTGATAAACTGGAATTTACCAAACACAAAATAACTCTTAATACATATTAAATCACTATTTTATTTTATGTCCACTTTTTGCAAACAAAAGAAATTTGAAAAATCGCGGCCACTCGCTGTCGCGATGCATCGACGAATGCGCGACTTAAACGAAATTGAATCTGAATGTGAAACGCAAAGTCAAACAGCAACGAACAGCGTTCGACACGTGCAGCATTCACGAGCGACGCGACTTAAGTCACTTACGGCACGCGGTGCGCCGTTGACTTATAGCTTCTGCAAATCCGGGCGAGTTAGAGGGCACTTACCGGACTCTCCCATGTCGGTAAACTATGCGCGCCTCTAAGTAAATAATGATCCTAAGTGCGTAATGAGGATTTGAAGACGCCCGAATGAGTGTGAAACGTGCCGGCCCAAATCATGCAATGATTGCCATCAATTACCCGCCGGGTACTCGCACAATCTAAGCGTACTCAACATGGTGAGAGGCAGAGGATGAAGTTATGACCTTAGTGAGATTGATTTCCTCGTCCCTCAAAGAATTGAGACGCAAGTTAAGTCGATGACGCACGCGTAGCAACGAAGGAATGTCGAAGAAGTACTTTAAGGACCTGTTTTCGGGAATGCAATGCCAGAAGATTCAAGATCAACTTCTCGATTACAAGCAGAATTGCACTTTTGTTTTGTCTGCTCAAAATAATTCAAAAGATATGAAAAAATCAAAACTAATTATTTTTACAAAACAAAAAAAAAAACATTTTTAAAAACTGTTTTCTATATTTTATACTGAATTCAGCTGATAAATCTAGTTTTAATAGTGTATATTAACACATAGTACATAATAATTTAAGTATATGGCTTTAGAAACTCTAAAAATCTGATTGGAAAAAGTGGAAATTCAATGAAATCAATAAATTGAGTCTTGAAATGTCCATTTTGGAAATCGCTATAACTTTTATTTGCTATTTCCGAGAATCGTCTAGGAAAAAGTTTGCAAAAGTTGACTCTTCCTTGTTTAGAATCTCTTCACATAGCAAACAAAAAACGTGATAGAAAAGAAGTTTGAAAGTTAATTGCAACAAGTGAACCGTATACCGCTGCGCTGACCTAGAAGCGCCATTTTTTACATTTTGTACGCTTATCAAGGTCAATCTAAATATCTCAAGATTACTTCAGTTTAATCAAACAATAGACCAGGTTTAATTCATCAAAATACATATTATAATGTGAAATTTACATATCAAATCAATGGAATATTGATTGTGTGATTCACTTATGTTGTTTACTTTTTTTTTCTAACAAGTAACATAAATTTCCCGTACATGCTTCACGTGAATTAATAAAAATGTAGTAAATATTGATTCAATTTGTACATCACAACATCTCCAAAATTCCATATTGCGCAATTTGCAGTATAGTTATTAATATATTAGCACTATTGTTATTTTTGTAATGTTTTCATGGAAGATTAGTCAAGTTTGTTGACTTAGCACATTGGCCCACCTTAAGATCATTCATCTAGACAATTAACAACAATTACCCTTTAATTACAAAATACTAATTTCAGTCATCTTGTAATTAAACTAATTGATAGTTCAATGCTCCAATACTTAGAGTATCAAGTGCATAAAATGAATTTTAGGTTAACGCAAATTTTGGCATAACCCAATATTTAGATAATAGAACTTTACGTTAAATTATTTGTAAATTTAAGGATAACCGTACTTTTTTTTCAAGTAGATAAAATTACAAATTTTTCTTCAACATACAAAGAAATGACTTACATGTTTTTAAAAGACGTTCTCTTTCCTTCAGACGCACTTCAATGTTGCTCAACTTTTTATCTTTAGATCGGCTCATATTTTCTTCGAATTTGAAATATTTCTAGACTATTAACAAACACTTTAACACGTAGTATAAATGAAACTATTGTTTTATAGAACAATTAATCGCATCCCAGTTCCGTGTCGCTCTCGAAGCAAATGGTAAAAGGGAAAAATCTATAATAGATAACGAATTATATATATATGGTACAAAGTCAACAGAATTTATTTATACTTGTTCTTATTACTACTGGGTTTTGATTGTGGATCGTTCGGGTGCGTTTCCATTACGTGTCACCAATGTGAGTCGACGTGACGGAGATAACAATAGATTTACATACAATCTAAGTGCATTTAATTCATCCGAGTTACACTGTGTGTTTGTCAAAATGCCGTGGCAAAGAGATGTGCATCGTTAAAATGTCTAAAGTGTGTTTGCACCTCAAACATATTTTGGGGAAGACGCACGTTAATCATATTTGCAAGTACAAAGTTATGTTTATCATACTACAACTAGAAGCGTATTCGACCCATAAAAATGTTGTAAAAATGTAGTTTTTGTAAATAATACTAATTATATTTAACTAATTACAATTTAACGAATGGTTTTTCCTAAAAAGAAGACCATGGTCAAATTTATTTACTCTGAACATTTGTTAGTTTAGGCAGTTTTATCTTTCCTTGCTCTTTTGCAACATTTTCGACAAAAACATCTCAAAATTGCACAAATTATATACAGTTGTACCGCAAAAAACACAATAAACATAAGATAAATATCTAAATTTTGCGAATAAAATATACTCATGTTTCTGCTCAAAGAAGTTAAGTGTTTTGCATCGCCATGTCTTAACACATACTCCGCCCAATAAGTAAGTGTATCCATTGGATCCATTTCAGTATCTCTGTATCTCTTTGATAGTTGCTTCATAGTCAATTCGTATTTTTCTGTAAAAAGCACTTTCTTCACTTTCTGGCAGAAAATATCTTTGCTTCTTTTCGATTTGTGCATGTCTCGAACGTTTACAACTTCACCACCACCTTTCGTCTTTAATTTCTCCACGTTGTTGATTTGATCCAGGAATATTGGTACTCCAATAATGGGAACACCAAAATATGCAGTTTCATGTGTACTCAGACCGCCGCCATGTGTGATAAATAGTTTTGTTTTGGGTTGTGCCAATATAGCGGTTTGTGGTGCCCATGAGACTGTATTTATATTAGATGGCAGTTTTAACGAAGCTGGCGGTGTGATCTTCCAGATAATTTGATATTCTGATAGTTCGGCAAAACATTGAGCAAACGATTGCAAAATTGGTGTTGAGAGACTTTCACTTTTTGAGTTGGAACCCAACGAGAAGAAAATCACTCCAGACGAAGGTTTGGCAAATATGTTTTCAATATCCTAAATAAAATTTAAAAGGATTAGAAACTTTTGTATATTAAACATATAATAAAATAAAACCTTTGGTAGTTTTTCTCCTTTCTTAATCTGAACACCACCAACGGGAATCATATTGGGACTCAGTGCTTGTGGTTGATTCAAAGCAACATTCCAATTTAATAAAACCAAATTAAAATTTTCTTCCACACGCTCAAACTTAGTTAGGTCCCAATCCCAGAATACTTTTTTGGAAGTTTCAACATACTTCTGTTTATAATAAGTGTTTCGTCTGTATATATTATAGTTGATATAAATAATGTTTATTAGCCTCTGCCAGAGTGTTGATGCTTCAGCAAAAGGCATGCAGACATTTCCAACATAGGAATAAACATGTCCTCCATAAATACTCTCGACAGTATCAGACAAACCATATGGACTGACACCAATCGTTGGGGATAACCAAAATGTTGAATAAGTGGATACATACATTCGCCCATCGTGTGATCCCAGATAATCAAATCAAATTTGAAATTTTTTGGGTAAGATAAAAGTGTGTGAATTTTAGGATGATGGAGTGCTTTCTTACAAACGTCCAGCATAAAATCAAAGAGGAAATCAACAAATGGTGGAATTGTTAATGGAGTAAATGTAATCTGCTGAAGCTCATCACTTGTGTAACCATATGCAAAGTGTTCGTATATTCCTAAAAATTATTTAAATTAAATTTATAACAGTTTAACAATATTTAAAAACATTGCGTACCATCCAAAGTAATAACAGTGTAATTGTCACGTTTAAGTTTGGTCGGATCTAACGAAAGAAAAGTGATATTGTGCCCTTTGTCAATCAATCCCATTGACACTGTTTCCATCCAATAATGATGGCTGTGTGACACCGTCAGTCCTACCATTAAAATGTTCGCAGACCATACTTCTCGTGAAATTAGCACCAAAATTAATAATTTAAACATTTTTATGAATTTATTTTCATTAGACTAGTTAGAAAGTTAAAAGACGTAAAAATGTTGGAATAACTTTATTATCACTGTGGGTGTGTTTACTTAGAACAATAAAAATTGAACAATAAATTAGGATCACGCGCTAGCAGTAGCAGTGGCAAGTTTAAAACTGTTATGAAACAAAAGTGACTCTAACTTTTATTTATACGGTGTATGAACTACTATTACATGAGCGTATTCCTAATAAATACTTAAAGTGGGTTCAATTTATTAATAGCACCAATGTTGCTCTGCAATTTCATGGGCACAAATGTTATCGGAGTGACTTGAATTTTGCTTTGTTGCTTAGAGTTCCGACATGGTGCTGTAGAGAAGCATTAACACCGAGTAAATGTTGTTTATCACCTAAAAAGTTTTTGTTTATTAAACGTAAATCTTTTCTATTTACTAAATAATGACAGTTAATTCAACAACAGTAGTAGTTGCAATATTTTTCGCAATCAGTTATTGATAAAGATAAAAATATTTATTTGACCTGCAAGTAAAATGTTACGTAGTCGAGAATACGATTGCGAATTGATTAATAGTTTTATGTAGAAATGTCAGCAATTAACTCGTGTATTACTTGCAAGTCACTAAATTATTATTAATCTTACATTTCCAACTATTGATAAGTTAATAGGTCCATAACCGTCACGATTCAAATCCAGATAATTGTTAGCACACATCAACATATACACCAAGTCTTTCATTGATTGATTATCGAGATTGTACCATTTTGAGGAGTAAATAGCCAATGGGATTTCAGAGGATTCGTCGAGTAATCGCTGTCCCGCGTAGCATGGAATTGCAAGGCTGATCAACCAAGCTGTACCGTGAATCATATACTTGGGATCAGGGTCTAATAGAAACTGAATGCCAATTAAACTCTCTAATATCGTCACCATCATTTGATGATAAAGCATAAGTTTTCCCCAGCATTTATTTAAATTTTTGCACATCCTAAAAACATATTTAATTGTATTTTATGAATGTAAATAATAAAATAAATTTTTACTCTATAATCTTGACGTGGTAGTCAACACAAAATTTTATTTCCTCTCGTACTAATTCCGGCCGGTCTCCAAGTTTTGTAATCTCGGATTTGAGATGAACAATCTTTGCGTTGAAATTTTCAACCGATGAATACAAATACGACATTATTGTAATACCAGAGGTAAGTAGTAAGTTCAAGCTGAAGTTTTGCAAAAGCCAGGTGACGATAAACTTTTCGAGTGTGTCTATCTTATAAGGAAACCTCAAGGGTACCAGAAATCCACACTCTCGCGTCTTGTGTACATCACGCTCTTCGCATTCTGCTTTGTCTAGAACACTTGACAGTGAATACAATATGGAACCTATCCAGCCATACAGATAAAAGAAATAGGTAAAGTAATTGCAATATTTATCTGCTGTGTCTATTCCTGGTGGTTTTCCAAAACGCGTGTAATCATTCAAATCGTGCATGAATTCGTCCAGTTCGGGAATGTGAATCATCATTATGTAGATAGTATAGTACACAATAATGTGTACAACCAGTGTTATCATAGATTCAATCGTATCTATTAAAATCACATTTTGAGGATCTGAAAACATAAAAGATGTTATATAACAATTAAAATTAATTTTTATTCACTGACTATTAAAAGAGAACCACATGTGCTTAAAGCCACCGAAAAGTGTGATACTGCAAAAGCATAGCATGCTCGCAGCTCGTACAAAGGGCCAAAAATTTGTTATTTTTTGATTTAAAGGTGGCCATAATTGATGCAAACGCAGAAAGCGCAATGGAACACGCAAAATATCTAAATCCTCTGATTTTCCATACATATTTTTAACTAAGTTTTATCTCGCTATTATATCTTCTTATATATACCAAGTATTTCTTACGAACAAGTTTATTACAAAGGAGTTAATAAATAGACAATAATTTGATGTTTGATTACTTGAAAGATTTTTAAAGTTTACAAGAAATAAAAACAAACTACAAAATGTTTTACCTTGTAATCTAGATGGTGGATAATTAATATATATTTACCGTGATTGTTTTGTTAAGAAGAGCGATTAGATTAATGCGTGGACAAGTTATACTTTGATTTAATATCTAAACATGATTTAATATGTATTGAGCATAGGCAACTTAGTATACTTAACTGCACATATAGTTCACTACCTTAAATCAATATATTCCCTAATTATTCTCATTATTCTTTAATCCAACCGTTTCAATGCAAATTTGAATTCAAATGCATGCAAAATTACATTACATACTTATAATTACCTTAAGATGAATCTGTAAAGTATTGTGAACATATCTTTGTTAGAAGTATAATTCATTTCAATACAGCAATTAAAACGAAACTTTATTTGAGGTGATTAAGTTTTATTGCATCAAATTAAAGAGTAGGACAGAAATTGCACAAAAATAACACATCTAGCAACTAGCAAAACCGGCATTAAGAATAATATTGTGAAACTGTCCAGTAAATTTGATTTGATAATTATAAACGTCTCTGAAAGGTCGTTTATGTTTATATTGTGTATAAAGCGCACCTGTTTATTATTATATGATATAACAAAAAATGGTTTCGTTTATGCAAATTATAAAGCATTGTAAGTAGCTGATTTTAGATAAAATTATGCTAATGAGCATTTATTTAAATATTTGTTAAATATTCAACGCAAAACTTGTTTAAATTTATTGATTTACCTTATTAATTTGTTTTGAAGATAAGGAGACATTGCAATATTTAGAAAATGCATGTAAATGCTTTGAGAACAGTATTATATATATATTTTTTGCCTTAAAATATTTTTGTAAAGATACCTAAAAAATTAATTTGAAAAAAATTAAGTTGGTAATAAACATATTTGTAATTACTACCCACACGCACATATATTGAAATATTGACAAGTACGTCAAAACAAATGAATGATTAATGCGCAGATGATGTAAAATTATTTCAATATTTCTAACATTTTGTTTATTGTGCGCAGATTTACACTTTATACGAGTACTGTAGGAGAAAAATAAAACACTACACATAAAAATCCTTTTTTTCTTAATGAAATAATATTTGTTTTTGTGATTTTATATTTATATCTTACATAACTTTTAAGTAATTGCCCAAAAGCTGTAAATGGTATATAAAATCAGTGTCATTACCAACGACCATCCAAAATAACGGACGATAACTCGTTTTCGTTGAAGGTGGACTTGTTCATATCGTGCAGACATGCTATACATTCTCGCTAGTCCAATTACATAAACCCGTCTCATATCAATCAGTATAAAACATTAATTTAAAAAATGTTGTTCTGATATGCTGCCAAAAATCGAATTAAAATTCATAGTTCAATGCCGACTTGTTTATGATAGTGTGGAAAATGTTTCCACTTCTAGGTCTAATAAAGCTAATTGCCCAACTCCAGGCGTTGTGTTCAATGTGTTAACACGCAAAATGCGGAAGCTTTGATGTCACGGTCACTCACACACCGGCCAGCACGATGCACAACCGGTACTTTAAACACGCAATGTGTTACTATTCCCCGGTATGTGTTCCATGCTGTGGGACCTCACGGCATTCTCGCCGTCTTCCAACAGTATCTTAACATCATCCACGACGCGAACTACTCGAGGAATTCTTTCCTCCGAAGGAAAACGGTCGCAGTCGGTCAAAAGTTGAATCGAGACGCGTATTACGTGATATTGCACCGACTGCAGTGTGTTTATATAAAGTGTTGAGTGAAAAACTCGAATTTACATAACAGTCATCACAGAATGCATGCAATTGAGGATTGTCGTCAACTCATCGTGTCATTACGCTGAAGTTTCAAATTTTCCATCATTCGCGTATAATTTTTTCCTAAACATACGTGTTTATTCATTTTTACGTCTCGAGAGGAACGTGATCATTCACATCCGCAATTTGCAGTGATTAGCGTTATTTCAAGTGTTACAAATTTGCATTGATAAAATCAATACATCACAAAATGGCAAAAAATATCAACGAAAATGGAGAGGTAATGTTTATTTTATTTTATAATTATTAAGCTGTTAATATAACCGGATAACTAACTAACAAAACTAACAAAAAACAAATTTAATACTTGCTGGCTTATCATCTCAACAGAGATAAAATTATAGAAGCTTATGCTTTTAGTCGCTTTTGCCTTGAGTGCTGTAACTCAAAATTAAAACAAAATTATCACATATCCTACACGTCTGTTAATAAATTCTAGTGCAAATAAACACTTGAACAGTTTAAACATCGTATTGAAGCAGCAAGGTACCAATAACTGAATTAAAATCAATTAAAGCTACTTTACGAATGCAATGTACATATTTATTATGCTATGCACGCTACGCTTTACTAACCGATTTACTGATTTCTAAATCCAAATGAATACAATAGGTTATCGACTTGTCTGTGTGCATAAACTACATACACTCCGTTTAATTTACCACGATATAAATCGTTCAGTTATATGCATTGAGTATTCTAGCGAAGTTTTGTTGTAGGCATCGAAAATGTCGTTTCTTGTCGTGGAATACCTACTCGTTATATTCTTCAAGCTAATTTACATCATTTGGTACCTGCCCAGAGTTCTGATGGGAATGTGCCGTCGAAAAAAGGTCTGCGTACCGTTGAATGATCCTCCGGAAATTATGCAAATCTCTGGAATAGAGTTAGCGAAACGCATAGCAAACAAAGAAGTAGGTTTAAATACATAATTTTAATTAGGAAGTTTTATCATATTTGTTTTGTTTGAAATGTTTTTATAGGTAACATGCAAATTTGTGTTTGAATCCTACATTAATAGAATTAAAGAAGTGAATCCAATATTAAACGCAGTTGTGGAAGACCGTTTTGAACAAGCTCTTAATGAAGCCGTTCATTTGGACGAACAAATTAAAACCTCTGACAAGACGGCGGAACAATGGCTGGAAGAGTTTCCATTGTTAGGAGTACCACTTACCGTTAAAGAGAGTATTGCAGTGAATGGAATGAGCCATACGGCTGGTTATTTCCTGGCTGCCGGTCGTCGCGCAAAAGAAGACGCTGAAATAATCGAACCGTGCAGAAAAGCAGGTGCAATTATTATAGCTGTTACGAATACACCGGAATTATGTTTGAATTGGGAGAGTCACAATAATCTTATTGGTACAACAAATAATCCTTATGATAGCCGACGAACAAGTGGCGGTTCTTCAGGTGGCGAAGGTGCTCTATTGGGAGCTGGTGCATCAGTAGTAGGAATTGGATCTGATCTTGGCGGTTCGCTAAGATTGCCAGCGCATTATTGTGGCGTGTTTTCACACAAGGCTACTGCACATGTCGTCTCAACAGTTGGACATTTTCCTGGGTGCGGTGATACGGAAAAATGGAATTCACACTTTACCCTTGGTCCGATGTGTAGATACGCGACGGATTTACTTCCTATGATGCGCATTGTTACTAAAGATGAATTTAAACCAACCTTGAACCTGACATCAGAGGTACGACTATAAAACTTTAAATGCGTAGTGTAAAATAAATACTTTTATTTCTAGGTGGACATTTCAAAAATTAAAATTTACTTCCTTAAGAATTACGGGTCTATTTTGACTTCAAATTTGGACCCGCAGATATCTACAGGATTAGATTTCTTGCTTGATCATTTTAAAATTAAATACAATCTCAATGTGCAACCTGTAAGTATTTTACTTTAATATAATTGATTATAATTGATTGAATTTTTTAATTTTTTTTAGCTTGAGAGAAAATTCTTTAAAAACAGTGTAATCCCTGCACTCCATGCTCTGATCCAAATTAAAGATGTCGAGTTTGAACGACCCAAAGGTCTATTCTGTGGTCTCTTGAAAATGTTGTTTAACTGTTCAAATATAACTTTGAACACTTACATTTATCTACTACTTGAGAAATACGGTAGAAGTTTACCGGAATCCACATATATCAAATGTAATAACAGCTTGGATGAACTTAGAAACGAATTGGAAACTATACTTGGAGATGATGCAGTGTTAATTATGCCTACGTTTCATAGACCTGCTGATTATCATTACACGACTATGCCTAGAGTTTTGAACACTATGAATACACTTGTTTTCAATTCGATAGGCTTACCTGTTACATGTTGTCCTATTGGCTTTAATTCGGATGGATTGCCCTTTGGTGTTCAGGTTAGCACAGCGTAAAGTATAATGAAACATATTTATTAATGTTATTTGTTTGTAGGTTATTAGTAAGCGCTTCAATGACAGGCTTTCTATAGCTGTAGCCGAGGAAATCGAAAATATTTGTGGTGGGTGGAAAATGCCGCGAAAGAAGTGATATTAATATGTGAAGTGAATTTGTAGAGTCTCAATTTTATACCAAATTCTCTAATATTTATAGTACACTTTTATATCTTTATATAAATAAACTTATATTGTTATAAACATATCAATTTAATTGATTATTATCTTTTGATTATGTACTTTTGTTGAAGTGTCCGTAAAGCTTCAAGAAATAATATTGTTCCAGTGATCTATTTAGGATATTAAGTGGTTGGAACAAGTCAATCATGTAATGTAAATGTTAAATGCTTTTATTTTTATTTTCTCATCCAATCAAATGATAGATTTAAAGACCGGATTGTTCCTTGATGTAGCTGCGGAGAGCACCAACGTTGGAGTAGACTCCAGCGTGAGTTGGGCGAGCGCAGCCGTAACCCCAGGAAACAATACCGACAAGTTGGCCGTTGGCAACAAGTGGGCCACCAGAGTCACCCTGGCAAGCGTCTTTGCCTCCCTCTGGGACACCAGCGCAGATCATCCTGTCGGTGATGGAGCCGGATCCGTATTGGTCATTGCAATCCTCGCGGCTGACAATCTGGACGGTGACAGACTGAAGTTGGTCGGAAACGTAGCCACCTTCGTAGAGGGTGCCCCAGCCGGAGCAGACAACATCGGTTCCAGCAGCTGGGTCGCTACCGTCAGAAGGCAAACCAACAGGTTGGGCAGTGGAGCCAAGTTCGATTTCAGTGGCGAGTTCCAGAACGGAGATATCGTAATCGATATCCCAGCTGCTGTATTGTGGGTTCTGGTGGATCTTGGCGATCTTGATCTTCTGGCCAGATTCGTCGAGGTTGCTGATGCCGGCGACGAGGCTGAGGGAAGAGGCAGAGGAACCGTCAGTGCAGTGAGCGGCGGTCACGGCCCATTTGCTGCTGATGATGGAAGCACCACAGATGTGGCTGCCGTACGACTGCAGGGACAACTGGTAAGGGAAGTCCTCGACGTTGGCGTCATCACCTCCAACAATCCTGCCATCAAGGCGGGGGCGGACAGCTATAATTGACAAAAAATGTTTAATAGAATATATCTACTTTTTTTTTATTATTTGTATAACTTACCGGCGGCCGTAGCCAGGAGAGCGGCGAGTGCGATAAATCTGAACATTTTGTTAGATGTGCCTTTCCCAGCCTTAGTGAGTTCCTTTTATACTCACATCCGCATAATCTTTGAGAGTTTGAATTGATTGATACTGATTAAATAGATTATATGTCTATTCATAGTCTTTCAGAATAACCCACTTCAAAAAGACTCGAAATATATATACACGTGGCACTACAATGTAACTAGCAAAAAGTACTAAAAAATAATAAGTTTTTCGTTTACATCATCGTAAATTCATATGCAGAAAATTAATATCAACAAAAACATTTATTATAAACATAATTCTTGAAGTCATGAATAATCCTAATGTAAATTACTAATAATAATTCATTAAACTAATATTTATTGATTGTCTATTGATAACAATAAAGTTGTTATCACAGTATCAAATCAATAAAAGTAAATACACGTTTTTGCACTGCAATATCCGCTTGTTCTGTAATTACCCGTTTTTGAGTTCAAAAATCATTGACTTTTTGATACTTAAAAGCTATAACGATAACATAACTAACATTTGTAAAGTTGAAAAGATGTGCAACTTATTTTCGGCATTTAAATGATTTCAACGGAATTCATTCTAAGATAGTTATAAACATAATTACTCAGGTAAATAAATCGATACATGAGTATTGACATCTAAATATGAACAAATACGAACATATTAATATTTAAATTTTAAGCTAAACCAACGGTGTTCTTTTGTGTTATAGGGGAAGCTTCGTTACAATAAGATTCGTCTCGTACACTCGTACTCGTATATTAAAGAGTTTAAACTGTACTACAATTAATTATAAATGTATAGATTTAGTACTATGTTAAACGGATTGATGCTGAATTTTTAATGGCAATATAGCAAATAGGCAAAATAATTTTAATACTTTATTTATTTTAATTTTATATATAACATTAGTGAAAGTAAAACTATTTCGCAATAAACTTAAACATTTTGTGATCATTTTGAATCTTACTATCTCCGCTATTGATACTTTAAAATCAAACCTGAGATACACTCGAATTTTTAAAATTGGGAAATGTTTTAATCAGTTAGTTTAATCCATCTAATCAAAATCAATGTTTGCTTTCATAGTATTTTTCCAGAAAATTATTTTAGAGGTAGGTACTTATGAGCGAGTATAAGATACGTGTCTACTCCGGCTGGGGCTACCTCTTCGAAGGTGGCAACACGTTCTTACCAACTTCAGTCTGTCGCAATTCATGTTGTTAACCGCGATAAATGCAATGACCTATAATACGAATTACGCGATGTCACCGACAAGTGATACTTGTTGCCAAAGGCTGACTCGACGATGTCGTTTCCTGTTGTTTTTTTATTAGTCGAAATACGGTGCGACTCTATTTTATAAAATCAATTTTGTTTTAATAACAGAGTCGCACTATTTTGTTAAAAAAATGTGTTCGAATAACAAAGTTGCACTATTTCATAAAATATTTTTGCTCCAATAAGAGAAATGAAAGATGTGCAAAATTCTGGCAAATTATTAGAATTAAAGATGTTGTTCGGGCCAAGTCCGACAAACGTATCGATAACGCGACGAAGTGTTATCAGTTGCATTTGGCAAAACACCTGCCAGGGGACAGCTGCAATTATATGCTTTGTTCTCCCAGTTCACTCCAGACTGCAGCTGCATCATTCTTGCAACGTTAGCAGGAATATCCCCAAACCTTCATTTGCTTCAGTTATGAAATTCATTCGCTCTTGAGCTGTTGTGCAAATTACACGGTAAATAAATCGTAAAATCAGCAAGAGTTTTGTTCACTGCATACCTCATCCGCCACATCACTATTTTACCTTGGAGCGCGATGTTAGACCGGATAAACTCAGTCAGAGTAGCTTGAGCATCGCAAACAAAAATCGGGCAACCGTCTTCAGAACCAGAAGGACAAGCTACGCAGGTTTTGCCCCAACAGATGTAAAACCTGCTGGTGACACTTGCTTCTAGTTTCAAAAGTTTATTATGTGAAATGTAAACTTGCAAACATTAAAAATAGAGTGAGAGCCCGTGACGGCCAAACTAACGTCATTTTAGGACTGATGAAAATGTTTCTATGTGTGTACCCAACATAGAAAAGAACTATCCCCAATTATGAAACTTGGATCGTGGTTCCTTTGGCAATTAACAATTATGATGTCAAATTCGTTATTTTAGTAAACTCCATTTTTACATATTTTAATCGTAACATTATTTTTACGCGGCTCATTGCCAAAAAAAATTATCAAGCCCATTTTTTCTTATGAATTAAAATTTCATCGTTTAAATTTCCAATTTAACTAGCTTATTTTATAGAGAACTAGCTGACCCAGCAAACTTTGTTCCGCCTCGCTTTTCACGTGCAATTTCTTGTTCTTCTTCAGTCCTTTCATTCGCAATCCTTCGAATCCTAGTTGCATTACGGTTTTGTCGGATAAGATTTGATCGTTTTGGGTGCCCTTAACACGAGTCACTTCTATCACTACCTTCAAAGGGTGCTCTGAACACAAGTACGACAAAGGGTTCTAGAGGTATGGCTTGTTTCCACCGCGTGTATTGAACATTGCAAGAAAAGGCCTAACTTTGGTGGTCATTTTGAGGCAGTTACGACCAAATTTCGCAGAGCTTCAGGGGTGCATTTCGAACGTGCACTTTTGTCCTATCATAAACAAAGAAAAAAACTTAATTATCGCAAAGGGTTCCCGAGATATAGCTTGTTTTCCGCTGCGTGTTTTACAAATTGTAAGAAAAGGCCGAACTTTAGCGGCCATTTTGAAACAGTTACGACCGAATTTAGCAGAACTTCAAGGGTACATTTTAAAAATGCACTCTTGTCCTACTATAAATAAAGAAAAAAACTTAATTATCATGAAGAGTTTCCGAGATATGGCCTGTTTTCCACCGCGTGTTTTGAAAAATGCAAGAAAAGGGCAAACTTCGGCGGCCATTTTGAAGCAATTAAGACCGAATTTCGCGTGGCATTACGGGGTCTTCTTCTTCTTCTTCTTCTTAATTTAAGCTTGAGCTTGTATTCTACTGGCTTTTTGTTTTTGTCTGTCCATTATCCGAGGCTCTTCTGCCAGTTCTGTGAGCACTTTGAGTACCTTTGGGTAGGTTGCTGGCCTCACCACAAAGACCCTCCTCCTTTCTCAGCCGGGCTTGGGACCGTCCATGGCGAAGTTCATTACGGGGTACTTCTTAAAAATGCACTTTTGCCCCATTATAAAATAAAGAAAAAACTAAAATATCACACAGGGTTCCCGGGATATGGCTTGTTTTCCACCGCCATTTTGCCATTTGCCATTTTGCCATTTTGCCATTTTGAGGCAGTTACGAGCAAATTTCGCGGGGGCTCAGGGGTGCATTTATAAAATGCACTCTTGCCATATCATAAAATAAATAAAAAGGTAAAATATGACAAAGGGTTCCCAAGATATGGCTTGTTTTCCACTGCGGGCATTAAAATTGCAAGAGGAGGAGTAACTTTGGCGCCCATTTTGAAGCAGTTACGACCGAATTTCGCAGAGCTTGAAGGATGCATTTTAAAAATGCACTCTTACTATACAATACAATAAAGAAGAAACTAAAATATGACAAAATTATCCCAAGATGTGGCAAAAATTGCAAGAAAAAGCGTAATTTTGGCGGCCATTTTGAGGCAGTTATGACCAAATTTCAACAAATTTAAAAAGATAAAATATAACAAAGGGTTCCCGAAATATGGCGTGTTTACCACCGTGTGTTTTGAAAAGCGCGAAAAACGGGCAAACTTTGTCGTTTCCTTCGTTTTCTAAATTACCCGCAATTAAAATAAACAAGATACCCTTAATTCGCGAGCTATTGCAACACGCAGGTCATAAAGCATATGACAGAATAATATAACTTAATAAAAACTTACCAATGCAGTGCTCATTGGATTGCTAGGGCACAGCAAGTACTACAATTAAAAGAAAACATAAGTTAAAATAAAAACATTGCATACAATATAATATTATATTCATACATCGGAGAAAACAAACATTCTGTGCTGAGTAGCGCATCATGGCAACAATATGCATTTGGAATTTAAACATCAAACGTAAACATAAAAAAATTATGAATATTAAACGCACAAATTAATCATCATCATCATTAACAAAACACTGCAGATGCATGTTACAACTATATAGTCAATTGATGACCGAATACAATACCATTTTGGAAAATAAGAGAACGATATGAATCGCGCGAAATACGTCTAGATACGCCAGCGACCGGCACGAAACTGACTGCAATCCATTGATAGCGCAAGCAAAGATTCGCATCTTCAGTTCAGTTCCCAATAAGACAATGTGCCTGCAGCATGAACCCCGCAGGTAAAAGCAATAGATGCACGAAGCGGTCCACCAATGACACTCGACCTTGTGCGTGAATTGCAACAGGCATATTACCTGCGATCACAACTAAACTAAGGACGTCACAACGTGTGGCGTGAGGGGATAGCAGAAAGAAAGTGTAAATTGTGTTCAAAATAAACACAATAGGGATGTTGACTGTATTCAAATAAAAAGATAATTTTTACACAAAATGATAGTTTCTATTATGGAATTACTGAAAATCACAATATTTTGCCTTATTTTTACGTAATTTATTAAATATTATAAATATAAAATACAACAAAATCACTCTCAAGTCACGTGACCACGAACACCAATCAGAGTGCATGACGTCACTCGCTCATAGTGAGATACTTGAACACAGACCTCGTGCGTGCTTTCTTTAAGCGTTCTTCATTGTTTGGCTAAATTCTACAGTGATTTCTGTATAATTCGCTCGAGATTCGCTTGCTGCTGTCTTTGAAAACGTTTGAAAGAGAATTTTTTATAATGGAAAGTGGGTTTATTAAAGCAAATAGTTCAAATTTGCCGAGAATTGACTGTTTTACAGTGGCCAATTTCGCCAGATGGAATATGTGACGAATTTGTAATAGAAATCAAATGCCCGGCACGAGCAAATACATATAAGAATTATGTAAGACATGGAAGAGTAACAAAAAAATATTATGCACAAGTGCAACTGCAAATGTTTTTGTCAGGCAAGAAAAAATGTTATTTGTGTGTAGCTGACAGTAACTTTGAAACTACCAAAGAGGTAGATATTATTTGTGTTAATGTGGACATAGAATATATTCACAATACACTAATAATGCTTTCAGGATTTTATTTTAAAATAGCTTTATTTAAAGACATAATGAGTCTTGTAAATTAATTAAGGTACATGCTATTATAATTACTTCATCGAGTACCATTAATAGATTATTATTAATACAAGCATAAGGCTTTAAAATATATGTTTTTCTGGAATGCTTGTGTGTTTGCTTATTGCATTGATTAAGCAATAGCAACTTTCTGGTACTCCAATGTAGAACCTTGGCTTTTTCTTAATTTTCCTCATCATATTATGAATATTTTGCTCCATCTCTTGTTGATCACTTCTTCATTTAGACTACTACTTCCTGAAGAAGCTTTCACTTGTAAAGAGGATAATCTTGCAGAAGAGGAGTCTGAGTGAGTCACAGACACAGTTGATTGTGTACATAATGATACATCACTGTCTGACTGTTCTTCGTTGGTACTGACATATAGCTTTCTAGAGTCTGTGTGCTTTTACTTCTGAATTTATGAACCATGGATACTTGTATTGATTTGTCTGTTGATATTGGCTTATACTCTGCTAGTTGAAGTACATCTGTTTGCCCTTTTTAAGCAAATAAATAAAATAATGTATTTAGAATCAACTAGTAATAACTGTATAGATACATGCCTGAGCTTGGACCTGGTTGAACCTCAGCCATGGAAATACTTTGTGCAGAGTTCTCAGAGTGCTTGTTCTATTTCTCTTTCACAATCGGCTACTGCTTCCAATCTTTGTCTTTTAACTGCTAATGTTCGTGTTGTTTCATTCCTTGCTGGTCTTCACTTCATATGGTGAAATGCACCAGTAACCTTTATTTGTGAGCATGTGACGTCACAGCGATCACGTGACAAAGTATTGGCGTTTTGGAACGAAATTTGAAACGCAATTTTAAAAGCATGATTTTTAGGCTTTAAACGTTTTTAAAAAAAATATATATATATTTAGGACCATATTAGGTACATATGCACGATTTAAAACACTTTCCCAAAAATAGTCAACATCCCTATTCTTGCATCGAATGCCAAAGTTTGCTGATAAATATAGAAATAAAGAATACAATTCTATTTTATGATTTTTTGTTCAGGCAAGTGCCATCTATGAATGCAACAGATAGTAGTCCCGGAATTTAGATTAATAAAATTAATAAAACAATAAAATTCAAATCATGAAATTATTATTTTTTATGCAATAAGATTTTACATCAAGTATTTAAGCGATTTTTAATTTGAACATGTATTGCTATACTATTTAAGTTTATATTTTAGCAATGAACAATTGCAACTTAATTCTAAAGACAATTTGTACTTAAATAAAAGGCTCGTATAAACGTTTTGTTGCAACTTCAGTCGAAAAAATTATAAATTTCAACTGAAAGTTTTCTGCTTAAAATTATTATCACATTTGACCAAATTACGGGTAAACTACGAGTCCAACAGTAAAATTTTACTAAAATAAAATGATCAGGAGAACGGTTTACTCTTATAACAACATCCAAAATAAAAATTTAAAATTTACAAATTTATTTTTTTTTGTGGAAAATGTGTTTTCATTTTATCAAATTGCGGGAAAACTATTAGTTAAAGAATAAAATTTTACTAAAATAAAATGCTGAGGAGGGCTTCTTACATGAACCTACAAAATGAAAACTTTAAATTTCCAAATTTAATTTTTCTGTGGAACATGTGTCTACATTTTATCAAATTGCGGGAAAACTATTGGTTCAAGATTAAATTTTACTAAAATAAAATGCTCAGGAGGACTTTTTATGGCAACATTCAAAATAAAAACTTCAAATTTTCAAATTTAATTTTTATCCGTAAAATGTCAGTTTAGTCAAATTACGTCTTAGTACGTCTTAGTTGACGTTTAGTCAATTTTACTATGATAAAGTGTTCAAAGCGACGTTTTTTCAATTAAACATCGCTCTGAGCATCCGTAATAAAAAGTTGGATTTCCATTTTCAAATTTTCTGGGAAATGCTTGACCAAAATTTCCGCAAAAAGAAGTTTAAGATATTCATTCTCTAATTGCAGGAAAACCGTAAAATCGAAAAATAGTTCCTATGAACGATGAAAAATTTCACTAACCACTGTATCGAACGCCGTAAATCAAATACGAGTAGATACTGAAATAAACAAGAAACAAAACATTAGTTATACAATTTCGGACAATGTCGAAATGAATCCGAGTTCCGGAGGAACCCAAACTTTGCCTTAAAAATTGTCTTATTTGCCATTTAAATAATAATATTTACAAGGTAGAACAGCCGCCCGTCCTGTTCTGCTGAAGACAAAAATGGTTCGCACAACTCCAAAATATTATTTACAATCACACAACATGGCCGACTGGCGTCCGACCGTAAGCGATCCCAGATACACGCGAAACTGAAATAAACACACAAAACATTGAATTCTGAAGATTACACACGCGATAAATATTTAGCGACTAAAACCCGTCTATTAACACTAAATTCCATCAAATATAACGCGATATAACGAATTTACAACACGAAACACGAATATCCATTTAAGTATTAGTACCTACTTATCGCACGAGGTAAGAGTTGTGTGCCGGCTACACAACAACTGGCCACGCCGACTTTCACTCGCAGGAATATTTTTAGCGAAAACATGAGTACCTCATGAAAATACAAAGTGTATCAAAAGTGTGGCGTGCATATGAGGCAGTGAGCGATTGCCTATGAATCAGTGAGTGGTCACGCACTTAAATGTGGCCGTGTGTCACACGTACATGCAACTGTGCATGCACCACCCTATCTAAACAAATACCAATTTTTACACATAACTCAAAGCTTCAAATATAGATGTTCAAAAACCACAAGAAAGCATAAAAACATTCAAATTTTACTTCTTTAGTAATTTACACTTGAAATTAAATACCTACATCATTTTAGTTAATAAAAATTATCTAAATATTCATTATTTCATATTATTATTTTCCGTCGGAAACTACCTCTATCAGGTCAAATCCACCGCTATATTCAAACGGTGCCCTGAATCAATCATGTGATTCTACATACTTTATCTTAATAAAATTTTGCACTAAAATAACGTGTTTTAATAATAATCACACTAACTATGTTTACTTTTGTTGATATTTAAATTAATTTTAAACTGTCAATAGGGCCTAAATGCTGAGTGGTAGATCAATATTACTCTTAAATATTTAAAATAAAATTTAAGAAGCTGTTAAAATATTACGGGAATATTTTAAGAAAAAAGTACAACCCTGTTATTCGTTATAAACAATTCGACCTTGTTCTTTAACTAAAAAAAATTAGAAAAAAATTCGACTCTGTTCTTCGACAAAAGAATGTTAACAAAAATGTTCGACCCTGTTATTCGACCAAATAATGAAATTTTTGGGACAAAAAATGTTATTTTTGAAGCGCCTTTTAGGGCACTTCTGGAAGGGTTAGGAGGTTGCAAAGATATGGATGGCGTAGAGGGACTCTCGAACATTAAGATGGCGTTAAAAACTTCCAAAAGTCAAATAATTCTCAAGATACTGGGTGTTTTCTGCGCCATCTTTACATAATTTATGAAAAACCCAACTTTCTAAAAAAAGTATTTTTGAGCATTTTCAGAAGTGCTAGGCGGTTGCAAATGTATGCATCGTGTAGGGGAAGCTTTTATCTTTAACATGGCGGTGAGAAACTATAAAAAAGTCATATAGTTCGGGAGATGCTGGGTGTTATTTTGCAGACCACAATAAAAACAAAATTTTCGAGTATTACGATAAATCTCTGACAAAAGCATCGTGCCGAAATTAGGGGCATTCGACCAGGGGTCTTCTGATCTTCAGTCTAACGCTCTCCCAACTGAGTTATTTTGGCTTATTGATAAAGGATTGTTGCAATTATACTACAGAAATAATTGTTTTCATACAAATAAGAAATTTCAAATTCTGAAATACATTTTAAATCAAAGACACTCGAATCATTTTGGTGTGATACAGGAAGGACATTTCCAAAGGGTTTTGAGAGTTTTATGAATACGCATCTTGGAGAGAGTCTTTTGAAGGACAATTAGAGGCTGAGAAACTGCAATAACGTTAATTTTTTTTGATTATTAATAGTACATTTTAAAGCATTTTCTACGGGTTTAGGACGATTGAAAATGAAGGATAGTGTAGATAATCCTTTAAATAATAATGTGGCGATAAAAAAACTCCAACTAAGTGAATTAGTTCATTGATCTATAAACAGCATAACAGAATTTTTATACTTTCTGTCATTCAGATGGTAATTTAAAATAATTTAATTTAATGGGGTAAAAGGTCTAAAATCGCGATAGTGCTCAAAATTGCAATATTTCAATTTTTGGCGATTTATTTCAATTGCAAGTATCTCGTAAACTAAAGAAGATAGAAAGGAACGAATCACAGAGTCTTAATCTGCGGATAATTCTCTATAAAATAAGCTAGTTAAATTGAAATTTAAACGATGAAATTTTAATTCATCAGAAGAAATGGGCTTGATAATTTATTTCTGGAAATGAGCAGCGTAAAAATAATGTTATGATTAAAATATGTAAAAATGGAGTTTACTAAAATAACGAATTTGACATCATAATTGGTACATCTTTGCTGGCTGTTAACTGCCAAAGGAACCACGATCCAGGTTTCATAATTGGGGATAGTTCTTTGCTATGTTGGGTACACACATAGAAACATTTTCATCTTTCTTAAAATGACGATAGTTTGGCATTCACGGGCTCTTAGACGTGACCATTTTGAAATTTAATATAATTCAATTTTTCATTTACATATGCATATTCCTGCGGACTCCACTACACAGCTAAAACTGCAATTAAAAGAAAACAGAAGTTAACACATTCCGTATAATACATTATTACAATAATATTTCGTTCACAAATCGTAAATTAAAAACTTTTAGACTTTACTTACCTACGTGAAATACAAAATTTACACTAAGTCAGTAGGCAACCATTTTTTTATATTGCAATAAACGCCACAAAAGAGATAAAAAAAACTCGAACTTAAGAAGATTCAACGCGCGATTATTTGTTAGCAAAACACTATACATGCAATTTGCAACTAAACAGTCGGTTATCAAACATAAATAATGTGATTTACCGATTTAAATCTGAAAAAATAATACGAGCCGTGAGAAAGCTGCAATCCGCTGAACGTGTCTGCAGCACATGTAGCCAGAACACGCGACAGTTACGATACGATAACGCACTGCACTCACGACTTAGTGCATAACAAATTATAATTAATTTTTTATTAAATTATCTAGAATTTAGAAAAGATTATGTGATCACAGACAAGAAATGTTGAACTCGAGGAAGCAACAAAAATGACAACAAAAATTTTAACAATTTCCTACATTGTTAAAGTTTAAGTAAGTTTTTCACAGTAACAGTTACTAAGTATCTATAAAATATAGGATATTTACGATTTAGCCCAAATTGTTGACAGATAACGATAATGGAACTTTAACTGTGCATATTTCCATAAAATTATGCAAATAACTGGAATACATTCATACTATATATATATAGATATAGCATAATTTTAGAGCCGTTACTTAAAATCTTAAATAAGTTTTCAACATGGATGTCGATGAGTACATAATCCAAGGTACACTGATCTAAATTGTTTAAAATTTAAAAATATACTTTGATCATATAATTTTTAATTTAATTATAAATCCCAAGGTAAAAAGTTAGTCGACTTTATAGCTACGTATTTGACGAATATTCGATGTCAGCATGTCATTCCCAACATGGTTTTCTTCAGCGAGATCTCCCAACATCAGCACCTATTTATGGTGAATCATTTCAAGAGATTTTCACTGATTTTAAGAAATACGTCTTGCCTGGGTTGACACATTGGCAATCACCACACATGCATGGATATTTCCCGGCGCTCAACAGTTACCCATCATTACTGGGGGACATGTTAGCAGACGCAATTAATTGTCTTGGCTTTTCGTGGGCTTCGAGTCCAGCAGCCACAGAATTGGAAATCATCACAATGAATTGGTTAGGCGAGATGATTGGACTACCAACTGAGTTTTTAAACACAGGGAAAGATAGTTTGGGTGGTGGTGTCATTCTCAATACGGCTAGCGAAGCAACTCTTGTAAGTTTGTTAAGCGCTAGAACCCAAGCTATCAGAAACTATCAACAACTACATCCACATTTAGAAGCTGATGATATTGCGAAAAAGCTGGTAGCATACGCCTCAGATCAATCACATTCCAGTGTGCAGAAAGCAGCAATAATTGCATTAGTAAAACTACGGTACATAAAGTCTGATGAAAATTGGGCAATGCGAGGAATCAACTTACACAGACAAATTTACAATGATCGTAAACGAGGATTGATCCCGTTTTGGGTTTGTTGCACGCTTGGTACTACAAATGTTTGCTCATTTGACAACCTAGATGAAATTGGAGCGGTCTGCCAAGTGGAGGAAATGTGGTTGCATGTGGACGCCGCGTACGCCGGTAGTGCGTTCATATGTCCTGAATATCGGCACTGGTTAAAAGGTATTGATTGTGCAAATTCAATTGTGGCCAACGCCTCTAAATGGCTAATGGTACATTTTGAATGCACTGCTATGTGGGTAAAGAGCAGCAATGCCCTGCAGCACACGTTTAAAATCGAACCGCTTTATCTTCAACACGAAAACTCTGGCAGAACTGTAGATTATATGCATTGGCAAATTGGGCTCAGCAAAAGATTTAATGCGTTGAAACTTTGGTTTGTGATCAGAAATTAAGGTGTGATAGGACTGCAAAACCATATTAGACATGTAAGTATGTAGTCGATTATACAGTAGGTATATATAAGTATTTGATTGACATTTTATTTTTTACCAAACAACACTTCTCTAATTATATCCGCTTAAAATAGGTACTATGTTACACTTTCTGCCACTTTGCTTTCTTGTTACCTTTGTTAAACCTTTGTTACAATAATTAAATTTCGTACCTAAATTACTCATATAAAAACTTACTTAGAACATAATGATTTTAGGGAGTTCATTTGGCTAAAAAATTTGAAGAGCTTCTTAAATCAGACAACAGATTTGAACAACCAGTTAAGAGACATTTGGGTTTAGTTTGTTTTCGACTGAAAGGACCCAACCAACTTACTGAGAATCTCCTCAGTAATCTGACAAGAAGACGAAAAGTGTATTGTGTACCAGCGGATTTAAATGGTGTGTACGTAATTCGGTTTACAGTAACATCTCAACACACCACTGAAGAGGATATAATGCAGGATTGGAAAGAAATCAGATATGTAACTACCACGACTTAAATTCTTTTCCGCTGCTATTTGTGCTGTTTTATAAATTTTATGTTACTTTAATGTTTTTTAAACTTATTATGTCCTAACTCCATTAATACGATTCTCAACTTAAATTTTAAAAAATGATATAATACCATTTTTGCTTTTTATTTTACATCTTTTAAGCTCTTTCGACATAAAGTACCCTTTATTTTATTTTCTAGGGTCAAAAATATCAATATACTATAATTTATCCAAATTTTTTTAATAAGTCAAAGTGGAACAAACAAACATACATTCCCATATGCTATAGATATTAGGTGAAAATTATTAAAGTATATTGTCTACGTAATTATGTGGAAAGATAAATATCTGATATTATAGAAAAGCCATGCCCATACAGTTTCAAGAATAAACATCCACACCGATATGATGATGCCAACAATCAGAAGAGCAAACACACCCTTTACGTGCTCAAATTGTAATTTTATAGGCTCAATCGGTGGTTTACTCTTATCCAAATAAGCAAATATAATATTCATTGTGCTCTCAGCCCTAAACGCATCCCATTCCCATTTAGTCATCAAACCAGTGGCCTGGCATCTAAGAATGTAATCATTTATAAGCGGCAGATATAACGTGTAATGTTTTTCAATCAGTGTGAAGCAAGTATTGAGACGTAAAAGTGTATAGTCCATGGTTTTCACGTAACGGAGATATCTATATAGAGGGTCCCTCAATACTATTGCAGTTGAAACTGTAAATAACTCCATGTAAATAATTATCTAAACATAATTTATCCACAGACGTACGTTTCGTTGCTGTAATGTAATGGCCCATTGCTTTCTTAGTATACGGTATATTTATTTCTTGTCCCCCATAATGCGAAAATGCACGTTTTTCTGCCTCCTTAAAAGAAATATTTGCATTGCGGAATATTATAGTAATAAAACTTACGGTAATTTCTTTGCCCCAAAACATCAGATTAGGATCATTAACATATTCGATGCGCAGTTCTGAATTGGCAAGATCTTCAATTGTCCTTATATCGTTTCTGTATCTTATAGTCATCAATTTATCAACAATACCAGACGAGAAAACAGCAGAATATAATACAGCAATCGTCAATAAAGTTGCGATTAACGAACGAGCTCGGAGATATGGAGGTATTTTGCAATCGTTAAGCCCTTGAAGAAAAAACAAACCAGTGATATCAGTAACATTCGGACAATTTGCATTCACACAAATCGTGTTTTCAATCCAGAAAAAAATCGCAATCAGTACAAAACAGGATATAATCCACATCCATAATTGCAATTTGAAAACTTGCACTAGCGCCAACCAATCAATGTAAGATCTGTAAAAGTAGCTCGAAATATTTCATTTTTGAAAGTTATAAAGCAAAATATGCATACACAGGTTTGGGTACTAAAAAACTTATGTCCATTTTAGATACTGGATAAGAGACTACATGATTCCCGTCGTCAAAAAGTCCTACAAAAATTATGTCTGAAATTATTAACATCATATTGCAAAATTGATGTATACCGATAACAATTCTTGGTGATCCGAGGTAACCATTATATATACGGTTTTTCAAATTCATAGATTTTGAGAATTCCATCAACAAATTTAACTCGGAGCCCATCTTCGTTGCTAAAATAAAGACAATAATTACCCAAGGTAGAAATAAGAAAATTAATAAACGTCAATACACCCAATTGCAAGTGGAATTATCTCGCCATTAATGCCAATTGCCATAAGGTTGCGACGACGTTTCTTTCTTTCATCCGAGAAAAATTCGCTTATATTTGAATCTTCGAATTCTTTCTTATAGATTTTCCATCGATTCAAGACCACATAATTATCGGCTTGCCAATGATCAAACGCAAGGATGTGAATTTCATCACCCACCTGCTTTAGATAAATTGCATTACCAGCATATGAGGGAATATTGTAATACCGGTCATAGTTTTTGAATTTATAATCTTCGATGGTATCATTATCAAGGAAAAATATGCCTTTAAAGGTGTATTTTTTATGAGCATACATACAACCCATTAGGTATGAATTATGCGTACTCAAAGGATCGTGTAAAATGTACTGGTCGCATCCGCGGACACATCTCTTTGGGTCAATTACTTGTGGAATTGTGATGTTTGCAGAAAGTAAAGAATAGTCGCTGAATATAGTTGGCCGTGTGGGTGAAAAATCTATGATACATGCATTGTTTTGGAAATGTTCTTTTATTATGATATTCAACATGAACTGTATTGAAGTTTCAATTATTATTTTGTCAAGCAACATGGCTGCCAGTTTATGAGCTACTGATATATTCTGTTGTTCAATATACATTACATATAGGTATTATTTTGTTCAATGCTTGCCTATTACGTTATAATATTAATATAATCTATGACATTATATAATATTAATGTAGTTTAACTTAACATAGATATTTTATAGAATAATATTTTACAGAACTTTGAATAAAGCCACAAAATATTTACTCATTAATCATAATATTAGTCATATATTGCGCATTACTCCAAGCACATATATTAAGTGTACAATTTTAATTTAAATAAAAACTATTTAACTACGATTATTGTTTAGAACTGTAAAATTTATTATTTACACAAAGGAATACAGGGAACACAACATTTTAATTAATTCCATGCACACTCACTACTACAAATAAACAACCAAATGCAAAATGAACACAAACATGCGGCGAGAACGGCGTTTAATGCAAACATGTGCATTGTAGCGCCACCTACACCACGTTATTGAGTATCATTTACCTATGTATAGATATTCACATTAGGTAAGTAATGTAATGGCACGGTCATTAATAAATAAGCGTTCTTTTTACTTTCACCTTGAAAGCGCCATTTTTTCCACGGTATTTAGACACAAAAACTGGTACTTTAAACACGGACGGCCAAGGCTGTGAGTAAAGTACTTTAGTGCTTGTACTAAAGTACAAATGAAAACAGGCGCTGCTGCTACTCGTGTCGGCGTGGTGCGGCATTTATAACCTTACAATTCCCAGTAGTATGCAAGCAAATTTTTGAAGATTTGGGAGATTTTGAAGATTTGAAATACAAAAGTTCTAATACAAAAACCTCAAGTTGAAAATAGAGTTAAAGTAGAAAAAATAGCGTAAGCATCACGTTGTTAATCACTCGCAACGCTCGCTCATAATCATAATCGTGAATATTACTCCAGTTTAGCCACTTGATACTTAATATACTATTAATTTTATGTAAACCTAGCATACCCGACTGACTTCGTTCTGTCAAAAAGATTTGGAATGTGGCAGTTTTTTATTCCTACCTTTTTTATAGTCGGCGTACAAAATTCTCCGCATCCGAACCGTCACTCTGGTGATAGGAAGATGTGTGTGGGGTTCAACTCGGGTGACCCAAGTATCTTCGCTTCCACGAACTTTGGCCACCCTTTCAAGAACAAATAATATTAGTGGATAACATCTGTACACACCCCTGAAGAGGATATAATGCAGAATTGGGAAGAAATCAGAAAGTGATACAATACCAATGTTTGCTTTTTATTTAACATCCATTAAGTTATACTCTTCCGACATAAAGTACCTATTTTATTGTCAAAGGTCAAAAATATCTTTATACTAAAATTTATTAAAATTCCTTCAGTGGTTTTTGCGTGAAAGTGAAACAAGCAAACCAACACTCGCACATGCTATTTTAGGTGAAAGTTGTTAATTTTAATTGTCTACGTGATTATGTGGAAAGATAAATATCTGATATTATAGAAAAGCCACGCCCATAACGTTTCAAGAATAAAGATCCACACAGACATGAGGATGCCAACAATCCAAAGAGCAAACACACCCTTTACATGCTCAAACTGTAATATTATAGGCTCAATCGGTGGTTTACTTTTATCCAAATAAGCAAGTATAATATTCATTCTACTCTCAGCCCTAAACGCATCCCATTCCCATTTTGTCATCAAACCAGTGGCCTGACATCTAAGAATGTAATCATTCAAAAACGGTAGATAAAACATGTAATGATCATAATGCAGTGTGAATATAGTATTCAGATGTATAAGTGTATAGTCCATGGATTTCATATAAGGGAGGAATCTATATAGAAAGTCTCTCAATACTATTGAGGTTGAAACTGTAAAAAAAACTATGTAAATATTTATCTTAACATAATTTATCCCCATGCGTACGCTTCGTTCCTGTAATGTAATGGCCCATTGCTTTCTTAGTATACGGTATTTTTATATATGATCCTCCATACCGCGAAAAAGCACGTTTTTCTGCCTCCTTAAAAGAAATATTTGCATTGCGGAATATTATAGTAATAAAACTTACGGTAATTTCTTGGCCCCATAACATCTGATTAGGATCATTAACATATTCAATGTACAGGTCTGAATTGGCAAGATCTTCAATTGTGTTTATATCATTTTGGTATCTTATAGTCATCATCTTATCAACAATACCAGACGAAAAAACAGCGGAATATAATACAGCAATGGTTAATAAACTGGCGATTAACGAACGAGCTCGAATATATGGAGGTATTTTACAATCGTTAAGCCCTTGAAGGAAAAACAAACCAGTGATATCAGTAAACCCCGGACAATTTGCATTCACATAAATCGTGTTTTCAATCCAGAAAAAAATTGCAATCAATACATAACAGGATATAATCCACATCCATAATTGCAATTTGAAAACTTGCACTAGCGCCAACCAATCAATATAAGATCTGCAAAAAAATATTTCAAAAAAACATTTCATTTATGAAAATAATAAAGCAAAATATTCATACACAGGTTTAGGTACCAAAAGGCTTAAGTCCATTTTAGATACTGGATAAGAAACTACATTTTTCTCGACGTCAAGAAGCCCTACAATAGTGATGTTTGAAACTTTTGTTTATATTACATAATTCATGTATACCTATATTAATTTTTGGGGGTCCTTCATATTCATAATATATATGATTGTTCATATTCATAGATTTTGCGAATTCCATCAACAAATTTAACTCGGAACCCATTTTCTTTGCTAAAACAAATACAACAATTACCTAAGGTAAAAATATGACAATTATGTCTACTATACACCCAATTGCGATTGGAACTATTACATCGCTATTAATGCCAATTGCCATAAAACTGCGGCGACGTTTCTTTCTTACGTCTGAGAAGAATTCACTTATGTTTGGGTCTTCGAATCGTTTCTCATAAATTTTCCATCGATTCAAGACCACATAATTGTATGCTTGCCAGTGGTCAAATGCAAGGACAAGAATTTCGTCGCCCACCTGCTTAAGATAAATTGCATTACCAGCATATACAGGAATATTGTAATATTTTTGATAGTTTTGGAATTTATAAACGTCAATGGTATCATTATTAAGGAAAAATATGCCTTTAAAAGTGTATTGCCTATGCGCATATAGACAACCCATTAGGTACGAATTATGCGTACTGAAAGGATCGTGTAAAATGTACTGATCACATCCGTCGAAACAATTCTCAGGATCAATTACTTGAGGAATTGGGAGGTGCGAAGAAAGTAAAGAATAATCGCTGAAAATAGTAGGTCGTAGTGGTGAAAAATCTATGATGCATTGAGAGTTTTGGAAATGTTCTTTTATTATGATATTCAACATAAGCTGCAGAGAAGCTTCAATTATTATATTGTCGAGCAACATGGCTGCCAGTTTGTGTGATACTGAAATATTGGTTCATTCTGCGTAGCAGACAATTATTGAATTCATTACCTATCTAGCATGTTATAATACATTAATCTATTAATATAATGTATTACAGAATAATAGATATAATAAAGAATAATGGTATACAATACTTTGAATAAAAGTACAACAAATTTTCTTTGTAATTATTATATTAGTCATTATATTGCGCATTGGTCCAAGCACAGACATAATAATTATAAATTATAAAATTAAAATTTAAATAAAAAATACTTACGTAGGCGTATAATTTGAAACGGTAGAATTTATTATTTGCATAAAGGAATACAGTGTAAATATGCCAGTATAAAACTTATAAATACCCCGTTTTAGTACGGCGCACTTCGCACTGATAACAAACAGTCTGCTGTGCAAAATCGCGTGAGGTCACATGACGCACGAGCTTACCATTCCATGCATACACAAACTATTGCAAACAAACAACAATGCAAAATGTAAACACGCGGCGAAAACGCAACCGTGAATTTAATGCAAAAATGTACATTGCTGCGCCATCTATCCCACATTATTAAGTTATATTTTAGTATAGCGAGCGATACGTAGGTATATGAGATTTGCTCACTGGCTAAACAAACTAGCATTTATAGTAAATAAGTGTTCGCTGTAAAATTCAAACTAGAAGATACAAAACAAGGAACCCGATAATAAAAATGCTATCAAGTGAATCGGACACTAACTGATAATACATTTCAGATACATTTCACTATATGCGTGCCCGCTCATTATTACCGACAAACTACATCACTGTTGTAAATAAGCAATTACAGCGAGAATCCGATTCTGAATTTAATGCATCTTAGCTACATCTAGATGCATAAAATATAGATATGTTTAAAAAAAACATTTATTATACTTAATATTTATTAAAATAGATAGTTTACATCCGCAATTCCTACTATTTCTTCTTCTTTTTGAGTCGTTTAGCATTCCTGTGAGCCTTATAATGAGTCTTCTGTTTCTCAACAAGTACCTCAGTATATTTTTTCTTATTATATTTATTGAATTCGGCGTCTGCCATCAATTCATCAACCAATGTTCTCTTTCTCTCCTTCTTAGTAAGGCGATTATTGTAATAATCAAGTGGAGAATCTTGAACTTTTCCAATCTGGAAATATTTTGGCAAAACTTTCAGGTCATTCTTTTTGTAGAAATGTTTTGGATCCAATACAGAACGCATTTGCAACACTTGCAAATCCTTCTTCACTTCGTCAGTAAGTTCAGTTGCAGGCATGTTGAACCATTTTTTACCTTTAGTTTTTTCACTCTCAAGCTAAGAACAAAAAAAATCCTACATAAATTTTCTTTTCAAAATTACCACACTAAAATATCAAACTCACTTTTCTTTGAAGTTTTAGTTTTTTATCATTGACAACTTGTGATGGAATTGTCTTAAGTTCATTGAAACCTGGTTGCAATACTATTGAATTGGATAATACTTGCTGCAACTCTGACTTACTTTTAGTTAATTCCTCTAAATTTAATTTAACCTTCTCGTAAGTATCCTTTGTTTTTTTCTTGGTATTTTTAAGATTAGTTGGTTCTTCAATTAAAAAGTCCATGTTTTTAGAAAACTTTTCAAAAGCTGTTAGCTTCTGTTCCACTTCAGGCGCTTTTGTTCTGCAAGTCTCATGTTTTTCTTGCATAAATTGTTGAAACACATCATTCACCACTGAATCTGTAAAAAAATCATTGAAACTTTTTAAAAATCCAAATATTTAAATTTGTATTACCTTTAATTGTTTCCTTGTCCACCGATTGATTACCCACACTATCTATAACAAACCCCAAACCACTTGAATCCATGATTTTCGAAAATAGTTGAAGACAAGTGAAAGCAATACAACAATTTCGATGAAAACATGTGTTTGGTCAGGTTAGAAAACTACTTATTACACAGTAAACCCATAGAGGAAAACAGTTTACAAATATAGGCAACTTATTTTACAAAGTCACAGTTTGCAAAAGTTTGCTCAAGTATTTATTTTCCTTAAGAATACCTTAAAATATATATTTTAAATACTACATATGCCCTAATGATGATGATTAGAATAATTCACAGAGCAGAGCACATAGCAGAGCAAACGTTCAAAGAAATGTAATTATTGCTTGCGCAATTGATAAAATAATCAGTAATTCGGATTTTTGTTGTCTAAATGATGCATCTAATTTGGTAGTAAGCTACTTCAATTATGTTATTTAAAATATGTATGTAACATATATGATGTTTGAAGCGAATTCAACCTTTTACCTACGTTATACAAGACAGAAAAGATTGTGGCAAACACCAGAGACATTATCAATACTATATTTTGTACATCACGATGTGGATCAAGAGAGAATATTTTATAGCTTTTACTGATACTGAAAAATATTATTGGAATTTAGATAATTCAGCTAAGAAAAATGCTTAGATTGGTTGTACACATGTGCTTTACTTCTAATATTTCTTGGAAATTTCAATTATTTACTCAAATTATATTGTAAATAATTTATTAACAGCACTTTCTCAATCGCATCATTTAGATATTTGTTTGCAGATCAATCCCAAATGAAATTCTTCAATTTTGCATTGAATCTATCTTGGCTTATTTCATTACTCTTTGCCGAAGTGGCTGTGTATGCTTTGAAAAGCTCATCTAAAACTGGAATCAAAATATGGGATTTTGTCGAGGATAATGCTCATTTTGCATACTCTCCTGTGAAACTGCAATATGTCATAAGCTTGCTCAATAAGGTTGTAAGGTTTTGTTTGTTTTTTTTTACATCAAAGCGTTTATTATTGGAAATTTAAAATTCTTTGAATTGCAAAGTTGTGAAGACAACTCCGAAGACAGCGTTTGTGGAATGGTTTACCCAAATGTGAATACTCATATTAAAGATAATTAACCCTCAGAATTTCTATATTAAATCTATGTTTTAGTACATATCTCTACATTAATTTAAGTCAACGTCCATTCCGGGAATTATTTAATATAATTTTTCTTCTTACCGAGGCGTATATATCGTTTGCAATAGCAATTAGTTGCATCTTTTTGTACTCTTTAGCGATATTAGGGCAAGATTGTCAGAAAGAATTTGAGTCAATTCTGAGAGAAGCAAAAAATATTAAAAACTTGGAATTGCGGCGTCAGATGATGTAACAGCAATATTTGAATGGCCTTTATTCGGACAATATATGGCAACTAGTAGCGTAGTCGCTTTAGTACTAATTTCAGAATTAATTGTAAGTAATACACATTTTAATAATGTAAAATCAATAACGATTGGTTATTTTCCTTTAGAAATTTGATCTATTGTCACTTGGCCATTTGACTGCCTACGTTTCAGGCACATGTTTGTGTGGATATTTAGGCGAGAAAATGATGCAATTAGTAAGTTAATAGTAACAATTGTTTTCAAAGTAATGTTATGAATTATTGTTGTTTGCCTTTTAGAGTAGGGAATTTAAAGATGTAACATTCTATAATGCTCCGTGGGTGAAAATGTAGAAAGCGCTAGATTTCTTATGCTCATGAACTTAAATTTGGATAATGTATTTGTTCTACCGCTTGGGGATACGTGAATTATTCTAATCCATTAGTCCTGTTGGTAAGAAGTTAATCATCAGCATTTGCGGTTTATTTTATTCAAGTTTTCAGATTTTTAAGATGGCGTATTCTATTGTTACGATGTTTATAAATATAACGCAAGAATAAACAAGGCAAATCAAAATTACAATCAAATAATAAAGTATTTTAAGAAATTTTGCACTAAGCACCAGTACTGGTCCACAGAATTGGCAAGTGTTTTAATAAAATGCAGTTACACAAATATGCAATCACTGGGTCCCGGAATCCACTTAAACATTCCCTCATAAATAAATAAAACATGCATCTCTAAGCACCCCTGCCTCTCGAGGAGTAAGATTTTATATTTGTACTTGTAATTGCACCAAATCGCAAGAAAACATTATAAAATAAAATAAAGTAATATAAAAATCAATAGTGGCTGATAGTTGATTCAAAACCCTTTCTCAAGTAACAAAAAAATCCTCTATGCAACATAAGTAACTCTACCACAGTGTACTGTTCGTAATAAATCTGTTCTCTAAAATATTGGTAAACATGTTCACAAAAATTTACAAGAATTTATTTCATTCGTCCACTGAATTTATTTACATCTTACTTAAATGTACTCAATTCATAAAACAGCTGTAAAATGTATCAATAAATTCAATTCGCATATTCAAATTCCACCAAAAATTTTAATTCCTTGTGCAATCTCAATGGCCAAATCACCAGTCATATAAATCGATGCATCAACTATTTCATACCGAATCAAATCTGTATATAAATATCTAGTATTTGTATAAAATTCGTTTGCAAAATCATAAAAACAAAACAAAAACAATCTACATCTAGATTGAAACCTATACCTAGAAAACATCTAGCCCATCAAACAAGTCACATATAATATGTCCACCTAAATATATAAAACCAACTTAATATTTACAATATTACAATTAGTCTAAATACAAATGTCAGTTTACTTCGTCGTCGACGAACATCAGTGCACAGGATTCAAATTCACAACTCTTCAGTGCCACTCCAAAGGAAACACTGCGATATTGCATGATTGTTCTAAATACAAAAAACCGACAACGTGCTATATACAGATATCAAGTTATTGCGGAATAAATTACAATTGTTCAACCCCTTGAATATTAATGCAATATTACAATGAACACACGCTCGAAATTACTTTGTTCGCAAATATTTTAAACAATAGTCGCTACTTTGCGATAGAATGAGATCGACACAACTGAACCATCATACCAGTACCAGCTAAAACGTGAGGAATACATTTAAATATTTACGTAATGTTTGTTCGTACTGAAATCACGCGCAACTGCATTTTCCCGTTTTTTTTTAATTTTATATATGTCTGGAATACTTACATTAATAAATATCTAAAAAAAATTCTTATAATCAAGAGTTACGACGCCGCAAAGAATTCCTGCAGTCTTCGCACCGTCGACCTCTCAAGGAGACACAAATCAAAATCAAAGGTGCGCGCCGATACCTCATACCTGCCGGTTTCTGCAATTAATTTGACAACCTTCTGCAACTCAGTGTTATCCTGCAGCGACATAATCTTATGTTGCAGGTCCTGTAGAATGCGAAGATAGTCCTCGGGGTTCTCTTGCAGTTCGCCGTGATTTTCCACTTCTAAGACCGGTGGCGTCGCGTCGCTTTCGTCCTTTGGTGTCTTCATCGACGGCTCGTCATCGCCGGGACTTAAATCCCTCCGCCGGCGGCGTTTCTCTTCCTTCTCCAATTTCTTCTCCTTCTTCTTAGTTTTATCCTTTTTGGGTTTGGCTTCAATGCGTGGCTCAAGAGTGGAAGGTGGCGGCGGTTGTGGCTGTGCGATTGTTATCGGAGAAACCGCTTTACATTCTTCAGTATCTTTGGTCGAGCTGCACGATGAGTTGGAATTATCATTTTCTCCATCCGGAGCAAATTTCTTCTTCTCATGTTTCACTATTTGATTAGGGTTCTGGGCCAGTGGTAATGGCTGTGTTTGATTCGTAAACAAATTGTTCGCGGGTGTCTCGTACTTCTTCTCCTTTGACTTGTGTGAGCTCTTCTCGCGTTTATCTTTATCTTTGTCACGATCTTTGTCTTTCTTCTTATGCTTGTGTTTATCCTTCTTCTCTTCTTGAGACTTAGGTTTGTCCACATCTAGTGGCTCAACTTTAATTTCAGGCTTCATATCCTTAGGTTTCTCTTTTTTCTCCGTTTTTATCGTTGGTGGTGGTAGAGGACTAGCTTCCTTTTCCTTCGACGATACCATGGACATTGAAATTGACGGCGCTTTCAAATCCTTTTTAAACTCCTTATCCTTATGCTCCTTGTACTCTTTCTCCTTGTCGCGCTTTTTGTATTTTTTACTATCATCCTTTTCTTTGTCCTTACGTTTATCTTTATCCTTTTCATCTTTTCGATCATCTTTCTTGATTTCTGGTGGACTTGGTGGTCGTTTCGGACTGGACATTCTCTTTGGACTGGTACCCCTCCGTAGGCCAGGACTCGTCGACCTGGCCGGCGATTTCTCACGCTTCTTATCCTTCGAGCTGCGATCGTGATCTTTGCTGCGGTCCTTGCTCTTGTCTTTCTTGCGCTCGTCCTTATCGCGTTTGTCTTTGTCGCGATCTTTAATCGGCGATTTGTTTTTGCGCTCTTTATCCGAGAGCTTGTCTTTATCTTTATCCTTCTTAATTTGGTCTTTAGCACCTCCGCCACTGGAAGGTTTTGGCTCTGGTGTTTTGGTGCATTTGATTGGAGGGCCAAATAGATCTTTGAATGTTGTCTCTCTGGGTTCTTCCATTTTCTTCGGTTTTTTGTGTTCAATTGATCCACCTAGCTTGGGTTTGTTCAGCAATTGGGTTTTATCTGAGTTGGATTTGGTCTCTGACTCAAATGAACTAGAAGAACTCACAATCTACAAAAGTCAATTTGATTAATATTTCATAATTGAGAGGTTATAAATTTATCACCTGTCCACCTCCTTTTAAAAGTCTTTGTTTAAATTCATCATTAGGATCTTTAAATATATATTTTTCTATTAATGCCCTGTGAATGGCAGGCCCACTTGTTTGGAGATTAAGATCATAGTTAAACCTGATTTTCTTTGGTTCATCTTTGTTTCTCAGGTATATTTCAATGTTTAGGACAAAACCAGCATAGCCAGATTCTTTGATTGAATATGGTGGCTCTTTCACAACTAAAAAAGCAAAACAAAAATTAAGTAAATGGACAGTTTGTTGTCTTGCTTGTTAATAAATAACACACCTCTCCTTGGTTTTGAAAAAGTCTCATGCAGGTAAAATACAACCTTCTCAATATATTGCTGAATGTCAGCTCCATCACAACCCTTTACAAAGACTTCCCAATCATGGGTAAAACCCTCCTGGGTGCGTTTTGTGCGCAACGAAGCCTCATGGCCGATTTCTAGATTCACTCGGACAGACATGACTTCAACGGTTTCATAGCCGTCTTATTACACAAGTTCCATCGCGGCTTCTTGGTCACCTTCTTCGATAGTTGAGAATTTCCGTATTTACTTTAACCTAGTTCTGGCGTCAGTTGGTCATTATGCGCTTAGTGCGAACAGAATACGCAGTCCTCGTACTATTACATCTTTCAAAACTTGCCGGCCGTCGAAAAATAGCAGAGAGATGCACTTTCATTCATGAATCGGAGGACAAACACTGTTGTTGCTAAACAACAACAAATTCGCATATAAACAAACTGGAGGACGGCATTTGTCAAGTCAATAATGACAGCGGGGAATTCTAGTGTCACCAACCTATGGAAAAAAACCTAAAAGAAATGAATTAGAACTTATTTGATTAATATTTACAATAAGAACAAATAAGCTCACTAACATAAATGACATATATACCAAATAAAATCAAATTCACTAATGATTCTTGTTCTATTCAATGAAAAACTTCAAAACTAATTAGCAGAAATTTACCAGAAAAGTCACTACGTGTATCTTAACCTCACAATATAAACCTACCAAACATTGTTCCTAGGGAAAAACACAGTCTAAAACAAAATATTATGGAACATTTAGATCCAAAATATTTTGTGTGCACGAAACCTGTTGATACTACTAAATATTTTAATGAATTTTCGGAGCAGTTAAAAGCTTTGAATGATTCAGTTGATAAGAGTGAATTTAATTCAAATCTTGAGAAAACATGCAGGTTAATTTAATTTAAATTTATTAAGAACTTTTTACAATTAGAAATAATTGTGTTTACAGCATTGACCATCTTACACATGAAGGCGAAATTGAACAAACCTGCATCAAATCGAAGTTATGGAGAGCAGTTACCATTGAGTCAACTGCAACAAGTGGTCATTTGCACATTCAAAGATGTAAAAACAAATGGGAGGGTTTTAAGGAACCAAAACAAGTGTTATCTTTTCCAGTAGAAAGAGAACAAGTAAATTATACAATTTTTATTAAATTTGAGATGTGAAAATATTTTCTTTGAATTTTATCACTTATACTATTATTTATTTTAACGAAAGTAAAACTAAGATTGATTTTCTTGTTTAGAATTCAAATACATTAGAAGATGAAGACTTAATTCCTCATCAAGATTATGTATTAGTTGTAAGACTATACAAACCATTCCAGGTTGAGATGAAACATTGCAGGTGTGGGGTCAAATATACACATGAATATGCTATTTTGCCAAACCAAGGTCTTACTGAATTACGAGATGTATTCAAATGTGTGCATGACTTTGGAGTATCAGTGGAGTTGCAGCATCCTGATGAAAAAATCACATTAAACACTAAAGTATTTGAAATAAAATTTGAAAATTCAACTTATTTATTGTATTATTTCAGGATGATTATCCATCTGGTTTTATTTTCATAGAAAATTGTTTCTACAATGATCTACGACACCCTAACGCAATAGAATATTCCAAAGAAATAATTGAATGGGCAAAGATGAAGAATCTCACCAATTTCAAAACTGCTAACATGTCTGATGTAAAATTAAAAGATTTAAAGATAAAATTAGGTTATCCCTATGTCTATCAACATCAAGGAAATTGTGAACATCTTGTTGTCTTTACTGATATGCGACTGTTACGTGCCGATGAACAACTGCAATCAACAAAGTATCCCTACGTTTTGAGTTGTAATAATATTAATCGTATTTTTTGCATGATGTGCACAGTTTCTGTGGCTCAGTTTACTATTACGGAGTGTGATAGATTGCTGACAAAGTATAATTGCTTATGTAAAAAGTGTGTGCTTGCATATAATTATCGAGATGGGAAGAAAATCGGTACATTTAAGTTGTATCCATTTTATGATATAAATATGACGCTCTTGCCATAGTAAATAAATATTTAATTTGTTATAATTAGACTCTTATTTTGTTGTGTTATTTACATTTAAATTGTAAATGTGAATGTAAGTGTATGTTCGATTTAGTTTTACATCTAAACCACAGAATTAATATTAATAGCCTGTGTTTTTTAGATTGGTTTGACCTAGCACAAAGCATCGGCTACTTTTTGTTGCAAAAATTGGCAAAAATAATAAAGTGAAATACAACTTTAGTTCTAAGATCTATGACGAGATGGCGCCATACAGCACTTATTTGCATTAAATCCGAATATGCAATTCATACGAGCAATGATTATTGTAACATCTAAAACTATATAAGATTATAAATCTAATATTGCTTATTTATAGCTAAACGCACTTTAATTTTTGTTAATAGTAGCAAAATTATCTATATTCATATATTTTCATATTGAAAACCTAGCTCACCGAAAACTTAAAAATAAATTTAAGAAATAGGCCAATTTGCAAGTTTAGATTTGCTCATCCTATAGTCCTACATGCAGTTTAAACATCCTGAAACTGTTGAAAGATTGTATGTAATTGAGTTACGACCGATTGGAAGCGACGAATTAGGCGACGACCTCACGTTCCTGGCATGAATAATTAGTTAATTTCTGCGCGACATCCCGAACGACGCAAACGACAGAATTCATTGCGTTTTTCACGGCTTCAATTTATGTTAATCGACGAAAGCTATTCATCTTGTGTCATCTGCCCTCACATGCTTTCATTGCTCCATTGACTCAAATTGACAACTTTTCATCCGTATTTTAGCGGATTAAACAGACCAATCCTTTTCTGCACTGGCAAATTTTCACGAAAACTTCATCAATATTTACGTGGAAAGTCGAAAGTTTTGTTTGAATATTTGGTTGCCTTACATCCTGTCGATTCTAACTGACTATATGCTTAAGTTTAGGTTTTAGACTATTCAAAAACGCAACATTCGATCATCTGTCATCCAGTATATTTAGTTTTGGTTTATGATCAAACGCTAGGAATATTGCTGACTGCGACGGCATTATCTTATTAAGTTTGATTACAAAAATTGAGCTTTACTACTTGAACGCACGCTCTTTTTTTACTGCTGCTGTCATCTGTCGCGGCTTATTACGCGTATAATGTGCTCTTAATTTGTAATTACGTGACATTTAATGCTTACATTCTTGATTATACAATTTATTGACCAACAATTGCAATAAAAATATATAATTTAATGATTTATGCACTTGATTTTAGTGTTTTTCTAGTTAACAACAGCGCACAGTCACAATTTTTAAGCAAATAAATATTTTTCTAAATATCTTTAGATATATGCTAGTTGAAGAGTTTAAATGATATAATGCAATATATGTGTGCCCAAAAATAGTTTATCATCGGATGACAATAAAAGAGAAAGTGATGCTGCGCTAAATGCAACAAATGCATCTTCATCGTTTTGAAATAACATTAAAATACCTGAAGTCTGAAGTGAATAAGATATCAGGAGCGTGAATACATCTTAATCTTGAGCTGAAGTGCTCAAATCTTTACTTTTCAAGGATGGTTATAAGTAAAAGTATTAAGAAAAATAAAAATAAACTAAAATATTCAATAAAGCATGAAAATCAAATGAAAACTTAATATAATTCACACAAAATTATTAAAAACAATTTATTTCACACAAAGATTTACTTTAGTTTTAGTTCTGATATCTTGGCACAATTTTTTATTCTTTACTTTTTAATCATATGAAAAGAAATGATAATTGATTTTGGTCCGTGTAGTCATGTCGATCTCACATCTCAATGACTAGTTTATAATGTTGCTGGTGTGTGGTGCCGCTATCAAAAAGCCTTTTACGCCTTTCGGTGAACAAGCAAATGAGCAGCACTGGCGGGGCTTAAAAAGTTGTCGGCTGAGCGCGTCGCGGGCGTCAGTCGCTTCCCGGCGCCGTCCTAGCGAGCAAGCATCCTCATCGGCCCTCGCCTACCGCGAACACGCCGCGCGAAGACACGCACTATGCTTCGGTGATGCTGGGCTAAGTGCAACTCATTATGTGAACTCTCAAAAAAACAAAATTAAAAAAACTATAAAAAAGCTTCCAACTTTTATATTTCTAATTTTTTAACAGAAAAAATTGATAAACAGACAAATTTGTTAAATTTGTTTAAAAAAATACGCCAAATTAAAAGTTTTAAAGTGCGTGCTTGTGAGTAGAGGTGGACGGGTCGAGGGTGGACCATAATTAGGTATGCTATGAAACATAAAAAATACCAATCATTGCGTTTGAGATCCGGATATTTCGCAGTTTTTTCTTGCTATGGTGAAATTATTATGTCTATGAGAAGAAACATGCGTGCGCGATTGTGCGTTTTATCTCGTTGCTTCCGTTTTTCACATTTTGTCATTCGTCAGTGAGTAGATAGACAACAAACTTACAAGTATATAATATGTTTAATATTATGAAGAATCGTGCCCTTAAATTTGATTTATTTACACAAAAAATTAAAATGAAAACATTTTCGTTAATGAAACAAATAATTAAGCAATAAATAAATTTTATTTACTTTATCTTTTGATAGAAAACTGTTATCAATAAAATATTTATTTACATCAATCAAAAATTAAGTATTACATCAATTTTGATATTTAATTAATTTTTTAAATGTGTTAATAGTGATATTCACATGAGAATCAATTTTAACGCATAGTAAATTGTCACAGACGCAATGAAGCATCACAAGAGCACAATTCGTTTTCTATTGACTAATTAACCTCGATATGCAGTCGTTTGGAACAGTTAACATGTTCTGAAACTAATTTTCAGCAAAAATATACATAACCTATCTCGGCAGCTATGTTTGCAACGTTTAAAATTGCTGAATTGGAATGACTCTTGATTTCAATATGTGAATATTAAAATGCTTAAAGCTCTCCGCGTTCTACCTACTTGATCGTTGTGGAATGATCACGCAATTAAAATTCACATCAGCCGCACGCAGCGCGCGCGATAAACAACGATCTGGTTAAAACGCGCGCACATCACCCAGCATTAGCCAATCGCCTCGATTAAATGAATCAATTGCGAACGGCTACAACAGTGCAAAAAAATCTAATCGAAGCATCTTACTAGCACTCTTCCTTCTTGCGGGAATTGTAGGATATACGAGTGTGATGTAGATGTAGATTTAGACACTTCCCCAGTCGTCGGTTGTGTTTATGTTGCACACGGATACGCGCGCATGTAAACCGAAGCTATTAATGTGGTAAACGAGCGCGCATTGCATGTTTTTAATTATGCGTGCGCGCGATTCGAATGTTTTGTGATGTGTCAAGCCGCGCGCATCCCAAACACTCAGCGTGTTTAATTATTCGAATGTGTGTTTAACGCAACCGCGTGCCGAGTAGTCGATGAGAAATTAGAAACATGCGTTAATGAAACGCCACGCGTTTTCAGAGCTTCTTTACGACGCAACATTGACATCGATAATTGTAATGTAATAGGCCATTAGAAAATTAATCATTAATCTTTACTTCTTTCAAAAATTCTATCTTGTTTGGTAAAATAAAATTTTTCAGTTTTTTTTTCAGAGAAAAGTGAAAAACAAAAATTTAAACGCTTATAACTTTGGTAGTTATTTTGCAATTTTAATAAAAACTTGGAACAATATTCTTAAGAAGTTATATTTTGAGCTTTAAAAAATTTTGAGTTTTAAAAATATCATAAATTGTTTCCAATTTTACTAGAATTGAATATTTTTCCGAAAAATACGTAAAAAACTAAAATTTTAATGAAAATCGCTCATAACTTGTGAAATTATTTTTTATTTTAATCAAAACTTCAACAAATTGTTCTAAAATGATATACTATCAACCAGTTTCTTTCAAAATGTCTGAAAATATGAAAAATTTTGCTTAAATAATTTTTTTCATAAATGGTAATACAGCAACATTTAAATTTGAATAAAACCATTTAAAATGCTTTAATATAATTTATTTTTACAGCAATGGATGGTCCATGGTGGAAAGAAGGCTTCTGGTTGATACTCATCATCGCGGTAGTCGTGAAAGCCGAACCACCACCTGCGCCCAGATATAATGAGCGCGATCGAGAAGATAACGTCCCAACGAGACGATCAGGGTAAGTCGAATATAATCGAAATAATAATTTCGTCAATTAAAATGTTTGATGCCTTTACTACTACCTTATCAGCCCATATCTTTGCTATCTGTCGAAATAAGACGCCCGTAATCTGCACATCTGCATATCTCGTCGCGCTCCGCTCGTAAAACACAAATAAACCATCAGAATCTGTAATAAGACGAAGAACAACACATTCAAGAGTCCTTCTTCTTCACATCGTGTTTACGCTGAGATTAAGTACATTAATCGTGCCGTGCATCGTCTCACCTTGCGATTGGATTCCGTCGAACAATTCGATGCGTTCGATTACCACATGAGAAGAGCCTCATGTGGGCGTTGGAGCGTTGGATGAATGAAACTCTTATCATAACAAGCCGCATATCATTCTCACAACATAATTTAAAGCGAAAGAAATCATGTGCGAAATTTCGCGCGTCGGCGAACAATCAACCTTGGTCATTCAACTTTTGTTTTTGTTTATTTAACAGCTGATAATACATATTATACGATTAAAAAATGTTTTATAAACTGGTATCTTTAAAAAATTCCGACATTTTACTTGCGGTGAAGTGTGCATGTTCTGGTTCGGGTGTTGGTGGAATTATATCTTCATCTCCACTGGAATAATCATACGCTTTTAATGAATTGTCTTGTAATGCTTCATTTCGTAACACTTCGGGAGATTCCTTTGAAGAATCGCTCGAATTCATACATGTGTACATTGTTTCGTCAGTGGACCTGCTCATCGATGATTGTAGGCAATATTGAGTTGTCTCTTGTAGTTTACTTTGAAAATCAGTGTAACCACCGGGAAATAATCTTCGCGGGCGTGGATTTCGTTTAATTTTTGGTGTGCTTGGACTCATCCACTTCAATACCACTGAAGGTTTCAGTTTATTTGGCGTTTGCGTTGACCTTTCAGACATAGACTCAGAAACGTGCATTTTGGTAGATTTTTTGTTTCAAACTGACGTTTTATGATGATTATTTAACTTTTCAGTTTTTTATATTGATGTAAAAGGTGACGTGATTGTTTTTATTTTATTTTGGAAACCGCCAACGTCTTTATTTGTTTCTGCAATGCTATTTTTCAAATCCAATCCGTTCATACATTTATTACAGATAAACGCGGCTACGCTGATTTAGTTTACGGTTATTGATATAGAGATTGGCGCCAAAACTTTTAAATACAGTACGAGTATGCCATGATATCAAATACACGAGGTGGAGCTACGGATTCTTTGGAAAAACGAGCTTTTCTTAAGTAATGAATACTTTAAAGGTTTATGGACAAAGTCAGAAATGTTTGCCAAAAATTCCAAGGAAGTAAATGCAATCCAAAAATATTAAAAACTAGCTTTTGCTTGCGATTTCGTCCCGTTATTGCTTAATAAAAATGTAATTTGTTTTTATTCTCTTGTTATAGACATAGTACCTATATGTCAATTCTATCAATAAGATTCGCAATTTTATTTTAAAGAAATTAATTATATAAAGAATTGCTAATTATGCACTTCTTTCTAATTCAACTATTTAACTATAACTATGATTGAATCTCAATGCCAACTTTTATTCTATAAAAAGGGCTGTCTTTAGGGTTTTCCTGGCAATTATTTGAATTTTTCTTGCCGTAAAAACCATCCTTGTACTTTTCCGAACATTGTAAAACAAGAATTGTCCAAATTGGTCTAGGCGTTGTTGAGTTATGCGCTTACCAACAGATTTTATATATATATATTTATTCATTTATATATTATAGATTAAAGAATACAAGTTCCCTTATAGATCGACTCGTAAACAACGAAAACGCTACCGAACCACACACAATTAATTGTTCTAATTACCAAATTGCTTAATGATAGGCTTGCATTCCGGCCTGCAATTGCGACATTTTCTGCGACGTCGCTGCTCACACACACAGCGGCTTAATTAACATACCATTAAGTCAAACGTCTCAATTCATCGCAATTTCCTTCTTATTCATATCGTAATCTACGTGATCGGCGGCAATTTTAGTGCTTTTTCTGCAATTCGCACTCCATTCATTCTCATTCGCTGCATTCAGCATGATTATGATTAAGATGCAAAAATGCGCTGGATGTTTCTTGATTAGCTGTCGTCCGACATGTCGTCCGCTCGTTACTGCAGATTATGCTGATGCCAGCGTCGGATAACGCGCGCGCTGCTAATATTCAATCATCTCGCTTCGGAGTTAATTTAATGGCGCATTATATCCGATGTGTGATGGGTGTTGGAACGTGTCAAAACATGTTACAAACTCTTTATCTCAGCCTATCCGGAAAAATTATCATTTCTGACGTGTTTTTACATCAATCTTTTATGAAGCCAATAATATTTATGGGTAAAACTTAAAATTTCCTAATTTTATGATATTGTAGTCATTATTGTCAATATTATTGTCAATATTCGTACATTATTTTATTTTAATATTGTTATTACATGAAGTAAATGTACATACTCTAATTTCCCCATAGAAACTTCTGTTCTATGTAAATCACTTTCAAGGTTATGTTAGGTTATGTTACAAGCACCGAAACTGAAAGATGTAATCGGTATAAAATGCTAGTGTTCACTTGTCAAATAAAATGTTTGGTAGGTGGTCTCACCATTGACCTAATCTATTCACTATTAAATTTAATCGAAGCAGATAAACGTTTTATCGCTTCCTGACCCGACAACGAAACACATGTTTTAACTATTGTAAGAAAATTGGTTAGCGTTAATTAATGTGTTTTTTTTTTCTACAAATTCATCCGTAAAATGTATGTAAAGCGGTGGTATTGTTATCATTGGGCGGCGATCATGACAAAGTAAAGAAGAGATGAAAAAGCGGCCTCGTCCATCAATCATAAAACTGAATTAATAAGCTTCCGAAGAAGCCGATAGCCGATAGCCATCGAAGTAGACGCTGTGAGCATTTTTCTTCCTTCAAAATGCAAACGAGCAGTTATAAAGATGCATTTGTCAGATTAGTTTCTAAGTTTCTAGCGTGCTTCACAACTCAGTTCTTCCAAAGAGGAACTTTTCGAAACTTTTAAATGTTCCTGGTCACAAGTGCATGTTATATGTGCACAAGTGTATAAATATATAAATGCATATACATCATTAATTAATAACTTAATTACGCAACACTTGTTTATGAAGGAATTCATCATCATCGCCATCGCGAGACAAGTGCTACTTATATGCACACGCATTCGTCGTTATTAGCACTTGCTTGTTGGGAATGTAGTGCGAATGAAATAAAAACAAAATGGCGTGCGAAGATTCATCATAAGTTCAATAAACTATCATCGTATCACTCAATCATACCTAGGTTATGTGTTTTTTACTTGAGGTTAGGTTAGTTGAGTCAATAAGTTATATAATATAATAGGTTATCGACACGAGCGCATGCGCACAATGCCTTTCTGGGAGAGCGAAATCTGATAGCTCATTGAATTCGCTTATTAAAATCATAGAATATCAGAGATTTATATTAACCAGCCGCCAACCTGCGGTTTGACCTGAGATGTTATCAGTGTGCACCGCCCGCACGATACTACTATCGCAATATGGTTGCGAGCGGCAATTGTTTGCAGAATTATTGGAAAAATCCAAACGCATATTGAATCAGCCACAGGCATAGAATATTTCAATATATTTAATAATTACGTTGTATCATATTGTATAACGAGTCTGTTTTAGGTTATGTGTGTGCAATTTGCAAGTGTAAATGATGATTTGTTGCGTAGAATAAATTCATCTGGACTTCTGTATGCTCTTAAAAAGTAGGTCAGTGGCGCTTCAAATAAAACAATGAAACATCTCCATACGCACTATAACATTAAATATTTACATGTTTTAAAATAGTATAGGATAAATATTGTGTTTGAAAATAATTTTTCTCTGCGTAAATACCGGACATAACCTGTAGTCACAACTATTTTGAATGAAAACGGAATTTTGAAAATTTGCAGTTGATGCTAACGGCAGATAACGGTTTGTATAAATGAATGATCTATAAAGGATGCATTATGAAATCATTAAGTCGTTTGTGCCTTTGACGCATCGACAATATATTAAACAAAAAGAAATTAAATGAAATCAAAGCAAAAATAGATTAACAACAACATTTTTAGAAACAAGTTGGTATTACCGAATTTATTACTCTTATTAATGTGATAATTGCACACTGACATGCGTTAGATCGTGTTCAGACATTTGGGCTTAGAGATTTGCGGATATATTGGAATAAAACGCCGCCGAGATAACCCAAACCTACTGGCTTTGAACTTTGAATTAGAACTTTTAGGTCAAACTACGAGCACTCGCCGTTCTCGGCTAGCTTTGCGAAATTATTTATTAATTTATGAAAAATACCAGAGTGCGGAATCATTTCGGATTGGGTAGAAGACGGATAAAAAAAAACGATGCGCGTCGACGCACGCGAGCTGGTTATGCACGAACGGTTTGCGTTCTTTCCACACTTCGCATTCGTGGGGGGTCTGTGGATCTAATGCAGTTGTAAGTACTTGCGATTCACTTTGAAATATGTAAAATTCTGGAATATGTGTGTGGAAACGCAATGATTTATTCGGGTATTTATCAAATTGAACCAGAAATCAACTCGGAAATAAGATATATATTTGTGTATGGCAGGTACTTGACATAATTTTACGGGTAATTGTGGAAAAGGGCACTTGTGGCATTCAAGTGGATGGGTTTTACAACCGTCTGCCATTTTCACGTTATTTGCATCGTTGCACTTTTAGTAGCCATTTAATATAACCTAGTTTGTGTTTACTAGGCAAACAAACATAATTATATTTATTTTTTAGTCAATTAAAGCTAGGGAAGTTGCTTTATTAATGATTATTATTTAAAATGCAAAATTGGTTGAATAACACGATGAAAAACAAAAAAACAGAATTTAATTGAAGATATAGTAGAAGTTAAGTTAATTTGTTAACCAATGCAGCATAACCTTATTTTTAACAGTTTTTCTGGGTAATTTTACAATACAAAAATTGACATATCTTACAAAATAGTCTTCAGTTAAAAAAATCAACATTTGCTAACAAATAAGTGCTATCCACGTCTGTCAATAATTGATGAGTAGCAATCATCCTTTGGACATTGAATAAACGAAGTCATGAAGCCATTAGAATTTCGTTTTTTTCCAAGCATTGTCCTTTGGTGTTTGCTTCAGCATGCATACAGCGTCCCATCGATAAGCATTGCTCATTCCTGCGCACTTCTTCTACATGGCCGGCCGCATCGGTCTTCACGTTTAGCGGCATTTCGCGCACATTAAACAAGAAAATAAGCGACGCCGCCCGAGCTCGTTGATCATGAATGAGCATTGTATGCATGTGCATCAATTGTGCGCGCATGTTGCAACGATTGTTATAATGCAGCACACCTTCAGCGCGCGCGCGCCGAGAGATGCAAACAGATTGCGCGGAAATGTATTATGTAATCATGTAAAGTAACCGCGGCCATTGGTCGAGCTAATCTGATAATAAACGTGATTCGCAGCCATAAATAAAAATGCGTAAGAAGCATTTCTTCACTGCACTAGACGACAAATAAATTAGTATTGGTTTATTCATGATAGGCTACCAAACATACACAAATTGCTTATTTAGGTGCGCGTAATGATGCGGTGCGTACACTTAAGCTGTCAAATCGCATTTTCCTAAGCTTTAGTGCATTGTATTCGGCTCACGAAAGTAAAATGAAAGCTTAACTTGCTAAGTAAATCCGGCGATTATCTTATTACCTTTCCTAAGTAGTAGTCTGTCAATTTGTGTAAACACACTCACAAAGTGCAAGAATGTAATTGGATAAATTATGAAAATATGCTTGTCACACGTTTAAATTTGATAGAGAACATTAACAAAACAAAAATCATTTAATTTACGTTTTTATCGAAATAATTGATTGTGTTGCCGGTAATAATCAATCTTTTAACTGTTTGTTCTTGCTTTGTTTGAATTCACCGTTACAACTTATCACTTATCATATTCCATTGCATTCCCAATATTCTTTCAGTTGCAGTTGATTCGATTACAACGCTATTGTTCGATGCGTGATAGCGGGTGATATATTCTGATTGGGGCAGGCGGTGCGCGGCGTCCAGCTGTGGAGCACGCACGCACATCGTTTCAATCCCTCTATTGGATCCTTCTTGTTCTTTTTCTGTTTCTTCGTTTGCTTCTCTACTCACTGTTCGTTGGATGCGGGCGCATCGCGACCATGCACAACAATTCAATTCGCTTCCAGTCGCCTCTCACACTTATCATCTTCACGGCACACGCGCATTGTTTCTACTAGTTAACTTCACTTTTCGTGTGCGTTAACAAGTGGTTGTATTTATTCTTTCTGAATGGTTGAACATGCACAATAAGTATACGATGCAAATGAAATTGCTATGGGGAGATAGGCATCGGGTGGTTCAGATTGAAAACGAATCAATTATTATCAATGTGTGTGTCTGGAATAAATTTCAAGTGACGTGTTTAATTTCCTGAAAAATATATGCAATTAACTGTGAAATACATGTATACGTGATTTATGTTTAAAATTGTTTTTTTATTCGGTTTCATTTTTTGGTTATGAATTGTGGTTATGTTATTTTCTATCGTATGCAACCAAATATTTATTTTATTATTATTATTCATTTGTTTTCGCCATTTTGTAGCAAAAATAATTATTTTTATTTCATTCATTAAACTTTTTTATTTATGTTTATAATAATTATTCAATTTCGTTTATATAAAACTGATTAACGTTACCAACTGCACATTTTTAAAGAAAACTTCCCATAAACAAGTTCAAATTGATATAATTTTGCGTTAGATAATTTAATCAAGGTTGGAATGCGCAAATTGCACATTCGAGATCTAGGTCATCATCACCTACATGCGAATATAAACAAAACGAAAATTGTCCGCGGAGCTAATATTTTTCGACTGCAGCGAGCGCGTCGGAGAGATTGCGTCACATCTTAGATTAGAAGCGTTTGTGATAGCTTAGACTTAATTAGAATGCATTTTGCACGCACTCGTGCTTTCCACCCGCGCTTTATTATTACGAAATTAGCGATAATTTGGCGTAATTCAAGGTCCAACGGATTAATAGATAAATAGGCGAATGACACCCACGCAAAGCGCGCAAAAGTGTGAATTTCAACGCTGCGGATGGGAGGATAATCGTGCTCGACTTCCTACAGACGCGAATTACTCTCTTAATTCAGGGTTTAACCACGCGGGGATTAGGTACATCATTCGTACAAGAATAAACTATGACATATATAATCTTTAACTTTATTTAAATACCTACAATAAAACGTTAGTTAAATTAATTTTATGACGTTTTAAACGTTTGTTATTCTTTTGCATAAAAAGTGATGTGGTTAGAATTGCACTACATAATGCAATGAATAATTAATTTATTGATTTAGAAACGACAGGCTGAATCGCCTCGGATAGCTGTGATGTCAATTAACGAGCCGTTATCTGATCGATTGCAATTTACGAGGCGACAGAATTGTCATGTGCTCTCAACAAGTTCATAAATCAATATGCAATTCAACATTAAAAGACTGCATGACATTTTTAATTCCATCAATTAGATGACTAATTTTATTAAAAGTCGTAAACCTACTTCATCGAGATAAATATTTTTTACGATTATGCATGTTTAATCTAATTATTATCAAATAAAATTGGAATTTTAAGTTGGTTTGTTTGTTGATTGTTCTGTGGCTATTATGTGCATATATCGATGAAGCCAATTTCCTATTAGGGTCGAGATCGGGCGCGCGGATTCGAAACCTTTGGTCGAGCCGATGCCAATGACGATCACAATATTCGCGCTTGACGCACCAGTGGATCTCAGCGATCGGTAAATCATCATCACTGTGCGGCATGTTACAATGTTACCTTTATGTCTTGATTGCGCTCAAGCCGCACTCATCCGCGACTACATCAAGCATCGAGGGAATTAGAATTATACTATGCGCAATTGATCAATTGTACATTTCAAACTATCAATAATTGTACTAACTAAAATTATAAATTATATTTCCACTTGGAGAAATTTTATAGGACGTTGGATATTTTTTACATCAAAAAGTAATAAGAATTTTTATTTATTCGTGATAAAATTGGATGTCTGAGGCATTAAAGGGAATATCAAATGATCTTCCATAATTTTTATTGCAGTCTTCAATGGAATTTTCAGAAAATAACAAAATGCAAACTTTTAACCAATATTTTTAAGTTTCTGCTTAATACATCAATGAATTTGCTGAAAATATTGAAATCTACATCAAAGATTTTTTTCTGATAGATTTAAAGTGTATTTCCAACCCAAAATTACATAATTTGCAATAATTTACCTTTTTTTTCCAGTTTGCACGTGTGCAATACCCGTGCGGGAAGTTACTGCTGCCCCGGCTGGAAGATGAACAAATTCGGTCACTGTCATATACGTGAGTAATCTTTGCATCACCCGCAGCTACAAACCGATCAATATTATACGAGCCAATGTACCACCAATAATAATTTGCATTAAAAAATCCTTAAATCCCTTTAGGATGGTCAATGATTTATTCTTCTGATCTCTTACATTCTCGAATTACTTCCTTGTGAGGTAAATCGATGCACTTCGATACACTTTGCGGTAATTTTCGTAGTACCCAATCATTATTCGGGATTTATGCACGTCGTTGAAATACTACTTTATATTATCTTGTGCCAATCTTAAATATTGTTATTTCTGTGTTTATGATTACGTTTTTGTGTTTACAGCTATTTGTATTACGTCATGTGCGCCTGGATATTGCGTTCATCCGAATCTCTGTAGATGTGAGAATGGTACCATGAATTCGACTTGTGCCTCCGAACGAACTGGTAATATAGATTTATTGGTTTAGAAAATTTATTATTTTGATGAGTAATTGAGGAATATTTTAGTTCCTGGAGGTTGTAAAGCGATGTGTATGTTTGGTGGTACCTGCAGGGATGGTAAATGTGAATGCGCACCTGGATACACAGGAGAATTTTGTACAGAACGTAAGTCTTTGTAATGGAAACAAATATTGTTTTTGATTGAATGTATTTTAAGCGGTTTGCGTGGAATCGTGTAAAAATGGCGGGCGATGTATTGGACCTGATCGCTGTGCTTGTGTTTATGGTTTCACTGGTCACCATTGTGAACACGGTATTAAAATTATCTGCGAATTCACATACTAGGTACTTTGATTTGAAAGAAGTAAATTTTTTATTATAGATCTTCGTACGGGTCCTTGTTATACTTCCATCAGAGGTAACCTCTGTGTAAACCAACTACAGGGAGTTGTCTGTACCAAAACATTGTGTTGTGCTACTGTTGGAAAGGCTTGGGGACATCCTTGTGAACATTGTCCGAGTAGACTAGAATGTGATACTGGTTTTATCAAGAACAAGAAGACTAATGAGTGTGTTGGTAATACACAGTTTATATTCTTATAATTCTAATTTACTATGTCTAACGAAATTATCTTCAGATATCAATGAATGCGAAGCTATTCCACATTTGTGCCATGGTGGTAGTTGTGTCAATTCTATCGGTAGTTTTGATTGTGAATGCCCTGAAGGCCAAGCTCGTAATCCAGATACAAATCAATGCGATGATCGAGATGAATGTCAAGATGAAGGCATCTGTGAAAATGGTCGCTGTGTTAACACTGCCAATGGATATTACTGCCTGTGTAATCCGGGTTTCATTCAAAGTCAAGATCGTACTTATTGTATTGATGGTCGGCAAGGTTCTTGTTACACTAGCAGAGTTGGAGACTATTGCAGGAATCAATTATCACATAGATTATCAAAGAAAGATTGTTGTTGTGGTGTGAATATGGGGCAGGGTTGGGGACCGGACTGTGACAGATGTCCACAGCATGGAGAAGGTAAAATCAACTAAAATACATAATATCTAAAAGGGATAAAGGGATATTTTTGATGTAGATGAACACAGGATACTCTGTGCTGGTGGTATTGGTGTCCACAAAACCCCCACTCCACATGGAGGGTCAATGACAACTGACGAAAAACAAATTGGTTTGATTTCTATCAATGAATGTATTCTGAGACCAGATATTTGTGGGGAAGGTCAATGTGTTGATACCAGAGATGGTTACGACTGTGTTTGTAATCCAGGATATAAACATAAAGGAAAATCATTAAAGGAATGCGAAGGTTTCTTGTAGTTTATATTATTTAAGTTTAATTAGAAGTTAATGTAATTGTTTTTTAGATATTGACGAATGTCGTGAGGGAAAATGTCAAAATGGCCGTTGTACCAACACACCTGGATCATTTACTTGTATCTGCCCCCCTGGTTTTGATATCTCTCCTGATGGTAGTATGTGTACTGATCATGATGAATGTAGTGAGATTGGAATGTGCACCAATGGGATCTGTATCAATATGGATGGCTCTTTCAAATGTCAATGCAAAAGTGGTTTTAAATTGTCTCCATCAGGATATGCGTGTATAGGTATTTAAAAATCAAAGATATCTTGATTAGAGTAATGTAATAATATGTTTGTGTTTAGATATTGATGAATGTTATGAAAATCCAAGAATATGCCTCAATGGCAGGTGTGACAACACTCCTGGATCTTATACTTGCGCATGTCTTCCTGGTTTTATCGAATCATCCGACCGCACCTTCTGCAGTGATATGGACGAATGCGCTAATACAGGAATGTGTAATCACGGCCGATGCGTGAACATGGAAGGGTCCTTCCAATGCGTTTGCGATTCTGGTTATAAACTAGGTCCTGACAATCACCATTGTGTTGACATTGATGAATGTATACACAATCCTTGCACGCATGGAACTTGCTTCAACTCGCCGGGTAGCTTCAGATGCGAATGTCATGCTGGTTTTAACATTGGGCCTGATGGTCGCTCATGTCTTGACACCCGTCGTGATTTATGCTATCAACAATACCGAGATGGTCAATGTCAAAACCCTAGTTCTATTGCAGTGACGAAGAGTAGTTGCTGTTGTTGTACAATTATCTCGGGTCAACCTATGGGTTGGGGTACCACTTGCCAACCTTGTCCTATGCCCGGAAGCACCGAATTTGATCAATTGTGTCCGCATGGATCTGGTCAAACCTTTGATGGAAACGATATCAATGAATGTGCGCAGAATCCAAGTATATGTTTGAATGGTGCTTGTGAAAACATGATTGCAACTTATAGATGCATTTGTAATCCTGGATTTAGAGTGGATGATACAGGAAAAGTTTGTACTGACATCAATGAGTGTGAAGAGGAGGAATTGGTAGGTGTTATGCCTGTTTATAATGTTAGAATGAATTGTTAGATTCTTTGCGCAGGTGTGCAGCGGTGGTCAATGCAGAAATACGCCTGGAAGTTTCCAATGCATTTGCCCAACTGGAACACAGCTCAATCCAGTGACCTACGTTTGTGAGGATATTGATGAATGCCAAGAATTGGGTCCAGAAGCATGTTTTAATGGAGAATGTGTTAATACTCACGGATCTTATAAATGCGAATGTGATCCGGGTTCAGTCTTAGATAACACCGGACGAATTTGTATTGATAACAGAAAGGGTTCTTGTTGGACTAAGATGAATCATGGCCGGTGTGAAAACAACCTTCCACAACTATCACGTCGGCAAGAATGCTGTTGTTCTATTGGTGTTGCTTGGGGCTCACCATGTGAAAGATGTAATAGAAACGAATGTGAATGTCCAAAGGGTTATGCCAAGATTGATGGAAAAACCTGCGCCGATGTCAATGAATGTGAACTCAACCCGACTATTTGTAGAGGCGGTGGAACTTGTGTCAATACTGAAGGTGGTTTTACTTGCACTTGCCCACCGGGATTAACCCTTGATGAAACAAGTAATAATTTAAATATGGTTATAATTTAATGTTTAATGTTAATATTTACTTAGGGACCCAATGTTTGGACATTAGAAAAGAACAATGCTTTACACGATATAAACATGGAAAGTGCAACAATGCCATCGATGGTCTTTTTAGTAAAAACCTCTGTTGTTGTTCTTCTATTGGTCGTGCTTGGGGCGATAAATGTGAAGCTTGCCCGAGAATAGGTACATCAACATTCATTGAACTGTGCCCAAGGGGGTCTGGATTTATTGAGCGTAAAGACATCAATGAATGTACGGAGTTTCCTGGAATGTGTCAAAATGGTCGATGCAAGAACACTGTCGGCACATACAGCTGTAAATGTAACAAGGGTTACGACTACGACGATAATCGAATAAAATGTATTGATATTGATGAGTGTAGCATTACGACAGAGAATGTTTGTGGTAACGGAGTGTGTCACAATACTCCCGGTGATTTTGAATGCAAGTGTAATGAAGGGTATCAAGCCTTACCGCCAATGCAAGTTTGCATGGGTATGTCCAATAAAAACATTTAACTTACTATCTGTTTTAAATCGAATTTTCTTTAGATATAAACGAATGTGAAGAACAAATTGGTTTATGTAGAGGTGGTCGCTGTCTAAATACAGAAGGATCATATAAATGTCAATGTCCCCCCGGTCATGAACTTGCAGCTGATCAACAATCCTGCAAGGATATTGATGAATGTTCACGTACCAGTGGAATTTGCTCAAATGGTGTCTGTGAGAACATGATGGGTACATATCAATGTGTCTGTAACGATGGATATCAACAAACAGGTCTAAAATCTCATTGTGAGGATATCGACGAATGTGAAGAAGAACCCTGTGATGACATCTGTATTAATACCCCTGGTAGTTATTCATGTTCTTGTGGAACTGGTTACGCGTTACAACTTGATGGTAGAACTTGTAAAGATATTGATGAATGCACAGAAAATCCTAGGATATGTAATGGTGGTCAATGTAGTAACATTAAGGGCGGGTACATTTGTCATTGTACTGATGGTTTGATACCAGGACCTGACGGTACCTCTTGCCTGGACGTTAACGAATGTAAACAAAATCCAAATATTTGCGGCAATGGCGAATGTGTTAATACGTTGGGGTCCTTCCAATGTCGTTGCGAAGATGGATATTCTGTAAAACCTGATGAGACTTCCTGTACTGATGAAGATGAGTGCGATCTTGGAATCTTTAATTGTCATACTTTTGCTGATTGTATCAATAATCCGGTAATATCATATTTAGCTCAAGACTATTTGACACTAAAATATTCCCTTACATTTTAGGGTTCATATCAATGTCGATGTAATGATGGTTTTACCGGTAATGGAGTTTCTTGTCGTGATATTAATGAATGCTTGACCAATAATGGGGGGTGTGACCAAAACGCCCAGTGCGTCAACACCGACGGATCTTTCAAATGCATCTGTGATGCGGGTTTTAAAGGGGACGGGTATTCTTGCGTTGATATTGATGAATGTTCTAATGACCCTACTCTATGCGAGAACGGTCAATGTTTAAATCACCCAGGAGCGTTCCGATGTGAATGTGAAATGGGTTTTATTAATCCAAATCAATCTAATGAACAATCTTGTGTTGGTACGTGATGCCAAGCTCTCTTGTTTTCATTTAATAATTTCTTTTTTATAGATATTGATGAATGTAAAATGTTTGATCAACTTTGTATATTTGGAAAATGCGAGAATACCTTCGGAATGTTCCGTTGTGAATGTAACGATGGATATAAACTTGATTCTTCCGGCGGTAATTGTACAGACATTGATGAGTGTGAAAGTCCACAAAGTTGTCTATATGGCAAATGCTCGAACACAATGGGAGGATTCCAATGTCTTTGTCCACCAAATTATGAGCTTGTAGAAGAAGGAAATGCTTGTATAGATCGTCGAACCTCAAGGTGTTACCTCCATGTTGATCTCCAACGTCGTTGCGCAGATCCAACCGCTGACTACGTAACGAAAGCAGGATGCTGTTGTTCTGTGGGCCGCGCATGGGGACCTACTTGTGAGCTGTGTCCTTCTCATGACAGTAAAGAGTATCAAGAACTCTGTCCAGGCGGAATGGGATATCACCCAAACTCGCAAACCGTCGTCCTCGAAGACATCGACGAATGCGCCGAACACGAAAATCTATGCGAAAACGGCCATTGCACAAACACTTTTGGTAGTTTTATGTGCTCTTGTAATGAAGGTTTCAGATTGGACAATTCGGGTGTTATGTGCGTCGATATTGACGAATGTGCTGAGAGTCCCAACATTTGTCCTGTTGGGCAATGTGTGAATGAAGATGGTAAATATTACTGTGAATGCCCCGATGGTTATATGCCTTTGCCAGGACGACGGGAATGCGTGGATATGCGGAAAGATCTTTGCTTCTTGAATTACGAACGCTGGACGTGCTCAACTCCAATGACTCAGAATCAGACTAAAAAAGTGTGCTGTTGTTCCATGGGTCAAGCGTGGGGACAACCTTGTGAACCGTGTCCTATTCCAGGCTCCAGTAGGTACAACAATCTACACACTTGGTATCTGTGTGTATGACCAAACCACATTTATCTTAACATTGATCATTTTGTTATAGCTGATTACATTGGACTTTGTGGTGGTCGACCAGGTCAAATTGTCAATCAACTCACAAACAGGACAGAAGAGATAAACGAATGCGACCTTATGCCCAACATGTGCAATCACGGGTCATGTATGAATACGCCTGGAAGTTTTGAATGTCAATGTAATCGTGGTTATTCTTACGACATCAATTCACATCAATGTATTGATGAAAACGAATGTGCTAGAATACCAAGCCCATGTGAAGGAAATGCACAATGTGTTAACTTACCAGGTAGCTTCGAATGTCGTTGTCCCGAAGGATATAAACATGGATCTAGTTTCATGGACTGTGTCGACATCAATGAGTGTGTTGAACGACCTCATATTTGCACAAGTGGAGAATGTAAGAACCTGCAAGGTAGCTTCCAATGTATTTGTCATCCGGGTTATGCCCTCACTCAACTGAGAGATAACTGTGCCGACGTGGATGAATGTGCGCGACATCCGAATATTTGCAATGATGGTACTTGCGTCAACATCATTGGTTCGTACAAATGTCATTGCAATGCTGGTTTTAAGTTAAGTCATAACAATGATTGCGTGGATGTGGATGAATGTCATATGATGCCGTTCCTTTGTCGAAACGGCCGCTGTCGTAACAACATTGGATCCTTCCAATGCGAATGTGCTTCCGGATACACTCTCACACAAGACAGACATAACTGTAGAGATATAGACGAGTGTCACGAACAAGCTGGGACTTGCCCCACGCCCGGAAAATGTCAAAATATTATGGGATCATTTGTGTGCTCATGTCCGGATGGATACGAATTGAGCTCAGTGACAAATATCTGCGAAGATATTGACGAGTGTGAAACAATGCCAGGTATTTGTGAGAATGGTGTTTGTACGAATACAGATGGTGGTGCATTCTGTACTTGCCCAGATGGTTTCATTTTGAATCAACATTCAATGAAATGTGTCGATGTTCGCCAAGAACAATGCTACGACCACTTCTTTAACCGCAATTGTTCTGAACCGCGTGGAATGCGGATGACAGCAAAGGAATGTTGTTGCTCTAGAGGTGCTGCATGGGGTCGTCATTGTGAGGAATGCCCAAGAGAAGGTTCCAGTGAATTTTTGAAACTATGTCCTGAAGGTTTAGGAAGAATGGATACTGGTAACGACATCAACGAGTGTGAACTCATGCCAAATGTTTGCGAAAAAGGTGATTGTGTTAATACTGACGGATCCTTCAGATGTGAATGTCCATCGGGTTATGTACTTGACAACACAGGTATGAAGTGCATTGATGATAACGAATGCATTAGTAATCAAAATGTGTGTGGTAACGGCACATGCATCAATGTTGTTGGTGGATTTGAATGTTCTTGTAATGACGGGTTTGCTCCGGGACCATTGCAAGTCTGCGAGGATGTAAACGAGTGCCATGAAATTGGCAATCAGTGTGGCTTCAGATGTCATAATGTACCAGGTTCATTTAGATGTATTTGCCCGTATGGATATACTCTGGCACCCGATGGACGACATTGTCAGGATGTGGATGAATGTATAACACCAGCTAATAACTGTAAATTCCAATGCAAGAATCAAATTGGTTCGTTCATGTGCGTGTGTCCAGAGGGTTACACTCAGGTGGGAATGACTGACGACTGTAAGGACATCAACGAATGTGTAGTCAATTCTGGCTTGTGTCCGAATGGGCATTGCGTGAACATGCAGGGATCCTATCGATGCGACTGTTTCAGCGGGTTTGAACACAGCGAGGATGGAAAATCCTGTATAGGTGGGTAGCAGAATACAGTAACAGAAACTTCACATTAGATGGCGCTTGGTGTTACAAAACGGTAATTTATTTTTTGCTCTGCAGACCGTCGACAAGGACATTGCTTCAGACAATTAATCCATGGCAGGTGTACGGCAAACACGAGGGAAATGAAAACTGCAACGCGTGCAGATTGCTGTTGTTCAATTGGACAAGCTTGGGGACCAAATTGTGAACCATGCCCATCGAAATTTTCCCCGCAATATCAAGATTTATGTTTGGAGATTGGTTTTACTGTTGATGGACAAGGTTTTTACTTATTTAAAGTAGTTTTCATTTATATATTAATTTATTATGTATTTCGGTATTAAATTAGATGTCGATGAATGTGCAACAATGCCGGACCTTTGTAAAAATGGACGATGTATCAACACAATGGGTTCCTACAGGTGTATTTGCAACAAAGGTTACAAGACTGATGGTTCCGGCCTAGCCTGTTACGGTAATACTGGCTTTAAATTATTTATCGTTTCCTAGATGTTATTTGATATATTGTGGTATAGATGTTAACGAATGCCTCCAAAATCCATCCCCGTGCCAATACAACTGCCAGAACACGGAGGGCAGTTACGTCTGTTCCTGTCCCGTGGGATATTTGCTCAATCCCGACGGACTTACCTGCCGGGACTTGGACGAGTGCGCTACCGGCCAGCACATCTGCCAGCACAATTGCATCAACATTCAGGGCAGCTATCAGTGCTCCTGCAGCAAGGGATATAAACAAGATGGCGATGATTGCTTAGGTACTTTTGAGTAGAAAAACAAAAAAATCAAAAATACATTTATCAAATGTTTAGATATCAATGAATGCAAGGAAGGCGTTTGTCCAACACCAGGAAGATGTGTTAACACCAGAGGAAGTTTTAAATGTATTTGCCCACATGGTTTCAAACTAGACGAAACCGGAACTTATTGTACCGATGCAGATGAGTGTTTGGATGATACAAAATGTCAAGAAGGATGTCAGAATTTAATTGGTGGTTACAAATGTGGATGCCCAGATGGGTACGTCCTGCACCCGCACTATAATCACTGCATCGATAAAAATGAATGTCAGGATAATCCCTGTGGAGCAAATGGTAATTGTTTCAACACGCTAGGAAGCTATCGATGCGGATGTCCGGAGGGGCATCAATTTGATCCACGCATGAACATTTGCATGCAGGTATGCCATTATTTATGCAACTTTTACTAGTTTTGATGACGATAATAATTTAATAGATGAGTTCGGTGTGCTTTGGAGCACCGTGCAGTTTCGGTTGCACGCCTGGCTCGCAGGGATATTCGTGCCGGTGTCCACAGGGATATCAAAACATCAGCCCGGGTCATTGCATCGCGACGATATCGCCTCCAGCGGGCGGCTATCGGCAGGAAATAGGAAACGTGCCCGTTTACCCGGTCGGTGGTGATGCTCAGTCGAGTACCGACGACAAAATCATCGGTTCCGAAGGCTGCTTCTCCTGCAAGGTATGCTATCGCATTCGCTAAACCAGAGATAACTCGGGAAGTCCCCGAATGGCACCTAAACGAAATCAGATTCTATTTAACGAATTGTCTGAGTTTAGCTGAATGGGCGCCATCGGCGCGAGTCACGTCGGCAGCGGGCCCTCCTGGGGAGCAACTCTACTGAAGCCATCGATCAGCTACTGCGAAGACCGCGCGGCAACGGCGTCAAGCGGAAAATGCGAAGAATGAGGCGGCACGGCTACGGCGAGGACATCGAGTTGAAGATTAATTTAAGCCAGACCAAACACCGTATGCGAATTGTCAAGATACAACCATCTGTTAAAGTAAACATTCTAAATAATCTAAATCTAATCTAATCTAAAAATATTATGATTATACAACATTTTATGAATAATTTACAGAAAGAAATGGAGTATAAGCTAGTAAAGGGTACAGACCTTCATAAGTTTGAGTTATTGAAGAAGAACGGCGTGTGGGCGTTGCATTTCAAGCGACGTTTGAAGCATCCGGGCAAGTTCGACATCGTGATTCACGGCAGGCCGATTCGCGACGCCGATAAAGAGGATGTGACACCATCGCCGGAAGACAGTGCCGTGACAACGACGACACAAAGCAACGACGCCATTGAAAACGTAGCGTATGAAAAGCCGCTTACTCTAAAAGTGCGCCTGATCGTAATCGAATAAGAGAAAAAAAAAACACAAAAATAGGTAAAATGTCAATAAAAAGTGCCTTTTAAACACATACATATTGAAGCCATGGCTTAACAGAGCCAAAACATGAAAATACTGCCATATCCAACTAGTTCAAAGCGCGCAATTGGAATAAATTATTTTTTGCTATCGTAGTGTTCAAAACAATAAGGGTGTTCAAATTGTAATCGAATGTGTTCAATGATAAAATGCTTTTATATATAATTACATTTTTATAATAATAATACGAATGCGTCAATTTATCAAGATGCATTTATTTTTGACAATTAGTTGTAGATAGGAACGAGTTCACGTAAAATAGTATTACAAAAAAAAATACAAACACACGACATGTTAAGTTATACGTATAGATGAAATTATTCTTTGGTTGATTGAATATTTATAATTATGTATCTAATAATTATTATATTTTATTTGTATAGAAAAAACAGTGAAAGTTGATACACGATTATAGAGAGCAATAAACAATACGGTTATGTTAAATATTCATTATTAGGACAATAAGAAGGATGAAAGCGGATGCCATAATAATGGCGCCGAAAACGTTGAGGGCGCCATTCGAAGATTAACGATCGACGCTTGAGATGATTAATTTTTGACGAAGCTGTATACCTAAGTTACCCAACATGATAAATTGTTTAAATTTATTGCTTTACAAACTGAAAAATAAAATTTATCAAAGAATGTGCTTCGTTTTCTTTTAATATTAGTGGTTATAAATAAGTAAATAGGTCGTAACTTTATCATAATACAATTGATTGATTGAACTTTGAAACAATATCAAGCGGTAACGTCCTACAATTTAGTAAATCAAATATTATTACAAGGCTCACCCAGTTAATTAAATTCAATCGAATTGGGGAGGAAAATTAGCTTTGTTACGTGGGATTGTCACAATAATAATACATCATTACACATGTTGAATGCTTTAAATATTAAACAGAGATAATATTTGTTTCAAATTTCTATTAGTGATCATTTTAAGAGGAAGAATTTATGATAATAATAATTCAGATATTAAGTGTATGGTATTAAAATGTCAATAGAACAATTTATGATTTCTTAGCTTTGGATAATAGGTAATGGAAAAGGCGTTGTACAAATTGCATAGATCTTTGATCACGAAAATTCACAAATCTACAAAAAATCGACATAAGTGTTCTAATTTTCCAATTTTTTGTTCCTAAGCCATTTTCACCTGCAACCGATTTTAACCCTTTTCTAAAAAATCGGAAAAACAGAGTATAAGCATGCGTATATTACTTTTTAGTTAAATTTTTCATATTTTGTCAATAAAATAAAGTTTAAAACGAAAAAAATAGCCTAGAATTTTGCCATTATGCAATGAACATTATACTTAATGCAATTAATGTGTTATCACAGAAAACATTTGATATGCAACTTAGCCTAAATTAACTCCATAATTCAATCAGTAATCAATAAACCATTATGCCCGCTTAGCAGCCTGCAATTGTCAGAGAGAGTATTATTCAGCCAATGTGGCAATGAATTTAAATTAAATCCGCAAATGCCAGGCGAATTTATTTGTCACAGAGGTGCAGCACAACACTAAAAATGATCCTCATTTACATCATAATGCAACCCGAGCGGCGCATAATTATTATATCGGACGCAGCAAATATTTCCAATTTCTGGGAATAGTTTTAACCCAAATGACACTCGCACGGGAAAACCATACAATCAATATTTATCATAAATAATGCACACTTTATTCATATAAATTTATTCGATCACATATGCATGATTTAAATGTTTTTCCTATACAGCGTGTTGTGTTGAAATGATAATAAATAAATTAATACTTAGTGTACAGCCTACAGTATTTACATTGTGTGTTTCTATATATAATATTTACAATATTGTCATACAAATAATAGCGTCTTAATAGCTTTGGAAGTACAATCAGTTGTAAGGCGATCCGTTAGCACTTTCGAATAGAAATGAGTTAGAAAGTTGCAACACATTGAATTGTCATATCTAAACTGCACAATCACAGCAAAAATTGACTGCTCGTTCCTCCCATACCCAGAGTTCACGCAGATCACTAGGTAATCCAACTACACCGATTTTATTACCGGCTTTGGCAACTGTACAACGTCCTGTTTTGCGTCGCAGGATTTTAACAGTAAAACTACGCGGTTTACACTTGTAATGGCCGTACCAGCAAGTCTTCGAGGTACACTCGACACTTCGTAGGTACCTTGGGAAATAATCAGGGCCTAGATCGATCCATGTAATACGTGATTCACATTCCCACTGTCTCGAAGCACCTTTTCCATGTCTTCCAGCGGCAGATCTTCGTTTTCTTGATTGTTGCACTGGTGGTACAGCCGCAACGTGGTTGACACTCCAAGCAGGTTCGTCGGCGATTTCACGTGCGTAGTCATCTTCGACGTAAAATGGCGGCACCAAACCAACTTTACGTTTACCCATGGTACTGTCCTCGTTGTCTAACAGGTCGTCATCAAAGAAGTCGTCTTGTGGTGGTTCAGCAATACTCATATACCGTGAGTTGAAGGCCGGTCCAAGAATTTCACTGAGGATATTTTCACCCAGTTCGTTGCAGATGATACCGTTTGATTTGATACTTGCTGGCGTTGTCACCGCGATAAGCAAACACTGCCAGATGAGGAACACGTAGTGGTGCATTTTGTAGGCGTTGAAGGTGCGACAAGACTGGTAGTGCAAACGCTTTGTTCAAACATTACTAGGTTGTGCCACTACATCCCCTCCAATATCGGGTACGACACTTTCGCCACCAGGTATAGCTGGGAATTTACCGTAATCCGCATGGGCTGAAATTCAACAGAGAAATCAACATGTGCCACCTTAAAATCAGATTAGCAGCGGATTATAAGAAGGCGCGTTACAAAAGTTAATCACAATGCTTGTTTACCGACAGCTAAAGTTTAACTGCGGGAAAGTCCATGTTTAATTAGTATTTACATAGAATTCGGATCGAAAACTATTCTCATCCAATTAGAAATCAACAGTATTTTACAAGTTTACAACATGTAATAAACAAAAAAATTATATGTTTTGGATCCTGATATACTGCTCCCATGATATAAAGAGGGCTGTACAACGCGCTGACCCTTCGAGCACTTTTTTGCATAAAAACATAAAACATGTTTTTGCAGGGCGCTTAATCGCGGATTATGGTTATTTGCCACTATAAAGTCCGACGTCATAAATTCGCACCGAACCAACCAGATAATACCTAAAAATATAATTCCTAATAATACACAATACGCCGCCGTTTGCCGGTTTTTCTATTTTTTGGCGTTTTACGATTTTTTCGAAGTTTATCACAAGAAATTCGAGTGGCGGTGTATTATGTACTTTACGTTAGCGGCTCATGTAAGTATCGAGGGCTAAAAGTCTGCGTCAAGCCTAAATCTGAAATTAATCGATTGTGCTTTAGGGGATTATAATTCACGCGAAAGCTCGCCGAAGCTTCACTGCATCGGGTTACAATTAGCGATAGATACGCATCGACGTAATTTTGGATACCAATTTGATCCGAACATCAAAATTTTACTTTTTTTTTCATTTGATAAAATATGGTTAGGTTTAAAATTTGTTCTACATTCGATTGACAGTTGACAGTTTGTAGGTTATGCGCGCGTCTTTTGTCTATTTTTTCTGTATATATCGACGGAAACCGAAAACGTTTCGCAATTCATCAGCGCTTAAATATAAATGCGGATTTAACTAAGATTAATCGCGCCGATGACCGCCCGTCTGGAAACGCTTTTTCGCCCCGAAGGTCTCACTCGACAGAGAGCTAGCGCGCGGACATTTATTAAATGGCCGGCTAATGGCCGCCCAACATCCGACGAATCATTCCCGAGCCGGACGTCCAACGTCCGAATATACATAAAAAATATTAAATTAAATCATAAACTACTCGCGCACATTTTTTTTTTGCTGCGGTGCGGTTTGAAAAATTACGTACACGGAAAAAATTCGTATGTAAATTGCTAGAATGTCCGCGCAGTGTAGGGCGGTTTTTTTTCAGTACAAGATTATAACGCTTGTATTTTTCCGGCCGAGCGCAGTATTTTCAAATTCATGCGTACATAAAACGCCCCGGCGTCGGCCACGAAAATGGGAAATTGTCCAGTTTCGACCGGACACATGCTGGAGTGTCTCGTGCTCCCCTAACGCTTACGATGTTTCAATTCATTACGAACATGCGTCGGTTAATTGGTTTTTCGCTATGTTTGTGTCCGCTGGAGCAGCGACTTTATTTTCGCCGAATTGCACATTACAGACTCGGGTGACAAATAAAAATTTTAGGTACAAAAAATACTTCATTCAAAAAGTATATGTAAAAGTAAATTTAAACTAAAATTTAAGAAACAAAAATTTTTCTTGACTTTTTCACATATAAAATACATAACTATGTACTTACTTTTAAATATTTTATTGGTTGTAAAATTTGCTAATCCCACAGCGTCGTCAATTAAATGTAAAATAACTACACATGTCACATTAACTAGTTAATGAATACGTTATTATTGTTATTATTATTATTGATTATGCTCCGACACGCATGATTAATTGCTTGTTTACAAATATTTGTTTGTATGAAATTGTAGAAGTGATCAAACGTGCGGAATTTATTCAAATTAGCAAACGCCCTTATCGGCACGAATTAACAAATTAGGAAACACGGTACACGCGTGTGTTTTGTCCTTTTTGGGCGGCGGGCAAGCGCGCACTGGCGACACTTTTATTACCATTCGCAGCAACACCGCACACGCCCGCTTATCAATACGCTATCCATGTAAACAAAGGCGTGAGCCATTCAATAAAATATTCAACCAGCATTATTTGTTGTCATGGTCAAATTTCAACATAACAAGCAAGTAATAATACAGAAAAAATTGCTTCGGTAATAAATTACATATAATAAACGTTAGTAATGATAAATTTAATTGATATTTCTAAGAGGGTTACGCATACGCATCCCTGGATTAATATCATGCACGTAAATCGCGTAGAATGCCGAGAAGGGTTTGCGATAGGATCGTGGAATAGCCGCGGCTGTACGTCAAAGGTATGAATCGTATGAAGGTGATGCACGTCGCCGTCGGTTGCTCGCGGTTTTGCGCCTTTGGTGGGGGTGGCGCGGCAACGATGCCGCGCCGGCCCGCAGTCTGCTAGCGTCGTTCGTCCGGTGTAGATACGCGCACGGTACGCGCCGCACGACGAACTCGTGTTCTCGCGAAACGCACCGCCCCCTCTTCCGGCAATGTCATTTCCGCCAGCACGTGGCGGCAAAGGATAACCCCATCAGAAAAAAACCGGTTGTCTAGAAAGTTTTAGACAACCATTTGTGAAGTGTACACAGACTTGTTGGTGTGATTGTGAGTGAACTTGAAGTGGACAATATATATAGAGAAATCATGGATGAAATAAATTTCGCCGCGCAATGCCTGCTGGAGATGTCACACAGCAAGGACCACTTCAATCGGCCGCTGGACCTCTCCAGCAGGTCGTACTACACGCACCAGACCACACCGTTGGTTGTTATGCAGTCCTTGCCCTCGCCCACACCCGCCCCCGAAGTCTACATCAAAGAGGAGCCTGACCACGAGGTTCAGATTGAGATCGAACCCGAAACGGTCACGGTTAACTCCACATCGGCCACTGAGTCTTCTTCGTACATGGTGGCGCGGATCCTTACTGATCTGACGAGGATCAAGCAGGAACCCGTTCCCGAGGTACCGTCGGACACGGCTGATATGCCTACGGTTTCAAATGTATCAATGGTCATAGTGACCCAGTCAGAAATCTCCGCGGACGAGGCGTGCGAAGCAAATTTGAGTTTAACCCATGCGCCCGAACAGCAGGACGACATGGACGAGGGGTATAACAGTCTGATGGATACGAGTGCCAGCACACCGAATGCCAATGTCACAAGTACACCCACATCGTCACACACAGGCAGCAGCAGTGAGGATCATCATAATGAGCGGGTCGGAAAATCAAGTTCGGGGAAGAGTCATGCAAAGGCAAAGAGAGGCTCTGCGACTGGCAAAGGGAAGGATGTGGGTGGGCAAACAAGTACGGCAAAGAAAACTGGTCAGAGGTCGCAGCCGCCGAGCAGGATCGCTTCGCAATTACGCAAAACGCACAAGTGCTCCTACGATGGCTGTCACAAAGTGTATGGAAAATCGTCACATCTCAAGGCTCATCTACGAACACACACAGGTAGCACTTTACTTGTTGATTACATTTTACAAAATTTAGGTTATGTTTAGATTTCGTATGATTGTGTGGCATTTTGTTAGCGATTGTTTCGACTAATTGCAATTTCTCCGTTTTTGTCCCTCTTGGCACTTTGGTGGGTTGTGGGAAATCTTTGAAAGCGCCCTTGCTCGCGCGGATGTTGTTTCACTTAACTAATACTTTCGCGGCGAGGCGCGTTAATTCCCGCGAATATATCACACGCCCTGAAACTTTGCTTCAAAACCACCGCCAACTCCAACACGAAGCTTTACACTCTCAAGCTCTTCGCCCAGAGGCTCCCAGAGAGTGCCAGCGCAAAAGAGATGCAGATACTCGGTGGAAATTAAATACAACGTAGAGTGTGAATTTTCCCTTTAGGCATTAAGAGCGCCCCCTTCACACCGAAATATTTTTGCGGGCGAAAAAGGCGTGAGATGAAGGCCGCGGTTAATGTCAGAGGCCGCTTTAATTTACGGCATGCCATCAAAATCACCCATGCCACAGGCATAGGTGGCGCTCGGGTTGCCCACCTAAACAAGGCGATTTGTCCGTTGGAACAGCAATCAACTTACACCTCGACTTCACCTGCGAAAGTTCCTAAAGTAGAACGAAAACAATTTTTATTTGTCAGCGGTTCTAGGCAACCAAATTTACATTCATTAAAACCATTATACCACGTTGTTGTTTTTGTTTTGCTTGCGTACTTTTTGTGCAAGTTGATAAACTTGTTTACGTGCGAATGCAGTTTCATTGTCGTCCGTTTTGATGCGTCGATCGCCAACGGCGACAATGCGCCATTCCAGGGGACGGCGGTGTACGGTTGCGCAAATGTACTATGAAGGTGTAACAACTAAATAACTCTCGTGGACGGCGGCGATAAATAGAGCACCGCGAGAGAACATTGTGTGCGTGTACACATGTGAGGCGGCGCACAAATGCGCAACACATTTTACTACGTCGGCGGCGGCTGCGGCAGCTCTGGATGTGCCGCCTCCGGCCACCGCAGCCAACGTGTCAATTTATGAACGTTGATTTCGGAAACGAAACAAAACAGCACCGCTCGAAGTTTAATTAAAACCGAACGATAAATTCACTAAACTTCATCGGGCGCATTCATGTGTGTGTGTGTCGTGTGCATAAATCAAGCATCAAAATCATCTTGAATTCAAACAACATCGCACAAAACTTGTTTTCTTTATTTATATTTTTATATACACGAACGCGTGCTGTGAAATGGTAATGGTTTGTTTGTTTCCTCAATTCGAGGCAATTTAAGTTAATTGCGTACGATTTGAGAACGCATCTACATATTGCGTTAACTTTGATATCATCAAAGCGCGTTGCAAACGAATATAATTGCGAGGATAATTGGGATCGGCGGCTGGGAAGCGCGCAGCTTCGTATCGTTTCGTGTCATCCGGTTTTATCGTCTTCACATTATCATATCACTTTGTACCAAGATTATCGCCGCGCGGCATGTTACCACTTAACGGAATAAACAAATGCGTAACGCACGTCGGCACGCGATTCGGCGAGTGCAGCCGAGCGCAACTGTAAGAAATAAATATTTCAATATCACCGTGTCGAAACTAATTTGCCACGGTCCAAAAAACACCAATTGCTATTATTTCGTTATTTATTACCTTGAAGTACATGCCAAAATCGTGTTCCGCGTGTAGGCCGAATTTAAAATGTTTGATTCCGTGGACGTGCGGACAATTCCACCGGGTGTGGGAGGGGGCGGCGTCGCTCTTGTTATGTTCAATCATGTCTTGTGTTATACGCCGGCGCGGCGTCTACTTAAAAATGAACGGCGAGACGTGCGAGTTCCGGATGAGAATTCTCCGGGGCATTAAAAATATACAGCGTGCTCATGAAATTATCACGAATAAATTTATTTTTAAAAATTTTACTATTTTCATATAAATCTTGAAACATACTGTATATTTATAAAAGTTGTAATGGCGGCACGCGTAATACGAATGCGTAATACGATTTTATATGTAGTATATAGCCTTGACCGGTTTTGATTTGTCGCCGTATCGTCGGATGACCCTGCCGGGCGGGCCCGGGTGGCTAACGATACACAATTGATGATTACAAACTGCTGATGGTGTAGATTCGCACATCGCCGGCCCGACACATATTATCAGAGCCGCACGCGCACGCCCCTGGAGTCGACAACCATGTATCATATGTTGCCGTTTGCTGACCACATCGCACATTGCCATATTTTCACTGTAAAAAAATATACACTACGTTTGTGGAAACATTATGAGTCTTTGGATTTAACCAACTGAGTAGTCTCTATTTTGCTCCTGCTTGATGGCCGCCGTTAGTGTTGTTTTTGGAGGACGTTCGTGAGCAGTTTGAATGTGTTTGGTCGTTTGCAGTTTGCATTTACGACCACCTGGAGGAATTACCCTCCGGTTGGTGACTCACAAGCTTTCGCGTCAAAGCTCGGTGCCGAGCATGGTTAAGCAGGCGCTATGAATCACCATCGTTGGCGTTGTTTTGTGGCTGTTTATTGCCACCTGGAGCTTCCATGATTTGACTTTGACCTTTCTCGTAGTTTTTCAATTTTTCTGCGTAATCACATCTCATTACACTGTAACACAATTAGTGGTTATAATTAAAACAAACAGATTTTTAAATTAAATTAAAATTTAATTTGAATTTTATAATTTTCGTAATTTTACCTTTCATACCAATTTTTTTTTTCCTGGGCTGCAATCATTATTTTGCGGTTCGTCGGCGGGTCAGGTTTCATCGTAGAAGACAAGACGATGATGATGATGACGCTGTCGACGTCGACGACTCGGACGTGAGCGTGTTTGATCGACCAGACAAAAGACTCATTCACATCACCCTTCGCGCTCCGCCGCAGAAGATGTGAATTTAACAAACAAGCTACCAGTCGGAAACAAAAGACAACACGCCAGCCCGCACTCCGGCCATCGGATTGTATTACACAAAAAGCCGTATTAAAAAAAGTTTAAACTTTTTTTTTCATCTGCAAAAAAGTAAAGTTGCAATTTGGTGAATTTTTTTGCGCGCGCTCGTTTTCATTTCTTTTTTGTAATATTTTATTCCGCCGCCTGCGGAATCCCGCAATGATGAATACTTTTATTAACTGCCAGATTATGTGGTCAGAAGAACCTCGCATTCCGTATGAATGCGTACGAATTGCGGTCGGATTACGTTTTTGCGCATCCGCTCACTCGTTCGACCCGAGATAGGATGGCGATAGATGAGCGACGAATATGAGTATGAGCGTAATATGTAATGGCATGTGGGAGGTACTTTCTTTCATACGCGAGCATCAAGCGATGGTTGTAAAACATGAAGTTCGTTTCATGTGTACTCGTATATTGGAACTCATAACAATTTTAAACGTTTATTATTTGCATAATTAACGTTTACAAATCGTGTTCAGAACTTGTACCACAACTCAATCGTAGGGTTTTATATTATAGTTACTACTAGCTTTTGCTCACGACTTCGTCCCGGTAGTGTTTAATAAAAATGTAATTTGTTTTTACTCTCTTGTTCTAGACATAGTATATGTCAATTCTATCAATAAGGTTTTCAATTTTATTTTAAAGAAATTAATTATATGAATAATTGCTAATAATGCACTATAGCGCGGCATCTTGGATTCAACTATTTAACTATAATTATGATTGAATCTCAATGCCAACTTTTATCCTATAGAAAAGGGCTGTCTTTAGGGTTTTTCTAGCAATTTTTCGAATTTTTCTCGCTGTAAAAACCACCTTTGGACTTCAACGAACATTTAAAAAAAATAATTGGCTAAATTGGTCCCGGCGTTGTTGAATTATACGCTTACCAAGAAATTTTGTGATTCAATTTTATATTGTAGACTAGGTTTTGCCCGTGAGTTTGTCCGCCTACCGCCATCTCGATTTGAATTATATAACTAACTATACTTCAACCTTACTTTCAACTTTCTTTTCATATTTTACACTACGTGAGTTATATTTTTGCCATAAAAATGGGCTATTTCCTTCTCTATAAGCTAAAATATCTCTCAACCAAAATTTATCAAATTTGTTTTATTGGTTTATACGTAAAAGCGTAACAAACTCACTTCCTCATTTATATTATGAGTTATATTTTTAGGATACTATTTTTTCTTTCTGGTGCTACGGCAATAGAGTTTGTTTGACGTGCAGGTGGATGAAAATATCTATAATTGTTTGTTTCGATTGACTTGATATAGCACCAAAGGCAAATATAGGTTAGGTTACTTCCAACAATAGAAAATCAACACACACCCACATACACACACAAAAATCGTTTCCTTTGTGATGATATGCGTTCAGTATATGGGCGCATTTTTCATTTCGTTTCCAAGGATGGTACGAATTGCCTCCTTGCCTGCGCATCCTGGTGACGTCGCTTTCTTTTGAAGAGCCGCGCCGCGTCTTTTGTTCACGTTTGCGCCTTTCTTTCGCGATTTGCCGTACACACTCGTCTCCACTCCGATAATAATTCGAGGATAATTAATTCAACACAATGCACGATTCTCCGAGTTGCTCCAGGCTCATTCGCAATGCTCTTTTCAAATCTAAGACGTTTCATTTATTAAGTTTATTTTTAACTCGGGTATATATTCACTTAAGTATATAATTTATCCTGATCTGTTAAAAATTGATTTTCTTATATAAAAAAGAGCAAACTTCATGCGTGTTTGTATTAACATTAACTTTCACAATCGACTCTCAAGTCTTTGGTGTGGGTGTGGGTTGGAAGACGGCACGGCGCTTACTTACACCGTCCGCGTCCATCCGGCAAGATTTATCGACGTGTTTTATTGTCCGGACCGAGGATTTGCATTGCGCATTATTATTCCGACCTCATTTATCGAAAACGCATTATGCTTATTCAGTACCAGGCACCACCAACACGCCCGCCCCTCTCAAGAGGAGCACGCAGATAACCAATCTTGCTCAAAGGCC